TTCGGCGAGGCGAGCGCGAAACGAATGAACTCGAGAGACAGATGATAAAAGGCACGGGGCCAGCTGCGCTCGCCGCGAGAGGGGCCCGATCAAGCGTAAGCCTACGCTATATATGCTGCTATATACACAGAAAGAGAAGGCGAGCGCGAGGCAAAAGACAAGCTATATACGAATCGAAGCGCGTCCCATCGGTCCCGGGGACCATCGCAGACTCTCTCTCGAAAGCGCGGGGACATCTCGATCTTATTCGCCACTTTTCTCTCTCTCTCTCTCTTCTGGACCGCGCGACTCTCGAGTTATTGGCACGCACAAAAATCGCCAAACGAGAGAAACGCCCGTTCAAAATCTCGGCCTCGAGTCTCGTTTACCCGGCTGAAAATCAAAACACACATACGCAGCGCACGCAGCCCGTTAAAGTGAGAGTGAAAGCGCGTGCAAAACTCGTCGTGCCGATCGGAACAACGACGGGTCAGCTGATTCGAGCGGCGGATGAAAGTCCGCGGATTCGCCTTTGGCTCCTATCCGATTTTCGTCGTACTCCAGGTGCAAACGATTGACTCGATGAGCGAGCAGCCTCTTATCTGACCGATCATCTTCACCCATGAATTCTCTCGTCGATAGCCATTTACTCACTCATATCGATGATCAATTTTTTCTTTCTTAAGGATCATTTTTCAATTACAATTCCCACTTGGTAATTGTTTTCTCGCGTATCAAAGGCATTTGCTCTCGGATATTGGCGCGCGAAGAAAAGCTCAACGGACCCAATCGGTCGCTGTACTCGTACATAGTCACTTAAACGAATCCTCGGATCTCATTTCGCAATGAGTAAAACCCATGCGTACTTTCTTTTTTTTTCTAACTTTCATTCTCGACGCCTGCGTCATATGTATTATTTGTATTAAAGAAGAATTTTTTGTCTACACACCAAACTGCGCAAGAATCTCAAGTACCCTATGAGTAATTTCGCAATCTCGATTATTGCACTTGCATAATCCCATGTGGATCTTCGTACAAGAGATTATTTTCTCGCGCTTTCGCTCCCAGAATCAATACATAGACCAATTCAAATATATTCAGTTCGATTTTTTGCATAATTTTGTCTTTGTGAATGTTACACAATAAATATTGTTGCTGCGATTAAACTTATGAAAGCCCAAACTTATGAATGACAACTCACTGCTATCACGCCGTAATTGTTCATCATCCTTTAAATACCTCAATGAATTTTTCCTCGACGTACTTTCTCCAAAATATTTTTTCATGACAACTGTTATTGCTATTTGGAAACTGTGACTATTACCGCCGTAAAAAAATAACACTTTATAATTACATAATCACCCAATTGTCACCCCAAAAGTTGTGCTTTGTCAAGAAAAGGATAAATTATTTTTACAGATAAAGTAGTTGTAAAATAAGAGCATCTGAAAATATGAGAAATTTCATCAAGACTTTTTTGTAAATAAAAACTGGAATAATATTTAAACAAAACAAAATATTAATCAAGGCAAATTAATATATTCAATTTTTTTCAAACGTATTTATTTTAGCGATATGGAAAATTTGGAACATTTAATACAACCATACATTAAAAAAATACTAAAAACATATTATTAAACGTACTATTTTTCAATAACAGGGTCGACATTTGGGCCTCTGATGACCCTGAAGTCTTCTTATTATAAAGTATTACGTTGAAATATAATAAAATGCAAAGAAATAAAAACTAAAAAGAAGTAATGTGTTAATTTTATATTTATTATCAAAGTACAACATATTGCACACTATTACATATAGTGCAGTACATTCTAGTCAGTCTGACAGTTGGTATTTTTGACATTTGATTATTTCATTGCACTGCAAATCTTCATCATTATCACTTTCATCAGAACTAATGTCACTTTCATAATTTAAATAATCACTCACTAAGTTATTTAAATTATTTGAATTTTTAACAAATGTTTCATCTAAAGTAGATTGTAATCTATTAGCAGCTCTTTTGCGAGAAAACATTTATATTATTTATTTTATACTAGCGGTACCCGTCGTGGCTTGGCTCACTATAAATTTCAAAGAGTAGGAGAATATTGATAAAAACAAAATAATATTTTAGCCTTTTTTTGCAAAAAGACATTCAGGAATATACTTAAAAAAGTGCTTGAGGGTAAAACAATAAGGAATGACAGAAGATTTAAAGTAAGCAACGTTCATCTCACGACAACGACAACTTTCTTTGCGTATGGAAGGTAAATGTAAGCAAAGCCTTTTAATGATTAAACTGAAGAATTCTCGATTATTTTTTTTTAAAATTGTGGAATATGACCAATGAGCGATGAGCGATGAGCAATGAGTGTGGGGGAGCGATGAGAGTGGAGGAGGGGGCGAGTGTGTGCGAAGTGGTAAGAAACGAAAAAAATCCAAAAGTCAAAAAGAAAAAAAAAATGTATTCTAAGATCGTAGAAACCTTCACAGTGGTATAGTGTATGTATGGAAAGAATTTTAAAACGATCGGATGGGTAGTTTTTAAGAACATAAAATACAAACAGACGTCGTTTCTGCTTCATATATATCGATAGATATAACACAAGTAAACCATATAACCCAAGTAAGCTAAGTGACCCAAGTAACCCAAGTAACCCGAGTAGCCTAAGTAACCCAAGAAATCCAAGTAACCAAAGTAACCCAAGTAACCCAAATGACCCAAGTAACCCAAGTAACACATATAACTCAAGTAACCGAAGTAACCCATATAACCCATATAACTCAAGTAACCCATATAACCCGAGTAACTCATATAACCCGAGTAACCCAAGTAACCCAAGTAACCCAACCAATCGAGGGGAGAGTTATATCCAAATTTTTACTTAAAAATACTGTGAGAATGTGTGTTATACTTTTACCTGTTGCAAGGCGCATTTCTGGCCGAGTAACCACAGTAACCCAAGTAGCCCAACGGATCAAGAGGAGAGTTATATCCAATTTTTTATTCAAAATAATTTGAGGATATTCATTTGACATTTACCAATGAAAAGGAGCATTTTTGTCCGAGAAGCTTCAGTAACCCAAGTAAACAATATAACCCAAGTAACCCAAATAACCCATATAACCCAAGTAACCCATATAACCCCAGTAACCCGAGTAACTCAAGTAACCCAAGTAACCCATATAACCCAAGTAACCCAAGTAACCCAAGTAACCCAAGTAACCTAAGTAACCCAAGTAACCCAAGTAACCCAAGTAACCCAAGTAACTCATATAACCCATATAACCCAAGTAACCCAAGTAACCCACATAACCCATATAACCCAAGTAACCCATATAACCCCAGTAACCCGAGTAACTCAAGTAACCCAAGTAACCCATATAACCCATATAACCCAAGTAACCCGAGTAACTCAAGTAACCCAAGTAACCCATATAACCCATATAACTCAAGTAACCCAAGTAACCCAAGTAACCCAAGTAACCCAAATAAACCATATAACCCAAGTAACCCATATAACCCCAGTAACCCGAGTAACTCAAGTAACCCAAGTAACCCATATAACTCAAGTAACCCAAGTAACCCAAGTAACCCAAGTAACCTAAGTAACCCAAGTAACCCAAGTAACCCAAGTAACTCATATAACCCATATAACCCAAGTAACCCAAGTAACCCACATAACCCATATAACCCAAGTAACCCAAGTAACCCGAGTAACTCAAGTAACCCAAGTAACCCAAGTAACCCATATAACCCATATAACTCAAGTAACCCATATAACCCAAGTAACCCAAGTAACCCAAATAAACCATATAACTTAAGTAACCCAAATAAACCATATAACCCAAGTAACCCAAATAACCCGAGTAACTCATATAACCCAAGTAACCCATATAACTCAAGTAAGAATAAAAAGAAAAATGTATTCTAAGATCGTAGAAACCTTCACAGTGGTATAGTGAATGTGTGGTTTAAATTTATAACGATCGTACGGGTAGTTTTTAAGAACATAAAATACAAACAGACGTCGTTTCTGCTTTATATATATAGATGAGCGATGAGTTTGGTGGAGCGATGAAAGTGGGGGGCGGGTGAGTGTGTGCGAAGTGGTAAAAAACATAAAAAATTCAAAAGTCAAAAACAAAAAAAGAAAATTGTATTCTAAGATCGTAGAAACCTTCACAGTGGTATAGTGAATGTATGGAAAAAATTTTTAAACGATCGGACGGGTAGTTTTTAAGAACATAAAATACAAACAGACGTCGTTTCTGCTTTATATATATAGATTGATTGCAACGCTTACAAGCATATACTGTAATGCTAATATATACACAAAACAACAGATTAAATTTAAGCTATGCCCCTAATTTGGCCCTAAACAGGACCTAAATTTCATTACTAGACAATTTTGAAACTATAGGCGTCCAAAGCAGGCCCGGATCAGAACCGCATTACCCGCCATTTCAAGTTCCAGTAGTGCTATCAATTCAGGGCCAGATAACCTGCTCAGGCAGCCGTATTTTTTTTTTTTTTTTTAATTCGTTTTATTGGCCTTTGTTTTATACATATCAACCTAAGCAACCGTATTATAGTTTCCAGTAACCGGCGAGCTCTGTGTGTCTCTGGCGCTTTTTTTTTATAATTGATTGAAAATGTTATTAGTATTGATGGATAGGGAACAAAAACCTTGTCCATATGCCGTCGGATAAAGACTGCTCCACTTATTGTTTATTGTTAAGAGTCGATAAACAATTAGTGTTAGTTGCGCATTCGTCGTCGTTTTATTTTACTTCTAGTAATCCAATTTAGATGCATTTTTTGTAATGAAATCCTTGTAAACTGCTCCGATGTTAGGATTGAACAGATTTCAAATATAATGTGAATTAATTAAAATAATCGCAGATTCATTTTTTAATGTAAATTAGATGGGAAAGCCAATCGCGTCTCTGCGCAACTCGCAAGCGTGCTTGACATGGCGCATGTGCACGTGGTCGCATTGCAGACTGTTTCCCATTTTCAATCTCTCTAGCTTATCTAGCAGTAGCAACAACTCGTAACATTTCACGCATCGTACACTTATGTGAGACTCGATTGGACATAACCCAACGTAATGTCGCTCGTCGGCGTGCATCGTTTTACCATGCTCGCCCGTGTTTTTACCGGTTTGCAAAGCAGATCGTTGCACTTGGCCGCCTGTAAAAATGTCAGCGGCAATTGGGTCGTTGTCAATGCCCAGCGTCACCAGAGGTATCGAAATTGGCAGCCGGTCATCGCCGCGACTTTCGTCAGGCACGCCAGTGATGCGGCTCCCAAAGGTAAGCGATCACCATTAAATACATTTTGCTTTTCTATCAATTATTTATCATTGCAAGCAGTCTTTGGAAACGGTGCACATATGACAGGTACGTTCATTGACATCGTCCGACTATCTTGACTCATAATGTCTTGTCAAATTTTTTGAGGTTCAATTTTCGTGCTATTATAGGTTTGGGCACAATGCAAACTGACAAAGCTTGTGAGTAACAATAATTTTCAAAGTAACCTGTGACACTTTAAGAATGTCTATTTTCATGAATGTTGACAATGTCTTAAAAAATGTTACTTTGTTTCCTAATAAGTTATATATTTACTTTTAAATATAGTGGATGAATTCATAGCTTTGCTACATAAAAACAATCTTATGGATGATTCGAGTGAGTTTAAATTAATAAATCTGAGTTTTACTATTTCACATTGAAAATTGGAACATTAGTTGAAATTTATGTTAATACTTTGAATAATGTCTGTTATAAGCAGCTAGGGATAATATTAAAAGTATAAGTTATACAAATGCGACTAGCATTGAAATACGTAAGTTAAAAATTACATATAAAAATACTTGATTAATAGTCTTTATCCAATTATGAAAACTGCTAAATTTTTACAAGCAGCTCAGGATAAAATAGATTTAGTATCAGGTATAATTTTTTCAATTTAATTGTCAATATCAATTATTATTATGCAAATTAGAATAGTATTGAAAAAAATATTAAGTAACCTGACCTAATTGATTTTTTAGATGTACCTCAACTGGATAACGTCGTCACACAAATCCCGGGTAAGCATTTCAAATAAAAATAAAAAAAATAATCATGAATATTCCTTTTACTATAATATTGAATTTATTTTATAGAGCCTCCTACACCTCCTGCTGTGCAAGATATAGTAGAAGCTGCAGCAAACACTGGATCAAATCTTGCAGAACTTGGTCTTGGAGGATGGACTCCTCCTGGAATGATTCAACAAGCATTAGATTTATTACATACACAAGTTGGATTACCTTGGTGGGCAACAATTGTGTGCTGTAAGTAATACCCCTTTAAAGTGATTAACTCAATTGGATCCAATATTTTATACTAATTAAATTAATAATTTGTAGCTACTGTGGCTATCAGGTGCCTATTGCTTCCTATCGTTATTAAGATACAGAGATATGCTGCTAATATGCACAATGTACAGCCAGAAATGCAATACATTCAAGCACAGTTGACAGAAGCGAGAAAAATGGGAGATCAAATGGAAGGTAATATTAATCTCAAATGAAACATATTTCATTTTTATAAAACCAATTTATGATTTTTATTTTTAGTTATGAGATTGAGCGGTGATATGTACAGATTCATGAAGGAAAAAAATATTAATCCACTTACCAATGCTGGATTACCTTTACTTCAGGTTTGTTTACTTTAATGAAATTATTAAACTAGGAGAAACAAAAGAATAAATATTCATGTTTATATTTTAGGCTCCAATATTTTTATCATTCTTTTGGGCTTTGCGAGGTATGGTTCGAGCTCCTGTACATAGTATGGCAGATGGTGGATTATTTTGGTTTCAAGACCTAACTTTGCCTGACCCATTTTATGCTTTACCATTAATTACTAGTGTTACTCTATTCACAACAATAGAACTTGGAACAGATAGTGTAAGAGTTCAATCAATGGGCAATATGAGGCATGTAATGCGTGCTCTGCCAATTGTTATGTTTCCTTTCATCATGAATTTTGAAAGCGTGAGTATTTTAAATACTTTTTTTACAAATTATATAAATTGATCATGATAATTATTTTTTACTATTAAATGTAGGCCATATTATGTTATTGGGTGTCTACCAATGTATTCTCCCTCATTCAAGTCGCTATTCTTAGAATACCAAAAGTGAGGACTTATTTCAAAATTCCTGAAATAATCAATCATGATGCAAAGGCATTACCAATCACAAAAAAAAAATTTGTTGAAGGCTTCAAAGATTGTAAGTTTTGAAAAATTTTTATCTCAATTATGATTAACATTGATAATTTATAATATGTACAATACAATAATTGCTTTCTCTTGTAGCCTGGACGAATATGAAAGTAGCAAGAGAAGCTAGCGCTCGGAATATTTACGACGAGACAGTTTTTGAAAAAGCTGGAAAAGGCCCAGTACCTAAAACTTATAAATATGACCCGACAAAACCGAGAAACCCAAACGTTTTTCTCTCTAAGAAAAGGGATTAGTTGAATTTCACCAAACTCTAGTTAGAATCTAGATCAAGTATTTTATAATTATATAAATACACAAATTAATTTTAAAAACAATTGATCATTGGGAGTAGTTGTTATATTAAGTTTGATAATGTTGTACATAAATCTCTCTATGAAAAAATGTTGCTTTTAATTTTGTAAATGACGTTTAAAAAATATACATGATTCATAATTTGAACTAAATTCATTTATTTGGAAAAATAATTTTTAGAAAGTGGACGTATCCTGAAGCATTGCAAACAATTATTATCATAAGATAAATTTCTACTCAAGGAGATCATTTCTTTTCTTCCACAATGAACTATTGGTTTACTGTAAATACTACAAACATTAACTTTGCTTAGAACTTAAACAAAAAATTAAATGCAACTGCTTGGATCTAATCATTTTATAAAAAAAAATAGTTTTGTTCAATTTTCAAGTGTTTAAGTAAAACCCTAAAATAATGAACTTCTTCAGTATTCAGTACTACAATATGTGTTTTATCATTGATTCACCATAGATATCAAATACCAACATTTTTTAAAAATAAAAAAAAACTTATTACAAAACTAAATAAAATTTTTATTTGTAATCATTCATTGGTAACCATTAACAATAGTTATACACATTTTTAAAACAATATTTTGTAAAACTTAATTAAATAATTAAATGCTAGATAACTTTGATGTATTTAATTGCATGCAACAAATACCAAATGAAAATTAAATATAACTCTGATATTACGATTCTTCTGCGCTCTCTAAGCATTGTTCTATTACATTACAGAGAAATTCATTTTCTAAAGCTGCAGCAACTCTTTCTTTATCACCCAACTGTTTATTTACTGCAGCTTCAGATACATGAGTTCCAGGAGTAACTGTAACTGAAACTTTGAACTTTGGTGATATTTTCCGTAATAACTGTGTTCTTATAGATAATCCTATGAGAGTTGCCATGCTACAGTGTGGTATAGTAGGAGTAAACTGAACATTAATTTGATTTTTTTCATTATCAACCTAAAAATTAAGAGAAACAATTATTAGTTTTTGAATATCATGAAAAACATAAAAATAAAATAAAAATCATATACTAATACTTACTTCAATTAAACGCTGCTCGACAACATTCAACTGTTCTAAAGTCAACGGATGTTCTGGGTCAGTGATATTCCTCAACAATTCTACAAAATAAAGTTTTGTGTAAATAATAGAGACATAAAATTAATTAAAAAATTAATAAAACGTTCGTTACCGAATACTCTCCGAGCATCGACTGCATCCGCGTTTCTCGGAATTTCTTCAATTTGTTCGTCGACACTTAATTTCTCTTCCAATTTGGGATAAATTTTCGGATTCGGATTATCGAGTGGTCTACTCATTGTTGCAGCGTTTATACACTTATTTTTTTGATGACAGTTAAAAAAAACGCACGAAATAACAATTGGGTCAAGTCAATTCACGATGTAAACGTTGTTCTCCGATCTGTGTACTTTGACAAATGCACTTTTGAGAACGCGTGTTTTTATAAGTTTTAGGTTAACTTTGAGTCATAGCAGAACCCATAATGCGCGCGCGCTTTTCCGCTACCAAGCTTCGCTACTTTACTTTGGAAATCAGTTCACAGCTACTCCGACTCGCGACTATGTATGTGTAACATAACTGACTAAGTGCCTCACCAGTTACCCCCCGACCCCCGTACCGAGCATACACCCACATACAGCGCGGGGTTTTGATAAGACTAATTTTATTTTGCTTGAATGAAAAAATTTACCTTTTTGTAGAAATTCTCGTCATCAAAGTAACATACTGCATAAAAAGGGATTGCTCATTATGTGAACAGCATAGTAATTATAATTAATAATCTTGTGTGGGCAGTATCCGATGTGTTGAGCATTTTTTCGCGAGATTCGTTTTTGAAACATTTATCAATTTAAATCCAATAAAAAAGATTGCAAAACATGATCGAGGAACGGACGTGCGCATGTTCGTATCATGTCAATAAGCCACACACTCAATGACTCTTTAATGCTGATGCTGGTCGTCGAGGACTGTTCACATTTCGTAATTCCCAGTTCGCAAGCGTGCTCGGGTGCAGTCTGCGTGCGTGAAAAAGAAAGAGAAAGAAAGTGCGAAAAATATTTTGGCCATCATCATAGGAGGGACTCGTATTTTTGGTTTTTTTCGTCCCTCCGCGAAAATGGTGAGTTGATTAAATAAAACCATCTTATTTTAACATCAACTTTTAATAAAAAGTCAATGCGAGAAAGGTCGCTGAAAAAAATGTGAATATACAGGCAGTGTATAGTGTTATCATTTTTGCGAGTTAACCTTAACTTTCGAATATTTATGAATCACTATTGTTACTTTCGCGAAATTACTTCTTTTGTGAAGTCATCCTGATAAAAATTATAAGTCTTTGAAATTTCGGCGTTCATCGAGTGTTTAAATTTTTAAAACTTCTTATTTCTACTCATTTGTTTACCAAGTTTCAAAAATTGAAATGGTCTATTCGATAAATGAAAAGTGGATCATTTATTTGAAATATAAATAAAAGATTTTATATGTTATTGTTGTTTGCATATAATGATTTTATTGTTATTGATATTGCTATTATTTTTGTTGTTTTTAATATTACCATTCATTGTATTCTCTTAGTATGGCTCAATATAATTTTGTCTTTATATTAACAGCAAAGGTTAAAATCTTCGCAGCGAGACAAAGTGAAGAAATTTATTTCTTTCACCCAAACTGATGAGCAAACAGCCATTTTTTGTTTGTCACAAAATGACTGGAAACTGGATTTGGCAAGCGATAACTTTTTTCAAAATCCAGATTCATATTTAAAAGAGAGAAGAAGTACTGCTTCAATAGATAAAAAAAAGGTTGATCAGCTATTCAATCGATATCAAGGTATATTAAATTTCTACAATTCACTGATATTTTCATTCAAAAATATCAAAATCATAATATATGTTTGTTTTGAAATGTTTCTTAGATCCTCATGAACCAAATAAAATAACAGTAGATGGAATTATGAAGTTCTTGGATGATTTAAAGTTAGCACCAGATAGTAAATTAGTTCTTATTATAGCATGGAAATTTAGAGCAGATACTCAGTGTGAATTTACAAAGGAAGAATTTGTTACTGGCATGACAATTTTAGGGTAAGCGAAGCTCTTTAGTTTAAAATTTCCAAAAATTTTAAATCTACAACTGCACATAAAGCGGCTAAAATAATTTATTACAGATGCGACACAATAGATAAACTTAAAGCAAAATTACCTAGTCTAGAAGATGAGTTACGAGAAGCATATGTATTCAAGCAATTTTACAACTTTACCTTCAATTATGCTAAAAATCCTGGCCAAAAAAGTCTTGATTTAGATATGGCAATTGCATACTGGAACATAGTTCTAAAAGATAAATTCATATTTTTAGATTTATGGTGCAAGTTCCTACAGGTAATTTTTAAATCATTAGCAAGTCGTAAATTTTGTATTGTTTAGCAATAAAATTGAGTTTACGTGCATTATAAAAAGAAAATTTAAACTTAATTGATAAGAACATCTTAATTTTAGGAACATCATAAAAGGTCTATATCAAAGGATACATGGAGTTTGTTACTGGATTTCTCACTTATGATTAACTCTACAATGTCTAATTATGATGAAGAAGGTGCATGGCCAGTACTGATTGATGATTTTGTTGAATGGGCACAGCCACAAATCTCCCAAGCTCCCTAACAGATGAACTGTAGTTTATCGAATTGAAGTCTGTACAGGCCAAACCAAAATTAACTTGAATACTCTTTATGAGAAGCTGAATAAGTTATCTCAATAGATAGCAAGATATCAAATTGAAAAAATAAGCAAGTTATTTTGAAAAATATTGTTTGATAATGTTCTTTTTAAAAAGTTCTAACGAAATTTGAGTTGAATCAGAAAAATCAATACTTCAATACTGTGCAGTAAGAATTAAACTTTGTGCTAAAGATATTATGAATTTACATGCAAACTAAATCTAAGTGAAAACTGAAAAATTCATATTTCACTTGCAAAGATACACTAAAGTAAACAGATTTTTTTAGAAGGCAAGCAAGTCTTACAAGCACCAACACTTTTCAAATAGTCAAGTGCAACTGATTTATTTCTTTTATGGATTTGATTGTACCAGAATCGTGTGAGTACTTCACGATGAATGCTTTTCATTTTCAAGCTTGAGTTTGTTTGAATATCTAATATTATTTTTGAAAATGTTTATATGTATTAATACAGTTTTTTAATGTAACAAACTACTGTGATTTTCTAAAATTAGCTCTAAAACTGTTAAAGTTTCTTCATTATATGTTTGCATCTAATGTACAGATATCAGTGTTTGTTTTAATTGAGATACGATTCTATAGTTAAATTTAAATTTATAGAAGCTAATTATTCAACAAAGTCCAGAAACATTACATTTACAAGATCGAATAATCTGTTATTCTTAAATTTGTTCAAAATCCTGTTATTAATCACTTTTCTACAAGCAAAATTGACAGGATACTAAATAAAAAAGTAATTTATATTTTGATTTCAAGCCATTTCTTTCTTATATGAATAATAAATTAGGATATTGTTGAGTAAAAGCAAAAAAAAAAAAAAAAATACAGCTATAAGGAACTAAAATGAAAAACATCTCAGATTATCTATCTTTTATCTATTACTTTTATGATCTTCTAATAACAAACAAAAAATTTATTTCAAAAAAGACAAGGTAAAAATTAATCATGGTATTGATAAGTAAGGAAATGTTGGGATGCGAATTGCGCAATTATTTAAGTTGTGAACGTCTTTTTCATTAAATTAGTATGCTTAAAAAGCATAAATGTTGAAATGAAAGAAAAATTAAACAAAACTAAAATTTTAGATTGAATAAGTTAAAAAAAAAACATTGTTTCAATCCTGTTTTATTCTTTTAAATATCGAAAATTAAAAACAATATATATTTATAAATAATATTAAAATGGTTCGGTTCGATAGGGGACGATTGTAAATACTGTAAATAAGAAAATATCGTTACATTTAATCGAAAAAATTCTAGAAAAAATAATATCAGTATGAATGTTTCAAATAAAGTACATTTACTGACAATCGACATTTTTTATTCCCTTCTCTATTATAAATGTATTATCACTAATGAAAACCTAATTACAATTGATATTTAATTCAGAAGATGTAGTATCAGCAAAACGTATTTACATTTTTTTTTCCTCAAGCACGACTACGTCAATGTGAACAGGAACAATCGTGATGGCAAGACCTCTCGCAGCTAGATTTTCTCGTATAATACAGGCAAGCTAATTCATAGTTTACTGGATTGGCATTTGTATAAGGCCTGATGACTTTGAAAATGAACCACTCTACGAGTATTTCCAAATTCTGTCTCGCCGTCTATGAAAAATGTCGAACATAAGGAAGGCATACATTGCAATAGAAAATTTTTGTTGAATTTGAGGAATGAAAAAACGTACTTGAGCTACAACGATGCCTCTGCCACTGTTACTGTGACTACCGTTTGGATCTGGATGACCGTGGGAATCGAAAAAAATTGCCTGAAACGATCGTCGAAAAGAAAGGTAGAAATCGGCAACGATCGATAGGCAACTCATTGGTCGCTCGTCTTACCGATTTGGTAGCCTTGGGGAAAATGAAGAGTACAGTTCGACCATTGGAAATGAGCACCATAAACAGATAATCGGGCTGCCAGTCGAGTCTATCCCACTGCTCGAGGAACCAATTCATGTTGACGACCAACTGTTCCTCGAAATTGTCGTGATAGACGTTCCACTTCTAAATGGAGGATCGGGAAGGTAAATGTGAGGGTAAAACTGGCGCGGAAGCTGAGCACTTGTGCGTGTACCCATTCTCTCATGTGGCAGAGCTCGGGACAGCAGTACTTGAGGGCGTCGGTGACACTGAGGTGATGGTGCTTGACCAGGCGTCTGCACATGATGCGATCGTAGGCTCGATTGCCGCTGATTATCGACTCGGCAATGACTTGGGTCAGTAGGTCGTTGTAGGACTCGGGCCCGATATGGAGCTTCGCCTGAGCCACTCCCGAGGATACCAACAGGCATATCAGGGTACAGGCCTGGCTCGCTGTGGACAAACGTGACCCGGTGAGCTAGCGATTTTGTCACGCCTCGCTTATGGCTGCGCACTTACATTCTTGGTTGTTGGGATATCTGCTTTGGGTGAAATTGCTGGCGAACCAGTAGGCCGTCACGCCGTAGTAGTGCTCCACTTGGCAGTAATCCGGTATGGGCAGTGCACTCAGTGTTGACATTTTTACATTGAAATTTGCTCGCGCCAATTTGCTTTGAGAGGCGCGCATACAGACTGAGAATTTCGATCGAGGTTGAGAAAATTTTAAAGGTCCGACTTTTTCATGTCACTTGGTAATTTTAATTTTTGGCCGAGAGAAGTGATACATTTTTTTCTTTTTTTTTCTTTTTTTTGTGGCCCAGAGGGTTAACTCAACCCCATTGCGGCTGGCTGTGTTTGTGAAAGGACTGATTGAAACTGCAGCGATTCATGGCTGTTTCGAATTTCGCGCGATTACGGCGCATCTGCTAATTCAATGCCTATCGCTTCTGTCTACATACTCATATTCTTAAAAATAACATCGATTTCGCGAACGAGGAGAGTTTCAAGTTCACTTTTCCCGCAAAAAGTAATATTGGTTTTTTTATGTCGACTCAAGTTCTACGACCAATAAAATAAGTATTATACATAGCTCTAATAATCCTTCTTAGTAATCTTAGTAGTCCTCTTGCAGACAGCACTGGCGTCAGTGAGTAGGTCAGCTAGCAGAAAAGCAATAACCAGTTTTCCTCTACTCTGTTAAAATGGCAGCAATCAGATTGGGCTCGAAAATCAAGGAGCTGCGAATTTTGCTCTGCAGCCAGTCAAAATCCAGCGAAGGTGCCAGGTAAACCTTTCAACTCTTCATCCTTCTATTCTATCTAATGTCAATGACAAAGGCATCGAATTAATACTTGCAATAGCTTCAGTTTCACAGCTTCTTGGTTATGTTTCGTTACGCGCAAATACAATTTTGAATATTATTTTTATCTTTTAGAAATTTCATCGAGGAAAATTATGTCAACTTGAAACAAGCAAATCCAAATGTGCCTATACTTGTTCGTGAGTGCCTCAAAATCGAGCCCAGAATTTACGTACGAGCTGGTGAGTTTAGAACTAATTATTGACATTCGACAATTCGGCATAGTATTGATAGAGCGAATGATTTTTCAGAACAAGGCAAGGAATCTTGGCTTTCAATTGGTAGCATGAGTTCAACTGACATCGCGCAAAAATTACAAAAAGCGGCATCCGAGGAATGATTTTCATCATCTTGTGTTTGCATGTGTTAAATATGAATAATGGAGAACTTGGATAAAATACTGTACTATAATTTATAGCTGCTCATCAAATAGCACGTTTTAGTTGCATATTGTTATTTATTATAATCGTTGAATAAAAAACCATTTGAATGTAATGAGTTTCGCATAAATTTATTTAACAAAATTTAGAGTTGCATTTAAAGTGATACAAGTTTTGTTTGAACTATAACACTTTACTTAGGAACTAGCATTCCTCTAAAAACTTCATTTATATAGTTTTTTAATGTGAATACAAAAATAATTTTAGTATTGACAGATAGTCCCGGATATTTTAAAATTAAATTTCTTATTATTTACTAATTTTTTCAATCAAATTTTGGTAAACCAAATTGTTCAGGCTTAAAATCTTCTAAACTATTTAAAACAATTGTAGCTTTCTTTGTAAATTCTTTAGGTAGGTTTGGATCAGGTACCATAACAGTTTGCATACCAGCACTCACACCTGCTTGCACTCCATTTGGAGCATCTTCAAAAACAAGGCACTAAAATTCAATATTAAAATTTGATTACTTTTTGTCAAACGACTTTTCAACAAATTTCTATACAAACCTTAGATGGATCAGGGCAATCAGGAAATCTTCTGGCTGCTACCAAGAATATATCTGGATTTGGTTTTCCTATTTTCACGTCTGGATCAGATCCACCAAGAACTTTATGATGAAATAAATCAAAAACTTCTGTTAAATGCTTTGTTTTGAGATTGAAACTCTCTTCACTGGAACTTGTAGCTAAAGCAATGGGGATATTGTGTTTCTTTAAATGTCTCAACAACTTTTCAGCACCTATTTCAACATAGCAAAAGATTTTTGTTAAAAAATATAAATTAATTCATTTTTGCAAGATTCAAGCTAATTTGCTAAAGAAGTTTTAGTTTATCATGTACATAAATAAAATGAATTAGTTCTGGTTCTGGTATGAGCTCATTCCTGATATGAAAAAAGAAACAAAAAATATTTTATCAATTGGGCAGTGCTAATAAAACATATCCTTAACCTGGCATCATATCAACTTCATGGAATGATTCTATTTGCAAACGACGATACATTTCTGAAAATTCATCGATGCTCAAAGGCAATTTGTAATGAGATATAATGAGTTCCGCTCCAACTTTTTCTGGCCTTCCAAGCACCTCGTAAACCAACGTACCTCCGTATTCATGCCCATATTTTTGAACAATAGCACCATATACTTTTTTATACACTCTTTCTGAATCTGTATAATGAAAAGAAAGCTTCATTAGATTATGTTATGATATATTACCTGGTAAAAATTTAGTCGTTGGGAATATCTCCTTGTAATCATCCTGCAGACGTTTATGCAATTCATCAGGTTGCATTGGTAGTTCAAAAGTATCAATGAGAAATTTAATTAACTGATGAGTATGGAATCCCATGGTTTGACCTTTGTGAGCCCATGTGAACTCTTTGCCATAAGGACTAAGTAAACGATTAAATACAGTTGTATAAAGCTGCTCAGTGTCTGTGAAATCATGGTAAAGATTTTTATTAGGCAAAAATCTGTGAAAACTTTGGCCGCCAGGCGGCAGATGTGGCGTGAGTCGTCATGCGCAGTAATCATTTCGATACACGCATAGTTATTCTGCTTTCTGCTGCATATACTACTGCTGGCTGTCTATACTGAGAGTTTCAATAATATTATAAATATTTTCTAAATTAAAAGTAACGTCATGCGGTGTAAGGTCGAAAGTTGTCAAGGGCTAAAGAAATTTAAATTTCCGAAAAATGAAGATCTGAGAAAGAAGTGGCTAAATGCTATTCGAAGGCCAAATCTGAAAGTAAAGCCAAATGATGGGTTATGTCAAAAACTTTATCATAATCTTCCAACCTGTGAATCCATCATTCATTTATTATAAACATAATCATAACCTGTATGTGTTTTGACTCCTATTATTGATGCATTGTTACTTTTATTTACCTTTTAACGAGTTCCTCTTTTCTTCCCCACAATCTCTTGGCTCCTCTATCTTTTAAACGTTTTTTAATTTCAGGAAGAGTTAAGTCACCATATCCAATTTCTTTTGATTCCTTTTTTTTGGACATTTTAAAATACGAGCTCTTTCGGGCCTCACGAAAAACGCGTTTCTGCGCATGACGACTCACGCCGCATCTGCCCCCTAGCGGCAAAAGTTTTCACAGATTTTTGCCTAATATTAACAGTACTAAACTAGATTTCAGGAAGTGAAAGTGCTACTCAAGTTTCAGCACAATCACAAGGCAGTGGAAGTTATGCTCAGAATTGTTGTTAGAAGTTATATGCATATTTTTATGAATACGTCAATTCAGTGGCCTTGGAGTACACAAATGATTTAAATAGACCATACAAATATTATTGTTTGCGCGCTATTCAATAATGGCGGTCGTCGCGCTTTTTGCAAATTGCGACGACCGCGGCCGAATAGACACTCAGCACTTTTGAATAAGGGATTAACTTCAAGGTTCAAGTTCAAGGTTACGTTAGTGTTACATCATATTTTATTGGTTCGTCGTTGTTGTTAGATCTGACAAAATCTTATTGACTAAGAAATCAATTGAAAACACGTGTTGGTATGTAAAAACTTTTAAATTAATGATTGATTCAAAAATCAAATGGAGATATTTTTGGTACTTGAAAAAGATCGCGTGATGAATGATTTGTATGTTTAATCAATTTTTCCGAAAAAAAATATTGAACGATTATTAACTACTAATAATTAGAGTATTTAAATACATATAAATATCACATCGCTGTTAAATCGATGAAGTTTTACACAAACATGATCAATAATCTATCATAGTTGCATCACATCTGATAAAAGTATTTGCGAGTTATCACATTAGAACTAAGTAACTAAGTTTGTGCCCAGATAACACGAAAAGTTGCCGCAACATTTCGGCAACTGCAATTTTTAAACTTGCAGCAATTCATTTAATAATTAACGTAGAAAAATTTCCCGATTGGTAATGAAGTACCGTTGTAGCAACGTAACGGAAACTTTCCGCGTTATCTGTACAAATATATGGTCTAAATGAAAAGATGAGCGACTTAAAGAAAAAAGCTAGGTTTGGCTTGAAATTTTCCACTTCGGAGTCGTGTATAAAAGTTGGCGCACTCCCTATTGACGTACGTTTATATCTATATATATGTCAACTGCAACAGCTCACACAAAGTGAACAGGGCAAAAAGCAGCAAAAAGCTTACCAATCAACAATCCGTCCATATCGAAAATACAATGGGTGACATTTTTGTAGGTGGTCTCGCACATGATGACAACTTTTTGATTTATTACAAAAAACACTTGAAGATTTTGAACTATTCGGGTGATGGTCGACCGTCGCCGGCGAAGGTCAGGAGGAAATTAACTCAGCAGTCAGTCGTCAGATCCACGCGCGTCGCGGTTTAGTTCGCGCTGCTGCTCGACTGCTGCCGCCAGTGCTGCTGTCTGCATAGTTTACAGACTGTATATAGCTGTAACTTTGACTTGCGCGAGCGCAGAAATCGCAATTGGGATTTCCAAATTGAGCTTGTGTAGCTTTTGTGCTTTTCCTGATATTATGTTGTATTGTATAATGCATTGACAATGACGTCAAGCACCCCAGTTTGCTTGACGTAAAGTGACGACGTTTTTGCACAGCCAATTTTGGATACGATTTAATATTTTGCGGTTTTTTTTCATTTCACTTGTTTATCATTTTATTCAAAAATTCATTCGAGCATCCTTTCGATGGTAAGATTAGTAATTAATGGAAAAAAATTATTAGAAAACTTATGAATGATCAAGAAACCTCCATTAGTCATTTGTTTTTTTCTTAATAAACTTACCTATTTTAAGAAGATTTACGTTAAAAATTTTTCAACGACTTTTTTTTCATGTAATTGGGTACTGTTTTTGACGGCTAATCTATTCTCTAATCGAAATTTTTTCGCAAAGTTTTTTACAAGTACAAAAGTAAGGCTATTAAGTAATAAAAATTCTTTCAACGTATAGCATTTGCTAAATTTATAATTTTTCACTAAAAATGCTCAATTAATTTTGACTTGAGGCTGCATGCGAGGAAAACCAGAACGAATTCGTTCACTGAAATTTCGGTAATCCGAAAAGCTCGGGTTTGAAGTTTTCCAAAGTATCGATGACCAGAGTAGCTCTACCAGTTAAATTTCTGGGCAATTCTGGATCAGGTACCATGACTGTTTGCATACCAGCATTTAATCCAGCCTCGACTCCGTTCGGCGAGTCTTCGAATACCAAACACTATAAGAGATAATGGTCATATTAAAACCGCCCTGAATCATGAATGGACGATAAACAACAAACCTTGGATGGTTCCGGGTTATCGGGAAAACGTCGAGCGACGACGTAAAAAATGTCCGGCTGCGGTTTTCCCCGCTTCACTTCTGGATCGCTCGAGCCCATGACTTTGTGATCGAACAGATCGAAAAATTCTCCAAGATGTGACGTTTTGAGATTGTAGCTTTCGACGCTAGAGCTGGTGCCCAGTGCTATGGGAATCCGATGTGCCTTCAAATGACGCAACAGTCTTTCGACACCTGTCGACATAACGAAACGATCTCTTTAATCGATCTTCAATAATTTTCTATCGTGGCGAAATAAAAATTTCACCTGGCAATAATTGAGCGGTGGGAAATGTCTCTGAGTATTTTTGCTGCAGCAGTTGATGCATCTGATCGTCGCTCATGGGCAATTCAAATTTTTCGACCAAGTAATGCACAATTTGAGCACTTTGAAAACCCATAGTCTCGGCCTTGTGGGCCCAAGTAAATCGCTTGCCATACGGCTCAAGAATATCGTTGAATACTTTCAAATACAAGGCCTCCGTATCTGCGAAAATGATTAATGATTTCAAATGAATGGACTCAAGGTGTAAATTACTTATATAGAAAACCTACTCAAGAGTAGCCCATCCATGTCAAATATACAATGGGTGACTGGTTTGAATAGTGCATCTTTTGAAGCCATGATGTGCAGCTGTAACTTAAATTATTCCTGAAAAGACAAAAAGACCTTTGAAAATGTCAAGCTCGCAGCTATGTAACACGTGATATAAGTAAACCGTTGCTACAAAATATAATTACTCACTGATTCATATGCCACGATCTTAGTGCGGCTTTCATGTTAACGATGTTCTTAAGTGGGGGTATCGTAAATACCGCTATGCACAGCGCCGCAGTTGTGCTTTTTTATGAGTAAAAAACAGTTACAGAAACGCATGCGCTTATACTCAATCTAGTAATTCAGATGATTAATTTAGCAGCGAATTTTTGAAGAAAAAACAACAAATAAGAGTGGCATAGTAAAGAGTTTTGTGATTTTGACACGAAGCGTACTCCCTCGTAAGCGATTCGTTTGTGTAGATTTTTACTTTTGGTCTACTTGTACGAGAGGTAAAGCAATGACTGAAAGTTCATAAAATCATCGTTTGAGAATTTACGAGAAACGAAGCAAAAATAATAAAAGGGAAAACTTCCGCAAGTTAAAAGTGATTTTCAAGAATATAGCTTTTATACGAAATTCAATGAGGCAACGATGAGAAAATTTCTTTCCTCGTGTATCAAATCGCGATCTCCGAATGCGATATCTCCGCTCTTCTTATAAGAGATAGAATACCGATTGAAATGGTTGATGTTACACTAAATAGAAACATCTGAAGATGGTATTTTCGAATTTTGTGTTGGACAGGGAAAAATTTGCCTCAACCAGGACTCGAATTTTTCGAAAAATGAAAATTTGATTTCAATATAATAAAAAGGAATTATTTGGACCATTTGCGAACTTTAAAAAACGAAGAAATAAAATAATTTTTTCAGATTTTTTCAGATCCTGCTTAAACTCGAGGTACTTCTTGAAGATTTTTCAAAACCACGTAAAAATGCTTACGACCGAACTCGCCGGTACACAAGTTCGAATCTGTCGTAATTTTAAAAAGCTCACAAGCCTCGGTATGTTTCTAGGGGCGCGATGCGTCGATGACTCGGCTGATAAGTCACACATACTCTGATGCTTTTTCAGTTGTTCACTCCTGAGGTGCAACGGGTACTATTTTGAATGAAAAACTGGAAAAAAATGTACCTTTGTACAAAACACATCTAAAGTAATAAATATTATATGTGCAATAGGACGTGCAACTTCTATATACTTTTTTAGATTAAACACGGAATCAAATATTTTCTTACTTAAATAAAGTCAAATACATGCATAATACATTAAGAAATGATCAAATTTCGTACACTTCTCTCACAGTATCTATAAATCTAATCCACAACTCATCTAATCTGTAACTGCGGAATCCGCGAGTTATTTCCAGGAGTTTGACCGTCACTAAACCCCCAAGTTTCTTCTGCGTCTCTCGTGATATGTTCTATTGTAGTTTGCAGTCTCGAATCCAAATGTCTGAATGTCGACTGCCGTACGTAGGTCGACTGTCGTTCGTCAGATATACAAATAAACATCATAGACAATTTACCCACTTCTACAGAGTACCCACCCTACGTGTACTTTTTTACTGATGATAATAAACGTAATAATTTAAGTTTATGATTGATAGTTTCGTTGCGTATCTGATACTCCGTTTTCCTACTCCATAAGTGTTGAAATTGATATGTGTTATAATTTCTTGAGGCAATCAACAGTCAGTAGGACGTAAACAATATCTCGACTTGAGAAGTTGTAGCTCTTATCAATTAGTAAAAACAGAGGGACCTGCAGCTGCAAAAGATTAAAATTGTGTAAAAAAACAGCCGAGATTTTTTGTAATTTGTTCGTTCCAGTGTTTGTCGATTGACTAATTTTTCTGGCACAAGATGGTAAGTGATGGTGCATTTTTTACTAATGGAAAATTGTAACCTATGAAACAATGAAATTATCATTTATTTTTACACTCAAATTATTTATTCGCCGTGACCCACTCATCTTTGCTGACATTCTTTTACATTATCTTTCTTTGGTTATTTGTTTCATAGGATGACGAAGATCAGTACCAAACTGGTTACGATGTAGGCTCTTTTCCTAAAGATTTTGGATACACTCCTTTTGATGGTGAAGCTGAAGGCACAACAGGACCATTAACAGGGGATCAAAAACCTAGAATTCTCTTAATGGGCCTCAGGAGGTGAGACTTGAAAACAAAAATGTAAATTAACATTTTGACACTTAAAATTCATCATTATCCATATACATTTGTAGAAGTGGAAAATCGTCTATTCAAAAAGTTGTATTCCACAAAATGTCACCAAATGAAACGCTATTTTTGGAGAGTACAAATAAAATCATCAAAGATGATATTTGTAACTCAAGTTTTGTGCAATTTCAAATCTGGGATTTTCCAGGACAAATTGATTTTTTTGATCCTACATTCGACAGCGATATGATTTTTGGAGGCTGCGGTGCTTTAGTCTTTGTAATTGATGCTCAAGATGATTACATGGAAGCACTAAATAAACTACATATGACAGTATCTAAAGCTTACAAAGTTAATCAGGCAATAAAATTTGAAGTTTTTATCCACAAAGTTGATGGTCTATCAGATGATTACAAAATGGAAACTCAAAGAGACATACACACCAGAGCTAATGATGATTTAGTAGATTCAGGTAAATTAATAATGAACTTGAATAAATGATATTGCATAATAAGAAACATAAATTATTTTTATTTTAACTTATAGCTTGTGATCAAATACACTTGAGCTTCCATTTAACTTCGATCTATGATCATAGTATATTTGAAGCTTTCAGTAAGGTTGTACAGAAATTAATTCCCCAACTGCCAACATTGGAGAATTTATTAAACATTCTTATTTCGGTAATAATAATTTTGATAATCTTGATTTTTCAAATTTATAAATGCAAATTATCTGATGAATTGAATTTTTTAGAACTCAGCAATTGAGAAAGCATTTCTCTTTGATGTTGTTTCAAAAATTTACATTGCAACTGATAGTTCTCCTGTTGACATGCAGAGTTATGAGTTATGTTGTGATATGATCGATGTTGTAATAGATGTCTCTTGCATATATGGGTAAATTTCAGATTTTTTATAGGAATCATAATGATAATTTAAATTTTTAATCATAATTAATTTGTATTATTTCAGTTTAAGAGAAGAAGCAGCAGCTTTTGATAGTCAAAGTTCCAGTTTGATAAAGCTGAACAACGGCACCATTTTGTACTTGCGGGAAGTCAACAAATTTTTAGCTCTTGTATGTATTTTAAGAGAAGACAACTTCGAAAGACAAGGTCAGTATAAAAACTTATTTCTAAATTTAGTCTTTACTTGCAAATTATATTTACTGTTTTTTTACAGGAGTGATCGATTACAATTTTCTCTGTTTTCGCAACGCCATTCAACAAGTTTTTGAACTTCGAAACAAAGCTCTAGCAGCAGCAAACTCAGCCTCAAGTCCTTCAAATGCAGCCAACCACTCAGCATCTCCGGACAGTACTAATCTTATCATTCAGCATCAAGACACTAATGTTCCAGGCCCAAGTATGATTCAGCCACTACAACCTTCCACTACCACAAATGGGGCTACTACCCTTGCACCAAATGGTGCGATAAGTGCATTAGCCCAAAGCTAACCAAACCAGTATATCACTGCTGCTAATATTAATTCTAGATTCGACTTTCGTGGCAGTGAAACTCTTTAAATAAATGATTGGGCTGAATTTGCAACAAACATCTTAACGCATTTGTTTCATGAATCAATGAATTTTTGTTTTGTATCTTATTTGTGAATATCCTATTCTATAATTTTATGTAAATAGAAAGAATTGCTTTGATAATGATCACCGATGAAAAGCAATCATTGTTGTATGTCTTTAGTACACTGTTCATTATGTTGTTAATTTTTTTCCTGAATTGTATAATAATGCTGAAAGAAATTTTGCGCTAGATTGAACAAAAAAATATTGAACATGTGTAAATAAATATTAAAAACGGGATTTTATAGTCTCACAAGCAATCATTTAAAAAGTGATTGCTTAAAATGTTTGTAAATTATTTTAATAACTAATAAATCGAAAACGATTGATAAATCTTGTGGGACCCAAAAAACTTTTTATAATATAAGCTAACAGTTATTTCTCACCATTTCAGTTAAATAACTAATTATGATTTAAAGAATCTCTTATTGTGAAAAGAGATGCTACAGCATCCTTATATAATTATATATAGCTGCTAGATGAAAACCATGTTATTAGAAAAAAGAAGAAAGTTAAATTATATATTTGTTAAAAATTACATATGAAATAATAATAAAATGATAATTTTGCTTTTTTATAACGTTGAATTCAATTGAAAACACTAAATTTCTACTTTAAAAATCGACGTCGGTCGTCATCCTAGATTCATGGACGATCTCATCGAGAAGTTGATGATTTTTATGTTTCTTGCGACGTTTAAAAATTTTTGCAGTAAATTTTTGCTCATAATAAGTTAGAGATTTGGGCGTACGTGTAACCAAACTGAAACGAACAATTTTACATGATTATGTTGATGATCATGTTTTCTTAAATAGAAATTTTATTTTACGATAAACATGAGGTCTTGCTCAAAATTCGACGTCCAAATGATTTCGAAATTTTTTAACTGTCATAATCTATAATCTTACACGTACATATATTATTTGTATGTATTTTGTATTATTCATTTGATGAATAGAACTGACGCGTTGTTATGAGATATATTTTTATAATGATCATCACTTCGATTGATATATACTTTCATTGTTTTGAAACAGTAAAAAATTATAAAATAAAAACATTTTATTCAAAAAATGTCATGTTTACCCGTTCATTTTATTCTGCAAAATTCTTATGGGAATTTCATTAATCCTTGCTGATATTCCTGATGGCGGCAAAGATTGATAGGCTATCTCGTTAAATATGTTTCGACTTAAATGGCTTAAATGATCCGCTATCGTAACGAATCTGTGTCCCAATCCGAACACGGCAGAAAACAGTTCATCTGGAATGGCACAGGAAGAGGGTACATTCAAGGAATTAAACGTAAAATTATTTCGACAAGAGTCCAAAATTTACAATAAAAATAAAAATATATTTGTTAATAACGAATAAACAGTACAATTTTTCATTACAATGAAATACAATATAATACTTGTAATTGTTGTTCATCCTCGCAAGGTTTAACATTTTTTGGCATTAAAAAGGTGATTAAAGCAAAACATTTGAAGTAGAATGATATGTAAATGTGTAAGATACGCGATGAAAATTTGGGAAATTGTAAATTAATTATTTATTTGAACGTTATATTCGATATTTTTAGAAAAAAAAATCACAAAACTAAAATTGTATGTACTTTTGTATGAACAAGACTGTATGCAATCGATGAACTAAGGTTTACATGACTTTTAACTTAATGAACAATGTAATTCAAAAACATTATTTACATAACAATGAAGAATTGAAAAAAATGAATTAGCATAAATTAACTATTGATACATAATGTAAATCTAACAAGACAAACGTCTTTTTTGTCTTATAGCGTGTTATACAAATGATTCTTTTCTCTCAGTGCCTGATGCAAGTTATAAGAGGTGTATTATAAACTTTGGGCGATGTAGAAAAAAAATCGATCACTATTCTACTAAAAGCCAATGGTTATTTGTGTATGTCGCTGTTTTGAGTTGATGGCATACTGCAACTAAAGGCAGAGCTCAAACCAGTCACTGCAAACAGGGTAATAAAAAAACAAATTATCATTAGTGGGTTGTATGAACAAAAAAAATTAAAAAATAGTTCCATTTTTGCTGATATATAGACAATTTTTCTTACAAAAGCGGTTAGTTAAACGATGCAAGCTATAGTAAATATGATAATAAACAAAAATCAAAGCACGTTAAATTAGCAAAATGAATAAAAATTTTAATAATTTCTCTATTTGTAATGTTCAAATAAATCGAAAAGTTTAAGTATAAGTTAGAAGTGATGATTAATGAAACCACGAGAAAATAAAAATCTCTAAATTCAACGTGCAAACGAAAAACGAACCTTTTCACCATAAAAAATTAACTGCAAATCGAAAATTTTATATATATAATATGTAATATATATATTGCATGCATGCAAAACATTTTCGCCTGATAGAATTGTAATATCATTCGTATTGACTAGGCATCGTCAAAACTTCCTAAACGTATCTCGACGAGGGTATTGTTGACGAAAGTACGCGGAGAAATGTGAGAGACGTGACGCGCGAAACTCTCGGCGATCTCGAACTTACGGTAATCGGCATCCTTGTGCTGCACCGCATTGTGCAGGCCTAGGGCTAGGTAGGCGTGATATTTGACGTAGTCGTTCTCCAGATCATCGAGAGCTTTACCGATGAAAGATAACGAGTCTGGCTTCCATTTGGCACGAACTTCGTGGCACATCTCCAGAAGCTGTGGATGCGTCACAATCATGTATCGTGGAAACGATGTTGAAGTAAGAATTTAATAGATCGGTAAAAAAGTGTTACCTTGTGAATGGCTCGAGTTAGATCGCTAAATTCTTCGGTTTGCAGGCAATGCTCGTAAACGTTTTCTACGTATTCATTGTGGACTACAAAATACATTTTTGTTTCAAAATGTTCAACAGTTGATTCAATTTGTTTTTAATTGTCATTTTAATTATAATAAATAATAAAAAATGTTGGAAAAATAATACTTGTTACGATCGCCTCGAAATTTTCTGCTTGAGCCAGGTCCTTCACGAGTTTTTGTCCCAATCCTTGTAGAACTTGTCCGGACAGGTACGTATGTATGGATCCGACCGCGTGCATCAGCCAAAATCTCAAGCACTCGAGTCTTTTTATGTGGAAATTTTGAATGGTATCATGAACAATCGAATCGTCCACACGGTTCAAATCTATAGCACAATTATGGATTAGAAACGACAGAAACTTCGAATTGCGCACCGTAAGACCTACCGTTAAACTTCAAATTATTTAAAGTCCACATAGCCCATTTGAGTTTCAATTCAAATCTGAAAATTTGATTGTATTTATCGAGCGTCTCCTCACTCAAAAGCATATTAATGGGCCATCCAGCGGCATAATGCAATTTAATGCCATCGACGGCTTCGAGGACTTTAACTGTTCGAATGTTTGCCACTGTGATCGACCAATGCGAGGTAGATTCTGGCCATTCGTGCGTCAAAACTTCTCCCAGCAGGCACGTGACATAGTAAGAATTGTTCCACATACGGTTCGACTCGATCTATAAATAAATAACGTATGACGTGCTGAAAACACCTTGAGGAGCTAGATGAAAATTGAAGTAAAATACTCATAATCATGCGAACCTCGTTGAAGATAAGATTACAGAATTTGTTCATAACGTGACTTTCCATCATGTAAACTGAACGCATGAGCTTAAGCTTGGCGTCGAGCTTATACTCCTTCACCAGGATGTCCTTGACCAGTTTACTGGCTCCGCTAAATCTCGCATCTAAAACGCGACCGATTACTAATTCCAGTATCCTGCGCCAAGGCGGCACCACTCGAATTTTGTTTACGAACTCGATACTCGATGTAACATTCTCGGTTAGCCGAGTCGACGAAGAGTCAATCACGTCGTCTTCTGGTGGAATGAAAGTTTCGAGTGCTTTGCTGAAGAACGGATTGTTCGTAGCCATTACCTGTTGCGTTATTGCTTGTTCGACGTCGTCGATCGAGCGGCTGCAGTTCGGTACACGAATGGCTAGGGTCACCGACGTTGAGTCAATGCAATCGCTGGGAATTAGACTCTTATCGTATTTGGCTGATTCTAAGGATATCTCTTTCAAGCACTCCTCGCGCAAACTTCCGCTGAACACTGAAAGTTAAATGTGAATTAACAATTTACTGCCGGGATTTTGGCTGTGTAAAAATTACCGTGTTCTTTTTCTGTCATGTTCCACAGATCGGACATACGATCTAGAGTTGCGAGTAGCTCGACGCTACGACCCATGTGATACACTTTGTGCATGAGTATTTTCATCACCGGATCGTCAAGACATATAGGATCGAGTGTTCTCACTACAAATTCCTCCAAGCACCTACTGTAACCCCGAGAAGAAGTTTCAGTCGTTCTAAAATCCAACACAGATCGTTATTGTAACTCATGTTAAAAATATGTGAATCAAAGAACTCACTCTGTGCAACGAGCAATCAAAAATTCGTCTCTCCAGTCTTCTAATCGTCCTTGACTTAGCCAAACATCAACAATATTTAGATAAACAGATAAACAAGAGAGATATAAACTAACACATAAATTTATAGCATCTGGTTTGCTGCAATTTTGAATTTTATAAAACAGTTTTGATAATAACTTTGAAGCACTTTGCCAATTCTCTGACTTTTCCCAATCTTCTGTTACAGTTTTATGAATTTCATAAATAGTTTTTATTTTATCTAATTGAACCTTCAGCAATTTTGATATGGAAAGAAACGTCTTTTGGGAGTCTGTGACATAAAATTTGTACAATTGATTAATAAAATGAACTATATATAAATTCATTAAGAATATGGTACCTTGTTTCATAACTTCAATTTCAAATTCAGAAAGTCCTGTCTTTATTTTCAAAAGTTCATGTTGAACCATTGTAGCATAAGTCTCATAAGTAAAAGATGGTTTGTGATCATTTTCTGATGATTCTTTCATTCTCAATACATTTTCAAGAAAATTTTCAATATCTTTTATCATGGTATAATACTGACAAAATGACCTTAACATACTTTTAAATGCAACCTTTGAGTAAAATTGAATTAAAAAAAATTATTTTAAAGTCTGTTTCATTAAAATAAACATTGGAATTGTATTAAAAATGAATTCTTACGGTAGTTAGACTTGGTATAGTTGCTTCTTTTACTGAAAATTTAGAATTTGCTTCCTCTTGATAAAGAGTCATGGTGGATTGAGCATGAAACATCCATAAAAGTTCTCTGCATGCTTGGTACTCACTTATAGTACTTGTAACTTTTCTATTCCTTAATGTACTTTTTTTCCAAACCTCATTGAAATGTGCTGCTGCAAATGGACTATCTACTCTATGTTGATGCCAATCCAATTCATTCCACCAAAAAGTTTGAACATTATTTTTTAGCCAATTTTTTGATATTATTTGTTGTGGTAAATCATTGATCTGTTCTCTTGATGAAATTTCAATCAAATTATGAATGATATGTGATTTCTTTTCATTAGGCTCATTTTCTTGTTTATAAGAAGACAAATCCAGCTGACCATCATTTTCATCTTCTGACCAATCCTGTAAATTTCTTATCCAGTGTTATGGATAATTTTTTTTAAATTTAATAACTGTGAAATGAGTACTTACACTATCGCTGTCACTATCATATTGATTAAAGAATTCTTCTTGCCCTTCTTTTAAATATTGAGCCCAATCAATTTCCTCCAATTTTTCTTCTTCTGTACTACTGTTATGACCATTTAAACTGCGATCTCTACTCAGCGAAGTGCCAATTTCAGATTTATTTGTCTCATTCGCCAAATTTAGAAGCAGAGACAACAAAGACCATTGTAAATCATATTGTGGGTGTCTCTCAAAATCAAAACATGTAAGAAAGCTTTCTACAAGCTCTTTGAATTCTTTGGCAACGTCATATTTCCCATGAATTAAAAACTTCTGAGTAATCTCTTCAATTTCTCTTTTAACAGCATTACTGTTGACAGATAGATAACGGTGATGTTTTATTTGAGACAAAGCAAAACGTTCACAAATGGGAAATCCTTCGTGACTCTCCTATGCAAAAATAAATAAATAGTTAAATGTCAAGGGAAGAGAATATTACTACTAAAAAATATTTCCATACTTCAAAACCACTTATAGCGGTAATTAAGAGTTTTAGATCCCGATGGATATCGGAGAGTATTTTCGTGCCCATTTTCTAGCAGTTTTATTATTCATCACATAATTCGAATCGCTTGTTTGTATATAAAATGTTATGATGCATTGTAAGTTACGAACTCCATTTCGCGCAAAACTGCGCAAAAATATATGCTGCAGCCTGGAACTAACCTTATATGCTTTAGCAGACAAACTTTGACGGGATATTTAGGTGCGAAATTTAAATTTTGTCGACAATTCAGTGAATGAATTTTAAGATGCTTCATCGTCATACTTATTGAATCAATGAGGACATAAGTAAAAGTGATGTTCATAGTTCAAAAAAATCGATGCTTAATAAAATAAAATTGAATAGATGGGCAATAGTGAGGCCCAATTACACACATTTTAGACGAGTTAAAGTGCATTAAAGCCCGAAATTACAAAATTTCTCTTTGCTCTGTAATTTACTTACATACGTTATATGTTTAGGCTTGAAATTCAATGTCTTGTCAGAATTTTGGCTCAGATTTAGAGTCGGATGTGTTGTAAAAAAACAGTTAAGGTCGTTTAAATGAAAAAATATATAAATTTATGCAAAATATCAATTTTAGATTTTTTATACCACTTTTTTCTAACAAATAAATGTCCATGAAATGAATTCTAAAATTGATCAAAGAACACCCTTAAATTTCTTCAGAATTTTCGGGAACAATTTTTTTGCTTTCCGAAAATGGGGAAAATTCAATTTCCTAATATCATTTGAAAAAATTTGAAAGTATCCCTCGATAAATTCCAAAACTTTTTCTTTGCTTCAATGGCTTTCGAGATAAAAAGTGAGTTTAGTTGTTTACAAATTTGCGGTCGACTAAGTCCGTGTTTTGCAGAAATGTTTACGTTTTGTTTTTTTTTTTAACGATCATAACTTTTTTACTACGCATCAATCTTAAATCTGAACCTGGAACATAAAAAATAGTCGCATTTTCAAGCTAAGCGAAATTTCATCATTCTGAGCTTTAATGGGTTGATGCACACTTTACACGCGCGCGCCTACTATCGAGTTTATCTTATGAAGACTAATTTGTACGGGATACCGGCTTATCTAATCTTGGTTACACTTGCGTACAAGCCTACTACCTGAGCTGACAAATTTCTATTATGTTCTAATCATTGTAATGTTTCAATTAAGTGGTTTCGTAAGATCTCATTGGCTTTCAATTAAAATCAGGGCTCACGTATTTACTCACATAAACTTTTTCGAACGGGAACTGGAAGTGAAAAAGTAAAAGCAAATATATGAGAGATGATCGAAAAAATGATCTACTTTTTTTTAAAAGTAGAGTTTTATTATGAAACTAAATTCTAATCTCAACCGATGGTAACGAGCTTGACTTCGTTTTCTTTTTGAACGTTTAAATACAGTACTTGCGTGAGTATTGCCCAATTTCTTGCTAGTCTAGATTATACCAGAAATGTCAGTCGTTGGTGCAATCTATGGAAAAGATAGTGCAGCGGACGAATCGAAGGGTAACGCCCATATCTGCACCACCGTAAAATGAAATAGATCATTTTTTAGGCGTACGGGAGATGCTTGGTATAAATACCCGAAATTTCATGTTCATTCAATCAGTTTTCTTCTGACCTTCGTACGAGTTTTCAAAACAAAAATTTCAAACAACAATCAAAATGTTTTCGAAAATTGCTCTTTTGTTCATTTTTGGCTGCATTGGACTCGTTTTGGTAAACAAATAGAATAACACGAAAAAAATAATTTTCATTGTTATTTTCAACTTTATACATTTTTTCTCGTAGTCTTCGCCAGTTCCATCAGACAGTCAAACCGAGGAGGTTTCTTCTACTCCATCGAAACCAGAAACGGCCGTCACCGCAGCTACTCCAACAAAAATTGCAATGATGTCTCCTTTCAAAAATTTTGATAGCGCCGTAAGTTACACTTATTTTCGTTTTCTAAACTGACTAAAGCAGTTATAATGTAAAAATAATCATTTTATCATAAAATTTATTTGCAATCATTTAAATTTCAAATCTGAAGAGTTGTTATCAATCATCTATAAAATTAATTTAACTCAAGTAGTTTAATTTATGATAGGTCAGAATAATTAAAACATTTTGTGTATTACAGGGACTGGAGATTCTTCAGGAAATTATTGGTGGCCTTACCGATCGTTTCGGTGACGCATATGTAAAAACCTACGATCAACAAAAAGGTTCAATTGACGAGACCATTAAAAGTATCAAAGATATGGGAAAATTAGGAGTTGAGTCTGGTGTCAATCTGATGAAAAACGGCCTTGAATTCTTCTTTATTGTGCCAACCTTCACAAGACATGTAGCTGCTAACGAGGGTTAATTTCACTGTCTCGAATTCACGATGTAATTAATAAGTATTCGTTTAAGACTTTTTAAACATAAGCATTGATGTGGAAAAACTCGTGATATAAATGTTTCTTAATAAATATTTTATATTTAAAAATTAATATGGGTTTTAATTCATTTTGTTGGGATTTTCCCAAAAATTTACAAAAACATCTAATTGCATAACATTGTTACGTTGAAAATAACTGAAAGCTATTTTGATTAATCAACTACATAAGAAATGGACATTCCAAAACAAATTTTCTTCAAAAGTTGTCTACAAATAAACATAAAGCATCTTATTTATCAAATGTCATTGTACTAGCTCAAGTGAAAACTTCATAATAATTTTAAAACGTAATGAAATCATCATTTTGACCTTCTAAGCAAATTTATAACAATCACTTGATCCGAGAATATTTATCTCATGACGACGTCTGCAGGTACAACGTCATTAATATAAAAGTCATCGAGAAAAACCTTCAAAGTGATGCATCAAAGATTAATTTATCACTGATAAGAGCATAGAATTATTTGCTTATACCTGTCCGTTTATGTTTTACTCAAAACATGAGATAAAAATGATCCTTGAGTAAGCGAATGCTGATCTACGATATCACGTCATTTTCGTACATTAAAACATCATAACGAACTGAAGAAAATCTCAGTTTCGAGTTTGCGATTGCAATCTGGTCGATTTTTTGTCGAATCATCAAAATGTTGGTGAAAATTGCGTTTACTCTACTCCTGTGTATCTACATAGCTGCGGTATGTCAAATCACCATTTAAAATCATTTTTAAGTGTGATAAAACCCTTTTGTCGTTAGCAGGCCGTACCCGTACCAAAGCCCGAAACCGGTCTCGATATACCAGCAGACGAGGTAATAAGGCTTTTTCCTCTTTCCACTTAAAATCGCCATTTAGAATTGAAAATAATGGAACGCATCTTTAGGGATTGAAAGTACTTGAAGCCGTAATCGGTGGACTGACCGATCGATTTGGCAATGCATACGTCGCCACTTATAATGAAGAAAAACAATCGATGACAAATACCCTCGAAAGCGTCAAGCAAACGGGCCAAATGGGTGTGGAAACGGGAGTGAATCTCGTAAAAAATGGACTCGAATTTATCTTCCTCGTTCCGACTTTTGCAAAAAATATATTTTCTCGATCGGGATAGCTTGTATGAATTCGGGTTTTTTGTATAAATTTAAAATAATTTTAAGGTTTATTCATCATAGTTTTGTAAATATTATAACCAATACCACAGTTAAAATTTTTTCATCTTATGTTTAAACGCAGCTAATAGAAAAATAAAGTAATAAAACAAGCTTGAATGATATGTTATTTTTCTTCTCAAATAATAAAATTTTAGCCGATGTGATAGAACACGACCAAAAACTTGATTGTATTGTTTTCTTCTGATTCATGGCCTCTTAATTTCATTTTAATGACGTCGAAACAGAAAAATTGAATAGAAAAGTAAAAAAAATAAAACAAAAATTTCATTTAGGATTTGAACAAATATTTTGAATAATGTATTAAAAGTGGTCTATTTGATAAGCGTCAAATTTGTTTCATAATAATAGGTAATCTAATGGTGATAAAATAAATTTAAAACGTAATTTTTTTCAACAAAAAGAATAATAATAAATTAGTTATGCTTCAGTCAACTATAATACAACATTCCGAAATAAGTTTTACTGGATAAAGTTGGTTGCTTTATCATTGTATTAATGGAAAAAGAAATGTTAAACCTATTCGAGGCTCCATCACATTGTTTTTGACGTTTTCCATCCTCACTTCTTACATTAAGCTTCTCTGCCTGACGAACGAAAAAATTTGTCAATTAAAAATTGAGAGATTGTAGATAATATATTAATTTGTTTTAAGCTAATTCCGAAAATACGATACACTTTCTAGTGTGTAACACAAAAGAAGGAGTACAGGTAGTATTGCCTAAGTTATAAAATTATCTTTGTAAGTAAATAAACCATAAAATGGCAATGTTACATGATATACTCTTATTTTCAAAAAATGAAATTATTATATGACACCTTGATAAAATTCGATGTTTCACACGAGTACTTATAAATTCGACAAAGAAAAAAAATCACCAGTTAAACTTTCATTTTCGACTTGTTCGGTTTTTTTTAAAGTTCTCAAAATTTTATCCATTCAAACATCAAAATGGTTTCCAAAATCGCTATCATTCTCTTCGCTTGCCTAACAATTTCTCTGGTAAAATTTTTTTTCTCATCATTATTTTTCAAATAACATATTTCAAGTACTAAAGAATTAACGCTGTTTAGGCCAGCCCAGTACCAGAAGCTTCACCATCAGCCGCTGCACTTCCAGACAGTATCAAGGTAAGAGTTTTATCGTAAAAACGTGAGCGAAATTGTTTTCAAAACACTTAATATAAACGATATGATTTTTCCACCAGTCAATTCAGCTTCTCCAAGATCTTCTTGGAGGTTTGACCGATCGTTTTGGTAAAGCTTATGTCAAGACCTACGATGACCAAAAAGGTTCAATTGACGAGACCATTAAAAGTATCAAAGACATGGGAAAATTGGGAGTCGAATCGGGCGTCAACCTAATGAAAAACGGCCTTGAATTTTTCTTTATCGTGCCAACATTCACCAAGAATGTCGCCGCTGAAGAACAGAAAAGATCTTCTGTTTAATGAATGAACAATTATAAAAATGTATGTAAATATACCATTTTCATGAATGAAACAATAAGATAAATCAATCTAGTTAATCGATTACGTGTTTATTGAGAGTACAATATCCTTTAGAAAAAATAAAAATTACTTTTTTGAACCAGTTCAAATCGTATGTTTTATCATTTTTATGATTCACTTATTTTATCTAGCTCACCTGATTAAGACATGCGTAAGAAAACTTTATAAAGTACCACGTGTTTAAACGATAATTGATCAAAAACATTATAGAATTATTTCTTCATCTAAAATATTAAACTAAAACATATTCGCGTTTTTAAATTGAAAATAAAAACGAAATTATGCGAGTTATCATTATACTATGGCATGTATTTGAGAAAATGATGAAATAACGTAAAAATTATGAGTAACTAAAGTTTGTTCATTTTTCCTATATCACCGGTGTTTACAAAGAAAATCTCTAACTTAAAACTGCAGCTGACTAATTTTCTGATATAAGAATTCTTTTAGGTTCTAGTCATTGCACGTTTTTCGAAAAATTTGCATAACGAATCATAAGAGTGTCTTTTCCGACACATTTTGAAAAGAAAAAGAATTTCGTCGCTAATGGAACCTGTTTCTGTATTTTAAAAAGAAATAGTCTTCGTAAGCACCGTTGATATAAGTGCATAAAAATTAATCAGCAGTTGTTTTTTGTATAATCAAGTGTACAAACTGATTTCTCCGCAAATACCCTGCAACAGAAAGCATTTAGATAAAAAAAATTCTCAAATTCAGTACAGATTTTTTTCTCGCAGCTATTGCAAGGTGCAATTATGATTTCCAAGTGTTTTATTATTATGTTTTTGATTTTTCTTAACGAGGTAGACAAAAGTTCTGTGCAATGAAATGTCAAAGCCAAAAAATTAATGAAAATTTTCAATATTTGGATTTAATTGTATTTTTAAAATTAATTTTCATATTTTTACTGGCCTCGGCATCTTGTCATTAAATTTAGCAAGCACGATTAAATATTTCATTTTCTTTAAGAATGTTCATGCTCGGCCGCAAAGTTCTGGCCTAGTCCAAACAAGTCAAACTGCGATACCCAACAACACTGTGAGTTTAAAATAACAAATGTTAAAAATATTTTGCTGTCGTGTAAAAAAGTGGTACAATTAGGCAACTATTATAAAATTTCAATATTACACAGTTGAATACGAAATCATTAAATAACAAAAACACGGTGATCATAATTCATCATAAAAGTAATTTCGTGTAATAAACATTATTTTTTTACAGATACGTACAATTAGAGGTTTTACGCTCGTAGGTCGTTTTATTCACCAAAACTACTTTCCAATGAAAAATTAATGATTTTAATTTTACCTGTAACAGACAACTAATGCGGCTACACCAGGTCGAACCGAAGTAATTCCAGTAACAGAAAAAATTAAGAAACCTGTAAGTGAAAACAAAAGAGTGCTTGATTTATTTCTTCAACTCTCTGAAACTCGAACAAGAACAATTATTTTGAAATCCGTTATCTAAAATTTTTACCAAATTCTTATTTCTCTGAATAAATTTCAATCTTCTTGAAAATTTCTCTACTATTTAGAAAAAATTAATGTAAAATTCTAAAAAAAAATCAAAATTCTGAGTTATAAATTGTCTTAAAGAAATATATATCATTTCTATGCATAATGGAACAATTTTCAAATTTTAGGAGAGCGGAGGATTTTTGGAAAGTTTGAAACAAATCTTAGATTAGAAAGTTGAACTTATAAGAAAAAAATTCGAAATAATCTCAGAATTTGGCAACCAAATCTTGACTAGAGTCCAGGAAATGGGTAGAGGATTATTTAATTGATGAAAAGATTTCATGTTACAATAATATTTAAAAGACTCAAATGAAGTTTATTTTCTTTATTAAAAAAATTCAACAGGCTTAAAATTGCCTTTTTACAAGATACAAATAAATAATTAATAATAAGATACTATTTACACATATGCTTAATCGTAGAAAGGATCCAAAACCCAGCCTCAAAATTCAAACGTTCAAACAAGCGCCCAAAAACTTCTACTAAAAATCTACTAAAATACTCTAAAAAGCTCTATGGGAACCTTAATAACATCGAATAAAGGTTGTCATACAGCTTTCTAGAGAAATATTCAGTAGAGGTTTTTGAAAATTTGTTTAAAAATTCGAATTCTAGGCTGGATTCCGGGTTTCCTGTAGCTTTCTTATATGCTGACTCAAAGCTTGCATTATTTTTTTTGTTTTTACTTCCTTCATATACAAATAAATGGATGTACGAAGCTTTATTACTTTTTTTAAAAATATATTATTATTCAAATAATTAATGTCAGCGACAACTTTTTTAATTTTTTCCTAAAGTACAAGTATAATTTAAGCATCTTCAGTAGATGTCATCGTCCTAACCATTGACAGACAAAATTGAGCAAAATAACACTATACATAATTAATGTAAAACAATATCATTAATACAAATGTTAACTATGGGTCGTAACTCTTGCTGAACATAATCTTCCGGAAGAGGTAACTGCGATATCAAGTCGACCAGTAAACTGTCAGAATTTCGATTGTCTGATTGCAGTATAATCAAGCCTCGGACAAGCTGCAACGTTCTTTTCGCCATTTCAGCTTGGCACAGTCTGTGCTTTAAAGTTGGGCAGGGAAAATTGCAAATTTTCGTGCAGAATGAGCTGATCTTCGGTCGCAGCTTTTCAAGTTTGTAAGCGATATCTGAGTGATCCTGGGAGTTCAAGAGATTTTTAATCTCGTCCGTAACAGTTAAATAATCCCACAAAAGCTGTCCTTGATACGTCCAACCACTGATGGTATTGTGACAATGAGAAGGTGTGAGCAGATTTAATAACGATCGCAAGTAGACATGATCTTCGTTTATAATAGCGATTGTAGCAAGATGCTGCATTATGATTACGTGAGCTTCGTTCCAGTCCTGAGCTTTGATGTAATAGTAAGCAGCTTCACCCCATCTCTTCATTGAAGAAGCTTTTATAGCCTTAGCTTTGTTTATCCACTCAGCAGGAATCTTTAAATTTTCCAACAGAAATTCTTCGCGCTTCATGTAATCGGTATCTGCATTTAACTGAACGTGACGAAGCAGCAGATCGAAAATAATCTTGAATCTCTTATGAGGATCTTTGACGTGCATGTTGACGAAAATAGACCAATGCCAAAGATCATAAGCTTCCAGTTGAGCAGCAAAATTCGAATGAGTTTGAACCACTACATGCTCCGACAGGTGAGTGTATCCAATAGCCATCAAAACTTGTTGCAGCAGCCAAGTTAATCTGTAATCTAAAGGATCTTGTGTAAACGTTTGAGGATTTACTAAAGGTTCTAAGGGATAGTTTCTGGAACTGTAGAGCTTCAACAAGTGGAAACACAAGTCGTAAATGACTTTGCCATTGCTTGTCTCGAAATCTTTCTGATAATCGGGTAACGGACTAGCAGAGTAGTTGTTCATGGCCGAATCTGAGAATGATTCTTCAAAAAGTGTCAAAACATCGGTAATGGAAGCTGTAGGTGACGACAGGAACCACAAGTGAATAGCGAATGCACGCTTCCAGTCCAAATTATCACACACACTGATGCTTTGATCATCTACTGTTAATGTTGGAATACCTGCGATCAACATAAACAACCTCAATCTGTAAGTTGAGATATTTTTGTCGCACTCAGTCTGCTGCCAAAGGTTGATTTGCTGCTTCAGTAATTTACCAACTGTGTCAGCTCCACCCATCTGCGATATCAAAAGGGCAAGACAATGATCTCCGACAGACATAGCTTTATTGCAAGCTTTTTCTAAGTTGCATGTGCTCAACAAGGAGTAAACTATTTCTTCGCTCGATTCAATCAAAGCGATTTCCTTTTTCACGGTGTCGGCCGAGACAAGCTTCAGCCACTCTCCAAGTGCTTCTTTTCGCTGAATGATCATTTCATGGCTTGTTTCGTCCTCCCGAGTTTTTGAATCTTCGATTCTACCCCACAGGGTCTCGCAAAGTCTCCAAATATTGCTACTATACTGTAGCAAAAAATCTTCTGGTAATTCATTGATTATCTTCAAAGAACTATTTTTATGATCCTTTAGAGCCTCCAAGCTAGATTCATAATTCATTCCCTTGGACATTGGGCATATTGGATGATCTTCAATAGTTGAATATTTCAAATGAATCTTCAAATGATCTTCGATGCTTACCTTGAAAATTTGTAACTGATCTAATTCTACGCTATCGCCGCAAATAGCATTAGTCATTTGCACTTCGTTCATAAATACAGCATTTTTCATTGGAATATTAGATCCCATTTGCAAGTATTTAGTTGAAGCAGCGGTTAAAAGATTTGATTGAGGCCCCCAACTTGACCGTGCTATTTTCATTCTTGGAATATAGCCTTCAATCATCCTTTTGTAATCATAGTTGCTGACAATGGAAGAATTAAAAAGCTTGGCAGCAGATCGAAATTTCATCATGGCTACTTTAGGTTGCAGAGTAGGATTTACTAAAGCCTTGGACACTTTTATCTTAGGAGTTAACAAAGGTACTTTATCATTACCTGGCATGACTTTACTTTTTAATTGGGCTATCTTCTTTGACTCTATGAAGCTGTGAAGATTACTTTCCCGCTGATCCGATGGTTGAACATCAATAGCAGAGGATAGCTTTGTTCTGAAATTCTGACTGATCTGTTGTTTCGATTCGTAAAGCGCATCTTCAATAAAGTCATCAGCCATATCAAAAAAGCTAGCTTTCATGAGCTGCAGAGTATGAGGTTCAGTGCCAGCCAGACAAGCATTGATGGTACTCGGACTACAGTATGTCAAGTTGTTGCTTTCCTCCATTTTATTCGCGCTATCGTTGCTTTGCAAATTGTAAGTTGTCATGAATTTATTACCGAGGGACGTCAGGTGCTCTACAGACTGTGCAAACTGCATATCTTGAACAGAATATTGATCTGATAAATTTTTTCCAACTTCATAAGGTTTTTGCTGCTGATGTTGCTGCTGGTGTTGAGCAAGAGGCTGCTTGAGTTTATTAATAAGGTTGGCTTTACTTACAGCTTTAGGATCGGCATCTTCATCGTCAGAATCGCTTAGACCGTACTTCGAAAAATGATCAACTTTGAAGACCCAAGAACCGGTCTCGGGCCGGTACTCCAAAAACCGGGTATCATGCTTCGCCGATACTCGCCGCAATCGACCTTCATAGTCCATATCTTGTAGACGTTGGGGATCAGTAATCGGTTCATGAGTCGATTTATCGTGTGGCCATACTCGTTCTAACGTTACTTGAGCCTTACGATTCAAACCTTGTCCAACTGGAGGTTTCACGTCGTCGTCGGGATAAATGATAACTTCTTTGTGTCTAAAGTGAACGATCTCGTCCAAATTCAAACCGTAAACGTCGAACGAATCGGCGAAGTAAACGTTGCCATAGCCTTTTCGACCAATTGTAAAATTAGGCACGATGCACGTTTCTCCACTTACGTACTTATACAATTGATCCAGAGCTGGAATTGTATAATAACCGTAACGTTGCAATTTGACTTTGGCTTTGTTTGGAGTATCCAGCTGGTGACTCATTGTAGCCTCTTCCAAGTCTGACAGAGCTCGACTATCATCACGCGTTAGTTCTAGCACACTTTTATCTTTAAGGGCATCTGATTGTTTGTCGCTTCTATTAGAGTCGTTTAATACATCGGCATCAGATTTAGATGACGTTGGTGCTCTCAGTTCTGTGACAGTATTTTCTAACTCACCAGTATTCCTTGGTGATTCGCATGTGACTGAAAAAGAAGCCTCTTGAATTTGATCATCTGGAACGAATGATTTTCGGGGAAGAGATTTCAACCAAGATGTAGATAAACGTCTACCAGAAGCTGGATTATCCTGCATATCGTTCTCTTTATCCAATGCTGGTGATATTGCAGCATCAGTTAAGCTTAAGTTGCACGGCTCATTGTCTGTTGTAGTTAATTTATTAGCATTATTAGAATTATTAGCTGTATCATCAAAATTTTGTGGTTTTGGACGTAAAATCAATCTTTTGGAATTCGGTCTGGGCTGGAATGCTTCAAGCATTGGATCCTCTTCTTCTAATCCTTCAAAGAATTGTTTCTTGGTAGATGCTGTAGACGTTACTACTTTAAGTTTAGGTTTATTTTCATTATTGCCTGTATTAATTTTGTAATATGCTGCAAGCGAGCCTGGTTTTGGAGGAGTACTTGTATTTGTAGGTGGCTGAGTTAAAAATCGCTCACTTTTACCTGATGCAGGGAGCAAATTTTTCAAAAGTGGGGAATCACCAAATGGTGTTGAAACTAATGCTAAAATACGCTGATGTACAGGTACTGTACCCGTAGCAGACTGCACATTGGCATTGGTAACGCTATTTCCAAATAAATTTGAATTAGCCATTGGAGCGGCGTTAGTATTTGATCCAAATGATCCAAGAGTTCCAAGGCCAGGTGTACTGAAACTTGACAATCCCCCAGTGTTACTAAACAGACTTGGTTTAGTTGTGGCATTGAATAACGGTGCACTTGTAGCACCTAATCCTGTTGTAGGTGCTGTTGATGTATTACCAAATGAAAAACCAGTAGTTTGTCCAGCTGGTTTGAATGAATTGTTGAAGAGTGAAGAATTATTTTGATTTGTTCCAAAGCCTGTATTTCCAACTTGGAAATTGTTATTGGTAGTGCCAAAACCTGTCGTACCAAATCCAGTTGTACCCAATGGTTTAGCAAACAAGCCACCAGAAGTATTTGCTGTAGGAGTTTGTCCAAAACCAAAACTTGTTGTTGATGTTGCCGGTGTATTGAAAGCTGGTTTATTTTGTGAAAATAAACCAATACTTTGATTTTGTTGAGTATTAGAAAAACTTGGAAATGCTGTACTTTGAGTGCCGATAGCACCGAAAGCATTTGTAGTTGTTGCAGCTTGATTATTATCACCAAAGAGAGAAGTTCCAGCTGCAGTTCCAAATGGTTTAGCTTGAGTATTAAATAAAGAAGAAGAAGTGGTGGGATTAAAAGCAAAAGTACTAGATGTCGTAGCCGCTGGTGCACCAAATGAAGTCATAGGTTTAGAAAAAAGACTTGTATTGTTTTGTTGAGCTGTGCTGCTAAATGCATTAGACATTCCACCAAACCCAGTAGAAGCAGTACTAACTGCTGCTCCAAATGGTGATGTTTGAGCAGCACCACCAAACATTGAGCCTGGCTGCATCCCTTGTCCACCTCCTTTCCTTCCAGCAGCATAATCCTCCAATCGCAATTCTTCCAAGGATTTATTCTCATATTCTTTCATGCAAGTAATGCAGTGATGTCTTGTAGAAATGGTTTGAGTAGTGCCGTTTTTCACCATCGAATCACTGCCAGTTACAGGATTAAATTTAACAACTGTTCCTGTCATATTGCTCATATTACTAGTACTAGCAGCTCCAAAACTTGTATTGGCTCCAAATAATCCAGTAGTTGGAGCAGCAGCTGTTTGTCCAAAAGGTGTAGCTTGAGCTGTTTGCTGAGTTTGCCCAAACAAACCTGTTGATTGAGTCTGGCCAAATCCAAAACTAGTCGTCTTTTGAGCTTGGCCAAAAGCTGGAGCAGCTGTGGTAGATCCAAACAAATTGGTACTAGCATTTTGCTGAGATCCGAATAAAGGTGCTGTTGTGTTTGCGCTACCAAAACCTCCAAATGTAGATTGAGTAGAAGTGCTAGTTCCAAAATTTGGTGTAGTGGTTGTACTTCCAAAAAGTCCACCTGTAGGGGCACTTGCAGGTTTTTGATTAAACAATGATGTGTTGCTTCCAAAAACTGGAGCAGTATTCGTTCCAAATGTTGGAGCGGGATTAGATTTTCCAAAAGCAGATTGACCAAATGGATTGGCTGGTGCTGTGGGTGTAGCATTAAAGCCAAACGATGAATTGCCTGCCTGTCCAAACATTTTGATTCTTACAGCTTGACACTTTCAGTTATTGAATCTAGAATCCTTGAAAAATAATTCAAATGTTATTTTTTGATGAAAATATCATTGTTTACTTGATTGTCATAAAGTATTTACAGATAATTTTGTATAAAGCCGTTTCACCATATAATGCAAAATTATAACAATGAAAAAATTTAAACAAGTAAATTTTAATGACGTAGAGTTTAATAAGTACCGAAAAGTGCAGAAACGTAAAATGCATAAAAGAGAATTTCTTTTAGCACTTGAAAATTAAAATAACTTTGATAAAGCTGATGTTTATAGTATGCCACATTCGTGTAACACGAGCTAGGTTTAGTTAAATATTAGACTAAATAATTTGAAGAACTCATTTTTAGAATTAAAAAAGTGTACTTACCGCTCGAATAAAGCGGATTCAACAAAAATGTCTGCTTTTTTAGATAAAAATTTTAATATTCCACTCAAATTCAATTTAGAACGACAACGGTCTTTTCAACACCACATACACTGTCTAACACTTCAGCCCAGTGATGTTTAGGTTATAAGGCTGATCTGATGCGTAGCAAGTAAGGAACTGGAGTTCTACAATCATACGCGCGCGATTATTGTTAAACTTCGTGATGCATTTTAGGCTAATCTAGAATACCGACAAGTTCATGATAATTTTTTTAATTTTTACTCCGCAACAATGTAATAGAAAGTGCAAAAACCAATGAGAAGTTGTTAATTGAGAATTTGGTTATTTATTGAATCAACGAAAATTGTGAATACAACTCATTGTTATTGACAGTACGTTATTTGAAAGGATTGAAGGATTTGAAGAAAGAGAGAGAAAGAGAGAGAGTGTTGAGCTTACTGGAAGACCTAATTATTCAATAACAAATTTATATCTGTAAAGTAAAACTTGAAATATGAACATATTATGTACAAATGTTTACAAATGTTATATTGTAAAAAAGTTTTATGCATTGTCTTGCCAAAGTTACGAAGAAAAATAAAAAGTTTAAAAATGAAAGAAAATGATGTTCAGTGAAAGCAGTTGTAAAATTTATACAAGTTTGTAGAAAAATAGATACAAATTTTTTTAGAAAAGTGGAGTGTCGACCGCAAATTCGATCGAATGATTTCTATTTCAAATGAATTTCCGAGCCGACTTGTTTGACAACAGTATTCACGACAACAAGTTGATTGTAAATCTTTAGCGAGATACAATATTGGGTACAAATATCTTATTAATATAAAATTGAATTCATGAAAAAAAAAACGCATGGATCGTATTTTATAAAATATTCGAAGATTATATTGGATTTAACTTCTGCTGTTTCATAATTACAAAAGTTATGGTAAGTACAAACTTTCAAAGCATACATCACACATTGCTAGAAATTAATAACAGTAAATCTCAAACATTAGATATAACGTGAAAAGTTTATAAGCATCATACTTAATAAAATATAAAGACCTATAAAAAATAATCTTAATTGAACAATTTTCATGCAAAATACAAATTTATTCTGTCGCATTACGATCCACGACGGAAATTATTTTCATCGGTACATTCACGCACTCATCAGTCTTTACAGCTCATCTTTTTCATCAAGATCGACGTCGCTAAGATCGATATCTTCTTCCTGTGGTGGTTCGGCATCTTTACCGTCCCATGGCTCAACTTTGTGAACTTTTGGTAATTCTGAGCCCTTTAGGGGTGCAGTACCACCACGACCGTAACTCAAATCACGCAAAAATTCGTTTATACCCTCCTTGGAAAATGAACCCTTCAACAAAGAATACTTCATTTTCTTCACGTTGACTACAGCTAAGGCAGGATAACCAAAGCCGCCGATTTCAAGAGCTTCTTCGATTTCAGGTTGAGCACCAGCTTCTGACCATACCCATCTATTACAATTATAAATCAATTAATTTAAATAAGTAAGTTTTTAAGTTATATTTATGGAAAAGATGAATGCTTACCCCCACATCTTATTTTTGTATTTTTCACCAAGTGATTTCAAAATTTCAAGGTATGAATTTCGGCAATCTGATTGGCAGTCAAGAATGTGTGGTAAGACAGATACAATGCATAATGGTTTATCTTCACAGGATGTTTTAAGACTTTCTTCATCTGTAATTTGAGTGAGTTCTGGAGCAGGTACATTTTCTGACAATTTATCCAAAGCCCAACTAACAATGTCACTGCTAGTACGGCCACCATTGTAATCAGAAACTGAATCTGAATCTTTCTTTCCTGGAGCAAAGTATTTAATAGTTGGGTAACCACGAATTTCATATTGGCTAGCCTAGAAACAAGAATACAAATAATAATATCATGTTTTATCATTAAATGTATGTTTTAATGGAAATAATAAATTATGGTACGCACTTTAGAAGTATGTACAGTGGCATCTAAAGCACCAAGTTTAACTTTTCCTTTAAGTTCAGTAGCGGCACTAGCCCACTGGGGTGCTAAATTCTTACAATGTCCACACCATGGAGCATAAAATTCAACAAGCCACATATCTTCAGAGCCCATTACTAATTCTTCAAAGTTCTCATCAGTCAATTCAACAACATCCTTGTTGTCTTTCGATCCACCAGATTTGGAATCACTGCTCTTTTTGCTACCACCACCATGTATGTTTGCTCTAGCTTTTTGAGATGCAGCATTGAGGGCAGCATCAACCAAGCCAGCTGCTGTACGAGGTCCATTGAAATCATCTGGCTTATTTTTGTTTGCTCCGAAAATCTTGATAGTTGGGAAGCCACGAATTCCATATTTGCCACCAAGAGATTTATGTTCATCAGCATTCACACCACCAACTTTCACAATACCCTGAAGAAATAGTAAATACAAGTTTTTTTACATAGCAGAGACTTATTTCTTATTTGAAGAAATATACATTGTAAACAATTCACGGCATTGGACAAATAAGCATACGGTGAATATGCGTACCTTGAGGGCAGAAGCGGCTTTTTCATATTCGGGCTTGAGCTGTTGACAGTGACCACACCATGGAGCGTAAAATTCGACAATCCAAATGCTGTCGCTGTTGATGACCTTCTTATCAAAATTGTCGGGCGTTAGATCGATTACGTCCGAGCTGGAGGGGTACATACATTGCACCCCAACTGCTGCGAGCAGCAATAATACTAAACCTAAACAGAAGTAAAATATTCATTGAATTTGCATTCACTAATAACCTTTTGCAAAAGTTAGTACCTCATATTGAAGTCGTTACTGTACTAAAATTAAGCAACAAGAATGAAAGCAAATAACGCAATGGCAGGACAAAAAAAAACAATAACAACCGGCTTAAGTACACAAATACGTGTCCAGAAAATGACACGATAACAATGAATCAGAATTATCAGACTTGTATATACTTACGAATTGGTAAATTTTGCATGTTGCCACGTTTACCGGCTGTGCTTGACTGACTAGAATATTCAGTAGCTTTTGGATCGTCGACCGGCGTCACTTTATGAACTTTTACCGGATGCCTTAATTCTTTATTTGGAAAGATTTTAGTGAAATAAGGAGCAACAGCGGCGACGGCGGCGAGTCGCGAGAGACGAGACGAGTAGACCCACTAAACGTATGGGTATGTATGCTACACACACTTATACTATACAGACAGGGAGCTCCGGAGCTGCTGTGCTGAGCGTGGGATTGGCACAAAGCACTTGACAAGAGAACGATGACGAAGACTTTTCGTGGAATGCCACGATTGGTCCACGCTCTCGACTATTGGCAACTGTCTTTTTCGCACTTGTTGATCGAAGATTAGCGCGAGCTTTCGGTGCTCGGATTTTCGAAGCAATTTTTGAAACCGCGTAACCTGTCAATTTCTAGATTTTTCTTTCGAGGGATGCCTTATTTGCGATTTTGATCGATTGTTGATTGCATATCGTTTTGCAGAAAAAATGTTCACAATGTTCATTTGTAAGCTTAGAAAATATCAAATATAATTTTTAATATGATTTCAATTCACGTATTCTACGCCGATGATAATAAAAGTTAGAAATGGCTGTTGAAAACTTAAAGACATTCCTTTGTGTGAACAAATTTATAAAATCAAACATTTTTTTTCACGAGTAAATTAATTTGTAATTAAACTGAAATTACGGTATAGAATTGTACTTTTCATTTTATTACATACTTCTGCTTGTTAAGAATCTCCGTAAAATTCTACAAAATCTACATTTTTTTCCTATAAGTTTTTAAGACAATATCATTATCTTGAAGTTAAGCTTAACATGACAGTTATCGGTCATTTTTATAAATTAAATTGCTGATAAGAGAATGAAATCATCTGTAGATCTTCAGGAGAAAAATGATTAGGGTTTCCAATCAGTTTAAACTACATCCTTAAGGTATAAAAGTTTCATTTATCTTGAGAAATTAATTGTGGACTTGCCTAAATGCTAATAAATAACCACCCATTTTACAATTTCTTTCTAATTTTTATTTTAATACATATGTTATTTATTTAACATATATATTTATAGCGCAATTCATATTATTTATGTCAAAGCTTTTGCGATGATCTTGAGCAGAAATTTGTTTTATAGCTTGATAAGGGCAGCACGGCTGTGTATTTATCAATAAGTATACAAGCATTTTATGTTATACATGGCATTTCGCGTCAACTCTCCCAGTGCCGCGCGGCGCGGCAGAATTAAGTCAAATCACTAAATTTGTAAATCGCTGTACAAGTACTAAAATGCTCCTTGAGAAAAAAACGAATACATGATTTCGATGGAAAATCGCCTCATCTTTCCGATGGTGAGGTCAGATTTTTCGAAATTTTCCGCTTTTCCCGGGAAAATCGCTGGGAAAACTTTAAAGTCTATTATCTCAAAAACTTCATTTTTAAGATTTTTTTAATAGTCTATATCGAAAGATCAGGAAATTTTCCATCGATGCAGACATTTTCCAGAGAGGCGTTTTTTGATTTTAGCAAGATATAGCAAGAGAAAGAAGAAAAAACGTGATTTTAGCGCGCGCTGCGCTGGCCAGGCATGCAAATACGACGAAAAAGCCGCGATGAAGCTTAAAAATCCGCTTGAGCGCTTTTAACCATTTCTGTGGTAACAGAAAACCAGTCGATGAAATTGTTAAAATTCTCGTTAAAAAAGGAGCCTACATCGAAGCACGCCATAAATATGGAGATTCTCATTTGAGTTTAGCCGTAAGACGTTTCGACTTCGGACTTACAAAGGCACTTCTAGATCATGGCACTAGTCTCGACAGTTTGAACGAGGATAAAATATGTAGCTGGAATTTAACACAATTAGAATTGAAAAATTATCCATTGACTTTCAACATTATCGAGGCGATGCAATTATTGCAGTCAGTTGGATACGAAATTAGCTTTCACATTAGAATCAGGATGATAAAATGTTGGCTGAAAGTACGAGGAAACGGTACGGAAAGTTTAATTCCTTACGGCACAGAAGAAAAAAATATTTTGAAAAAAACATAATAAAACCTTGACAAAAGGAGTACACTTTAAATTTAATGTAAATAATTTTATTGTAATATAGTTATATTAATTTTTTTTTTTTTAAGCTTAGATAATTTCTATTTGTAGTTTGTTTATACTTTTCAAAGCATTAGAGTAAAGTTACAATTATTAAGTACGATTTTTTCTTAACTTAGCTTTGAATAAAGCACTTTTTAGCAGTATAAACTTTCACGCATATAACTTTTCTTTAAAGCAAATTTGTTTTTTTATGCAGAAGTACATTACTTAGAAAATTTCGCCTTGACAATTATAAAAACTTACAAAAACAAGTTTATAGTTATTTATTTAAATTATTCAAAATATATTTAAATTTGTATTATCTTAGATCAAAATAATGCATTAAAAAAGTGAAAACATAATCAATATTTGAATATTAATTTTGATACCCCTATAATCAAATTATAAAAAATGAATCAAAATAAAACATCCCAGTGTTTTTAAGATACTTAAAATGAAACTCGCGTTTTTATCCACTTTAAAAGCGTTAAATTTGCGCGTAATCAGTAAGTTAAAATAGACAAATGAGCTTAATTTTCAAATACATGAAAACAAGTAGTATAAAAAAGTATTCTAAAAGTCATAATCTAGCAAAGCATCCGAAATGAATGCTATGATAGAATTCATTTAAACGTATGATTAAATATAAGAATTATCAAGTGTATAAAGTAAAAATATATTGTGCGTTAATGATGGCGATGCAGACATTAAATCTAGTTTTCCATTTTAACCAGAGCTTGCAGTTTCATTAGCTAACGGCATATCTGCGTTGCATTCATCATGATTGTTTTGGACGCATTTTGCCTTATTTTGCCTGACCATTTCGACGCGTTTATCCTAAAAGATAAGTGTTATTTAAAAAAAAATTGAATATTGCAAAAAATTACCCATAAGAAAAAACTCACATGAATCTTAAGCTTCTCTATTTGCTCTCGCTCAATGGTTTCGCGTCTTTCTCGAGCTTGATCCAATTTGCTCTGAATTTGAGCCTCAAGCTGGTGTACTCTCTCACTCATGCCCTTGCGCACGCGAGCTACCTGATCTTCCTAAAATTACGAGAAAAAAAAAGTAAGAAAAACATTGTTGGTTTCCTCCCTTTAGAGCATCTGGACCCCACATTATTACCGACAGAGACGCCCGAAATTTCTTTCATTGATAATATATTTAGTAAATCAAAATTTGACCTTCATTTTATTGCTAAGAATTGGTAGCTAGAGTTTCAGCCTCTTTCACTGAGTAAATTTCCCGAAAAACTGGATCAAAACGTTCAAATCAGTAGTCCGGAGAATGTAACTTGGCTCAAACTTTTTGATCCAGTTTTTCGGGAAATTTACCCAGTGAAAGAGGATGAAATTTTAGCTACCTATTCTTAGCAATAAAACGAAAGTCAAAATTTGATTAACGAAAAATGTTATCAATAAAAGAAATTTCGGACGATAAGAATGTCAGGTCCAGATGCTCTTGAACAAAATTTACATAATTTACTAACGTGCTCTTTCAGCCGATCTAGCATTTTCTTCGTGTTTTCATCTCTCTGAGCTGTAGCAGTTTTGAGTTTTTCTTCAAGCGCTACGCGCACTTCTTCAGTTTGTTGATCTAGAGACAATCTGGTTTTTTCAACAGTCTCCAACTACAAAGGTAAACAATAAGTTAATCCAAAATACATTAGATCAATCAACTAAATCGAGACTTACATGCTCTTTGAGTTTGTTCTTGAGATCATTGATGTAAGCTTCTCTCTTTTCCTCATTATCCTTCATTTTCAAATTGAGCGACTCTCGAGTTGCATTAACGAACGTTTCGTTGAGCTCATCCTTCTTGCGCGACACTTCCTCGATTTTGCTGAGGCGGACATTGAGCGCGGCAATCTTGTTGGCTTCAAGGGACAATCGACGCTCTTCCGCCGCTCGCAATTTGTCCTCGATGTTGACCGTCAGCTGAGTGGGTGACGGCTGAGGCGAAGGAGCTCGCTTGGCTGGAGCCGTGGGCTCGGCCAAGATCACTTCGAAACGCAAGCCTCCTTTGGTTTTCTCCTGGCAGCGAATCTCCGTTGCTATGGAAAATTGAGAAAATTACGAAGTCGTAAAGATGATGTAAATTTTTTGCCATCGCCAGTGAATTATTATAGTAAGCACGCATGTTCGTAAAACTTTCTCTTTTGAAAAGAAAACGTTGAGTAACAAAGACCGTAAAACGCAAATCATAAACATTTTACGTTCTTATTCTAAGCAAGGAATTCGTTAATCGACGCAAATTAAACGAAACAGTAGCTTGTCTGCAATTTGTGCAAAAACAAAGGCATTCAATGAAATATCAGAGATGGCTGAAAAAAAAAGAACTCTCTCAAGTAGCGGCCGACACAAGGTGCTCTCCCTTTTCGTACACAATATGCATAATGTAACATGCATTATTAGAGGTCTAGTGCAGTGCAGTGGAGTAACTAATCAAGTACAATTAAGCGTTATCGAAATGGAATAAGGGAATATTCTACTTCGTGCGGTATTCGTATGCGTGGGTGCAACCCTCGAGGGAAGAGTACGAAGTATGTGTATGGTATACACATATTTATGAGAGCGTCGCGCGTGTGACTCAGCACAGGCAGATCGATCTGTCCACGATTTCCTCGTACTCGAGCGCAAGCCAATGCGCAAGCTTTTACGTATAGAGAAGATAATGCACAAAAAATAGGTACTTTTTCCTCGTTACTTGGTCAAATGTACCCCGGTTGAACAAAGAAAAGCTTTCGAAAAACATATATTCGCGTCGCCCTCGTAAATCATGGCCGCGAGCTGCAAGAAAGTGCTCTATAACGCTGCTCTACGAGCGTCGAGCGCTGCATTTACGTTTATAATATACAAGTTAGAAAACCCACGCAAAAAGTGCCTTTTCATTCGAATCACTTTGGCATCTTCGCATAATATTCTCGTTCGTACATATTTGCTATCTCGGTACGTACGTTTTTGCATATAAAAAATACGAGGATTTATGGCTCGGGTTAGCCCAGACACCCTAAATCTTCCGAGTCCGCGGCGGCGATATCGGTGCAGAGTTGCATTAAATGCATGGACTATTGCTGCCTATAACAACTGCATAGGCGGCTGCCCACGCTCCTGCCTCGCGAGAGAGCACCGCGAGTGCAATGAACCTCAGCGCGGCTCGAGTCGCATGCACACACGAGCCGTCGAACGACGACCTATACGCTCAACATCTATACGGCTGCACACGAGAGCAAAGGCGCGAGCCAAAATTTGGCTCGACGATGATAATGCACAAGCAGAGCGAGCGTTTGCAGCGTTACGCAACGATCCTCCTCTCTACATAGCGCACACTTATTAACATTGGTACGATTACTCACTTATAAACTTGACTTTCTTGGGTTGTTTAGTCCGAGCTTTGCCACTTGGCTTTTTCGTTATAGGAACTGCCGTGTTGTTCGTGCCTTTCTCGTTACCTGTTTATCACCGTTATCTCTTCCGTATTAAATGCATAAAATAACATTTGGGCAAGTGGGGGACATCGAACGAAAAAGGAAGAGTCTTATCTTCAGGAGGATATACGTTAGTCCCTCAAGATATATCGGGCCAATCGAAATTACCTTTGGCACGCGCGAACAACGAGGGAGAAAAGACAAAATCCAGAGGGAGAAAAAGACAGATATTCCCATAGAATTATTGACTTTTTACGCTCTCCTGCACACAAACTTGGGCGAAACTTTAACCAACTTGACCCGATAAAGCCTCATGCCAAAGATGCCTTTTTTTCTTTCTCTTTCTCTCTGTCTTTCTCTCGTATTCAAGAAGGTCTTCCAAACGGAGGAAAAACTTTTGACGTTTTAATTCTTGAAGAGAGACTCTAAAGGAACGTAAAAATAGAAAGTTAGATTCTTACGGTAAAGAATTAATTTTCCTTGAAAAAAATTTGTAACTTGTCGTCACTCAACGGCATTTCTCCGCAACTTGGCGTAAAATTGATCGTACCGTAGCCGACTCCACATACACGTATATCGATCGTTACAAGAGTATATTCAGCATTGCGTGCGTTTGACTAATTTTATGTACGAGTGTCACGAGGCGAAAATAAGTACCTTTAGGACCGATTGAATGGGCAAAGATTAAAAAATCCATAGATTAACGTTTATGTAAAGACCGAAAGATGATACGAGTGTGATCAGGTAAATGACATTATGAAATCGACCCAACTCCGAATTAAAACTTTGTAATTCAAAAATGTAAGAATTTCAATGTTTTAACAGTGCCACTTTTGCAATCAAATTTTTCCTTCGGTACATGGATCTTAGCTACCCATAGAGTTAGCAACTCAATCATATGCCATTTTATAGAAAATACTAATTACGTAAAATTGTTAGCATGAATTTATTGAATTTTGATAGAACATATTAAAACTGAAAATCTTTCGCCAAATATCAAGTGTGGGAAATATAGTAACCGAGGAAGCTAAGAGAGTCGCGAGAAAGACAAAATCAAAGTTTCCTTAAAATTTTTTAAACGAGATGTTAAGTTCGGGCAGTTGTAAATATAATTCAACTTGATTGTTACACATCGCAAAATATAAGAAGTAAATAGATTCAAATACAACGATTATCCTCCAGAAAATAAGGGGTAGAAAAACAAAAATTTGAGATAAAAATGTCCACTATTAGTCATATCTCACCCACAAGACGGAGAGGAGTCTTGCAACTTTGGCAGAAACACTGCAGTACCGAGTCGCGTACAAGGTCGATAAGCATCTTTACCTATAAATTGAGATTGCCTCCAACAGATGTAACATAATGAATTTTTAATATAACGTAAAATTAAGGGTATAGCGAAGATAGCCCAAAAATTAAATTTACAATTCCAATTTACTAAACTCGTACTGTTCGCATTCCTCTATAAATACCTTAAGGACCCTACAGAACATCGTAAAGAAGGTCGCCTTAGAGCATTCAAAAAAAAAAAATATTCAGCAAATTTTTTTTTAGATTTTTGGACTGGCTTCCCTATCTCCCTAATTAACTCAGTTTTAGAAGATACTTTAATGATTGAGTGATGTTCGGAATAATTAAGTATGCGGATAAAAAAAAATCAATCGAGTTGCACATTTTAATAATTAATTTATAATATTTATTATTATAAGTTTATGAATAATTATAAAATGTAAAACATGGTTGATTTAAGTTTATTGTTATGCTTTAGATTGATTTTGTTAACTGCAGAGAGAAACAATCGACTTTGTTTATAAAGTAAAGTTCAATTCATCGAAGATATGTCATTGACTTCTCGTATCTACGGATATTATTTGCACAACAACGAGTTCAAGTCTTATCTAACTCGAAGAAAAGAAAACGCTCCATCATTTTCAGTGTCTATAAAAAAATGAAGTAATAATGTTAACTAACCGGTAAAAAAGCTGAGCCGAGCGTAGAGGTCCTGTAAGGGCGGTGGCCAATGGGCGACTGAACGCGTGAGGGAGGAATGAAAGGAGAGAGAGAGAGAGAAAGAAAGAAGCGCCGTGGCGCCCGGCGTCGTCGAGTTATAGATTCGCTCGATATACAACTACTCGGCCGCCGACACACGCGTCGCTTCCATTCGTTGTTTCCCTCTCGCCCTTTTCTACGAGTTTGTGTTGTCGTCTAAAGGGAGGATGGCAATAAACGCGCAAGGAGACGCAAGCTTTGGGAGATGAAAAAAAAACAATTCTTTATCGCGCTCAAATCCATTTTCGAGGAACTACTTGGGCTTGCATTCGTTTGCACTGTATCGAAACAATTGATGTTCAAATTATCGTCCGATGAGCGAGTAACAAAGTCAAGTCATATATGAATCATTTAAAATGACGCGTCTCCTTTGCGAAGCAAGCCGTGATGCACAATACAAGAGAACTTTTAATTTCTTTTACTTTTCTCTTAATTAATGAGTCAAGTCGCGAAAACTTTTCCATCGATCTTGAAACCTGTAAAGAGCGAGTGCAAAAAATTCGACTAATGGTCAGATATGTCGCTCTCGTACAAGATTAACGGCATTGCGTCGACTGACACACATCGAGTGAGACAAGTCTCATGTCAAAGTGCAACCTGCTGAAAACTTGAGCTTGCTCGCGCAGGGACGAAAAAACTCACCCAACCTACTGCTTAATATAGTCATTACCCGCAACTCGACTTTATTTGTTTTTTCAATAGCAAGTTCAACGCCATACACTCGTGTTTAATAAGAAACAATGAGCCGATCCATTATCAGCACTGTCCCCATCCAGTCAAACTGGTCTAATTAGATGAAGACGCCAGACGTTGAGTGAACGAAGTTCATCTTCATTGTACACGCACATGCCCATATCTGCAATGAGTATTTGTCGTTGTTGCACTGACCAAAGAAGATCATGCCACTGGGAGAAAAAGTAGACTTTGGCGCGCGCGCGCATACACTTGGATTTCAGGCGCGTTTTAGAAAGTGGCCCGCTAGCTCGCGCGCGCTCGGCTAAAAGCACGAAAAACGTGTGTCACGACGTGAGAAAGTGTTGCATGCTTTTTTCCTTTTTGCTGTATAGCGCGCAGATATGCATCGTTGTTGGGATGTTACGCAAGATCTCTCGCGGCGCATTGGGAAACACTTTTGCGAGGGGTGCAGCGCCGATGGCAATCGTCGTACTATCGGGCCCAATTATTTTACCCGGCGAGCGCAAACAATCGGCTTTCTAATATCGACCGCATCGGAACACGAGCGACAAACTGAGAGGAAAAAAAATTAATACGTAAGAACGGCACAAGACCGTTCAATTTTACGGGCAAACAAAAAGAAAATATAAAGGAAGCACCGGCGAACGACGCAATCGTTCAACTGAACTTATGACTCGTGAAATTGTGATACTCACGATCGTTCTCGATCAGCAGTTCCGTAGCGGTGGCCATGTCGAGGACAACTGCAACAGAAAAAAAAATAGTCGATTGTTCATTGGCTCGCGATGAGAATTGAGATGCAATTTTGGCGTCGAGAGCGTATATACATCGGGTCATTGGCTCGAGATGACGAAGCGCGCGATAAGAAAATCAACAAATGCCGATTCAAAACCGACAGCAACAAAAAGCTAGATGATCCGTTAAACGTGCATACAAGTATTATGCGAGGAGTAAGGAGCTTGCTCGAGCAGGCCGGTCGACTCGACAAACCGTTACATTGGCCAGATGAGCTTTTCAAAAGGCTACTTAATCCTTTGTTCTCCAAATCCTACTAATTGCTCGCGCGCGAGTCAACGTCCGTCCCTTTCTCTCGATGTCTCTCGATTGCAGGTTGGCGAAAACGGCCTCTTACCTGTATCTCGCATTATTTTCTTGTAATGATTCTCTTCGCGACAAAAGCGCGACTCGCCGCGCACAGACACGCACGCGCGAAAATTTAACAATGGCAAAAGATTGAAGCAGTAGAGGTTCGCGTTCTTTGTGCAAAACGGAAATAGCCGCGACTTTCACCCGCGACGGATTAAAACGATATGCAACGTACTCGTCTGCGTTGTAGCAACAATAAATAGGAGGAGAGCGTTGTGGCCAATTGGACTTTGGAGAGCGTCGAAAGTTTTTATCTTTGTCTCCTATAACCTAGGTTCGCAGCCAATCCAAAGGGTATGACAGACGAGCCAAAACAAAGTCCGATCAGACCGACTTTGGCGCATTAGACGCCAAATCGTTTGTTTTTCTTTTTCCCTCCTCGACGTATGTAAATGTCAAAGTTTTTTTTTGATTATAAAATGAATACTTTTTCTTACATTATAAAATTCACTTTTCCTTCCAACGAATTTTAAAAAATAATTTTCAAAAAAAACCTCAAAAAACGCGTCAAGTGTAAACTCGAGCAGTGGAAAGTCGCGTTGAAAATAAATTGCTAACAACGAACTACCGAGCAGAGTTTTGCAATTACAGGAGATTTAATATTGACACTAAGCAATGGCTTCCTTTGTGTCTAGCTACTGCGTTTAAGGCAGTAGCAGCGCAGCGTCCCTTATACACATTAAGTACGTCCAACCGTTAAAAGTAAATTTGCACTGGTGTTCTCACCTCTTTGCTTGTCAAAAGTTCGGCTGCAATTTGCTGCAAACTCCGTTCTGACTGTGCTTCGCGACTACCTTTGTGCTTGGAGCGATGATCCAGAGATCGTCGAGAAATTCCAAGACCGTTTGAAATCCAAGAAAACAGAGAAAATGTGTATGTACGAATGTAAGTGTATCGCGCACGCTCTATATCCGACGACACAAAGACTACATGTAAACACTAGCTGCGAATGGATATTCGGGGTATATATATACTGTATATAGCGGTGCAGACTCGCGCAGTAGCTGCGCGTCCTCGTTGCTCTCTTGTATGGGACTGTTGGCACTACACGCGCTGCGCTGCTCGCTTATATAGCCTCCCTCTTGTGCCCACCGCTGCTGCATATACACATTGTATATATAGCTATATATATAGTTGATACATTTGCTACTGTTGCTGCGCACAAAAGGGAGAAGAGACGAGAATGGCAACAACCGGTTGCTCCCAGAGTCGAGACTCGAGGCGCGTCGTTGCTCCTCGTTCACGTGCTGCCTGCTTATGTATATATAGGTACTTACCTATATATATACGCGGTGCAAGACATACAAAATAACAGAAGCTCGTAAGGTAGCGAAGTACTTACACCTTGCCAGTGCAGTACAGAGTATTGGTGTGACATTCTACAAGCTGCACGTGTGCGCCACCGACGAGTACACACGTACTCTCTTCGCGTACTTACGAGGCTTATAAGCTCAACCGACACTTTTCTGTATACGCGTTTCGTCGCGTTACGAGTACGCTCTTATTTTCGGAGCTGCCGCTTCAACAGCTTCGAGTAATTGTGATTGCCTGTACGGTCGAGTACCGGCATATACTCCATGACACCTTCGATTCATTGTTCGTGTATCGAACTCTATTTTGAAATCGTCCGAACCTTCTCGAGAAGATTACTAGAAAAAAAAAATTTGCCTTTCAATTGTCGTTATCGCTACCTTACCGAATATAATTAGATAAGCACGGGCCGATCAGTTTAGTAACGTAAAGCTCTGAAATGAGTCCGTAATATAGTATGGGTGCTTTCAAATTCATAAGTACAATGATATCAATGACATAACTTGTTTTTATTTGGAAATGCATTTCGAAATTTTTACTTGCGGTTTGTGCGAAAGTAAAACAGTACTTCTAAAACTACGAATTAATCCTAACTGATTACTATTCGACTCAAATTCGCAATTGTGCTTTAAAATTCGTTTTTATATTAATGGTTTCTCCGAAAAGCTGTTTGTCTTTGTTTATTAAAATTATACGATAGTAAAATATACATTATTAATTACTATTATTGACCAACACGTATAGTTGATTATTAATAATAAATAACATTTCTTCATGACACTATGAATTTACTCTTGAGTAAATAATATAAAAAAAAAAAAACATTCCCGGAGTATATTGTTGCCGAAAAGCTCAAAAGAGTCGAGATTATGTACATTAAAAAATGACGCTTCTGTTGCTCAACGAACAAAGGCACGTGCGCGTATCCACTTATCCGTAAGAGTCTATATCCACGAGCGGCGCTCGGAACTTCATTGAAAAAAATTGCACGCTGCAAGCCCATTATGCTCATCCTGACATCTTCTTGGTTTTTTTCATCGCTCGCAAAACAATGAGACGCGGATGGAAGTTCGTGCAGGGCCACGTGCCGTATGCATATATGCGCCTATGCCACAGAACGATGACTCGAAGGCATCGATGCGTGGGCTGCAGAGACAAGCTCCGTTCGAATCCTGTTTTTTCTTTCATGCCATGGGACTTGCGAACGAGTGTGCTGAGAATTTTTAATTTTCAAAGCTGCCTCGTAATATTACGTAATGTTCCACAAGAGAACTTGAGGATTTTACCTTACATCGTTTTAGTACTGTAATGACAAATTTTCGATGAATCATCCACTTCTGTCCGGGTTGAATGCGCGCAACTGCTTTAACTCTTTGTTTTGATTTTGCCAGATATTCCAAGATTTCTGTTCGAACAATCATTTGCACCATTTTTACGCATAAGTATACAAAAAAATTTTGAAATGACACGAAATGATAAAATTTTAAATTAATAAAAATTACAGCATGCAGGCAAAAGCTCGGCAAGCTTCGCTTGAATCATAGCTAGACGTTGATCATGGTTTAACAGTCAAGTCGAAATAATTTTATTCTGACACTTTGTTTAGGTAAAGTTTTCGTATCATCAAAACTTTCATTTTTTATTTTAATAAACTCGTTATTTGAATATTTTTTATTGTAAAATCAAAATTCAAAGTGAAATTTTCGAAATAACGTGTAAATAATATTAGTCTAGGAGATCTCAATTATATAAAACTATACGATAAAAAAGTTACTTAAAAAGGGGTAAAATTCATTAAGATCATGAAAAAGTGTAAGCTAAATGAACGAAGCTATTATCGATATTTCTATTTTCACCTATGACTTCGGTCAACTCAGTACCGATGTGCCATAATTAAATTGTAAATATTGAACGTACCATAGCGTTGAGTATAACGTTTTCAACATAATAAAAACATTATTATATGATCAATACTTTACTCGTGAAACTCAATGAAAATGTTTAGTATCGAAGATTAAGTGTTTGCGACAACATAGTTTAGTTTCGTAACAGTACTACGATTAATGCATTTTGCAAAAAATGTTAGATCCATTTTCAACTTGGACGCTTGGTTAAATGTACTCTAATGACATCAGTGAAATGATCAGAAATTAATTTGCTCTAAAGACTTGCGATGATTGACATGAAAGTCGCAAATCATGCTCGATTACTAAAGCCGAATGAGCTCGTATTCATTACAATATGAATCATTATGAACACGTGTATCGGCAGTATCAGGAAATGTCTATTTGCCTAGTATACTATTGCAAGCGGCTCTCTTGAGCTTTTAAAAGTCATGTATAGTTACCAGCAGCCGACGCACAAGTGTTTAACCTATATATGCACATTTTGATGTCTCGATTCTCGAATCGCGTCACGGTCCTAGCTTCATCTATATGAGATAGGACTGATTCTGTTCTGTCCTGCATATAACGCTGCTCTTGCAACATTTATCTAAACACTCAGCCAAGTGCAACCCAAGTTAAACATTGTCAACTAGCCGCAGCCTCTGCTGTCTGTGATATGTGCACATACGAGCGGGTGTAAAGAGGCCTCATTTACACCTCCCTCCGCACGCATTACTTAATTGAATTATTACATCAACTCTGCTGCTGATCGTGTAATCGATTCAGTAATTCCTTTTTCAGCGATACGATTTACAGCAAACTATGTGTTTGCTGCTTTGAGTTTGAGCGTCCATCGTTGGCGATAAACTAGATTCGTTTATCTTTCACTTTGACCGAATAATGTGTAGCACTAGAACACAGAGCTCGCCAATTAGTCTGATCGATACGGCCTATTGATTTCTTTTTGCAGACCAGGTGAGTTTTTTGCAAAAAAAATATCTATTTTGTCAATACCCAAATTTTTTTTTATTCGTTATATATGAGCTACATGTTTTTCGTGACTGCAAATAATGCTTACTATTGTACTTCAGAACTATTTATCGTTAACATTAGCATTTTTTTTATAAAAAAAAAACTCACGACACTATTGATGAAGGAATTTGACTGTTCTAATTTTTCGCTTTAATCTTCTTCTGGTATCGTGCACGTAATTGTAAATAATCAGTCCTACTTTTTTTTTAATAGATTCTTAAATGGACATTCGTTTTTTAAAAAATTTTTTTGTAAATAAATTTTTTTGGTAAATTATTGGGAAGAATAAATTAAAAATTTTATAAAATCATAATATTTGTGTTCTTTTTTTACAGTTGAATTTAAAATCAATTGACACAATGCCTAGTAAAAATAAAGAACGCCTTCAAGGTTCCCCTCGCACTGCAAAATGTGCAGAAGATCAGAGTTATGAAGATTCCAGCGGTGGACATAAACTTCATACAGATGGGGACAGTTTTCCACATATCAATGAAAGACCAGTGGAAAAAATATCAATAGAGTTTTTCTATCAGCCACACACCATTACTCTACTGCTCATATCTATATGTTTTGTCATCTATTTTGCATTTGCCAGGTATGTGATTGATCTGTGGCCAAGATCTCATTCTCATATTGATCAAAGTCTATAATTAAATGTATCAAATAAAACTCAAAAGAGTTTTAATTGGTTATGATTTAAAATGACTCTAGGGTCAAATCAAATGAGTCATTGGGCCAGAAAATATATTTTTTGCAAAAAAATAAAAAATCTCAAGGCTTTTTGTACCATAACAGCTATCTCTATGATACTGAAATGCATAATTTTTCAAAGTACTCAGTGAAACTATTATCATATATCATGAGCTATTAGTTTTTGTTAGCTTTATCTAATTAATTAATTTTTATCAGTTCAAAAGGTGATTGTTGATAATTATTAACAGGACAAATTTTTCTAAAGCAATAGTTTTTAAAAAGACTTCACATGTCAAGTAAACTAAATATTTAAATGTAGTAAAACTTTGTAATTATTTTATCACTTAATTGACAATGTGAAAGATATGTACTTTGTTGCCCAAAATCTTAACTTTAAATAAAATGTATAACTTGTTTTAGTAATTTAATTGACATCTATATATGCTGGCTACAATTAAATTTTTGTTTCTAATTTTAGGAATACCTCTAATGTTGAAGAAAATCTGTGGGCTGGTCTATTAGCAATTATATTTTTCTTTTTAGTTATATCGGTTTTAACATTTCCAAATGGTCCATTCACTCGACCACATCCAGCACTATGGCGTATAGTATTTGGTTGCAGTGTATTATATGAAATGTTCCTACTTTTCACATTATTTCAAGATTATGATACTGCTCGAAAGGTTTTTTTCTGGATTGATCCAAGACTAGCTAATTTTCGTATTGACATGGATAAAGAATATGGAGTGAACTGTTCTCAAATAAATATAGAAAAATTTTGGAACCACATTGATGTATTTGCTGCAGCCCATTTCTTTGGTTGGATGTTCAAAGCTGTGTTAATTAGACATTTAGGTTTACTTTGGGCTGTGAGTGTTATGTGGGAAGTGACTGAAATAGCTTTCACCCACCTTTTACCCAACTTTGCTGAATGTTGGTGGGATGCTCTCATACTTGATGTACTCTTATGTAATGGTTTGGGAATATGGGTAGGATTGAAAATCTGTCAAATGCTTGAAATGAGAGAATATAAATGGGTCAGTATCAAAGATATTAGAAGTACAACGGGAAAATTAAAAAGGGCTGCATTACAATTTACTCCTGAAAGCTGGACAACTGTCAGGTGGTTGGATCCAACTTGTACTCACATGAGATTTGTTGCACTTTGCCAGCTTGTAATATTTTGGCAAGTTTCTGAACTAAATACATTTTTCTTAAAGCATGTTTATGAATTTCCACCTTCACACATACTTGTTATAGCAAGGCTTGCTTTAATTGGTGTTATTGTAGCACCATCTGTAAGGTAATTAGAATCTTTTCTAAGTCTTTCAATAAAATTACACATTAAATATTTGCCTTATTTTGTTTTGTAGGCAATACTATTTATATGTGACTGAACCAACTTGTAGTAGAGTTGGCATGCAGTGTTGGGTTTATGGAGCCATTATGGTAACAGAAGCACTGCTTTGTATAAGGCATGGCGCGGAATTGTTTGAACGAACCCAAGCCCTTAACATTCTTGTTTGGCTTTTGTGTCAATCATTAGTTTCAGTGCTGTGTGTTTATGGTTGCGTTCTTTGGCATCGATACTTTGCTGTGAGTATTTGAAACTTTATTGATTTAATTAAAATGACCCAGTGTATACCTTTTTGGTCTTTTATGAAACAAATTATTTGTCATGTTTGGGTTGGTGTAATTTCCATTGTTTCATGTTTACATTCAAATGTTTTTATAATATATGAATACCTTGAAACGCTCTGCAAAAGACCCCTTACATTTGTTATGAAGTAATTAACGACACTAACTAATAATATTTTTTCATCAATGCGACTCACAAACGGATAAGAAATGCGCTCAAGAGGATCTTGTGGACGCTACATCCGGAAGTGGTATGTGTCATAATGACATGAAACATAATTTCCATTATATCATTTCACTTATTTCTTAACTTTCTTCTATTTTTAATTCTTATGGTGGTTGGTTAATCCTATGATTTAACTGCAACAAAATCCTTTTTTTATTAACTAAATCAAAACAATATTTATGTAATTAACTGTAAAATAGTTATTACTTCTCGTTTAATAATGAAAAGAAATAATGAAAATGTTTCAAATTTCATTTCATTATTTGTAGAAATAGACATGTTTCAAACATTGTTTTAATGTAAAAAAAAAAATCATATAATGTAACTTATTACATCCTTTTTAGGAATCCTGGAAGACGATATTCAGTTGGACTCCAGTGAAAACAAAAAAACCCTCTAGGAAACTGAAAACTAAAATGACGAACAACAGTAATTGTAAGCTCTAGTCGCGCAAATGCCATTTATTATAAAAAAGCGAGACTGGCATTAATTTAATGCTGCAGTTAGAGAGTGATTGGAATTATAAAAATATTTGGTTCTATGTTCACATATTTCTTTGTTATAAACGTGTAGCCTCAGTACACAGGAAGTATGCGATACATTCACAGAAATGAAACTGTTGAATTTACTTTAATTATCAAAACTTATCATTTTTTCCATCGCCTCATAGCAAAAATGAAACTAAGTATAAGTAGAATGAATTTTTGTAAATTAAACGTTCACATAGAAGAAGATAAGGCAAACTAAAAACTGTACTTTGAATTTTATAGTCGTTCATTGCTCTTAGCAAGTAAAATTGTGTATAAACTTTTTTCAACTTTAACTGTTTTGTTTTTTTTTTTTTTTTTACTTAAGTATGAAAGTATTTTTTTTAATTTTATAACAGGATATATGATTTATGAATGTTATTTGTTGAACTATAAAGTTTTTGTTTCTGCATGCACTGGGGTACGGCTAATTAAATTGCAAAAAGCAGTATGTAGGGAACTATGTGATGATTAATTTTCATTGAACCAAAGATCAGTAAAAGTAAACAGGAGTAATTGATTCTCTGCTTTACCTGATTCTCAGTTTTGTTGAGAAATTGAGACAGCTTAAGGAAACTTGTACATAAATCTTCTATTGCATCAGTTTGAAATGAACCATAATATACAAATATTTTAAATTCATAATGAAGATATTGAGATAAAGCTCAAAAAAGCTTTGTAATCGTCTTACCATTAGAAAAAAAGACAATGTAATATCAAACCATAAAAGTGTGATTGTAACAACTCCTTGATAAGACTTATTTTCGTGCATAAATCAGCACATGCCAATTTAATAAAATGGACTTAGCACTATTAAAAATACTTTAGTCTTTTCCGATTTGTCTCCTTTCGTAAAAGTGTTATGTAATCTGAAAAAACGACTAAAACGTTATTTCACATTAGTATAGGAACTGTGCTAGAGTATGAGAAACCTCATTTTTTACGTTAAAACTGAAATAAAAAATTCAAATAATTATGAAGAAAAGAAGCTCTGCACATGTTACAGTGTATTTAGGATAATTTATAAATAAGTTATATATCTTGAGCATAATAATTTTCAAGCACTTCTTTAGATGTAATACTCAAATATAAATTATACTTTTTTATCTTAAACATTGGAATTTTACGACGACCCGACGATATAACGCTCTACTATATACTGAGTGACACATGTACCCATTCTTAAATGTACATGCAGTTTATATCAACTCCTTTTGTGATATCCATGAAAAAGAATTTGCCAAAAGAAAAAATAAATCATCAGGTCAGTCGAGAAATAGTAAAAAGTAAGTTCAATGAAATTTTGCATCTAGTTAATAAAATTTGTAACTCTCAAATCAGTGTTTGTTATTGTAAACACTATGCATTTTACGACCTGCACCTGATTAATAAATTCAGAGAGAAGGAATGTCTGTAATCTTGTCCATGTTTCTTAAACTTTTTACTTGATATCACAGTGATGAAACACTCATTTTATGGATGATGACTTGAAAAATAATTAATATGAAGTTTAACAAATAAAAAACGATCATATTTGTTTCTGTATATCTTTTCTTATTGTTATAGTATAGAAGTACACACACTTAATGTATAAGTTGATATAAATAATTTATATAAGACAGCTTACATAGTACAATTATCACAGATATATAACTACAAAATACAGTATGCCAAAGTTCGTCAAAAAATGCAAGTTTGAGCTTTACAGAGCTGATCACGAAAAGCAGTCTAAAATTTTTCATTTCACCTTTCGTTTACAGAGAATTCATGTCATGTTTTCTATAATACGTATTAAATTGGTTATGCATAATTTCTAACAGACTTAGAGTTGAAGAATTGACGGCTTCAACGATTGTTGCGTAGATAAAAAGTATGGCTTATATGTTATTTATTTAATTTTTTGTAATTTTACGTTCTCACAATTTTAATCTTGTTTTTCCATATTTATTACTTACGAAAGTTTAAAATCATCAGAGCTTAGAGTCGTGCAGATATAATAATAAGGTAAATTGTTATATTGTTAACAATTCCCTTTGATATCGCAAGAGGAAATAAAATGTATAGCAAAAGTTCGATACATTACAGACTCCACGATTTTTTAAATGTACAAATATTTTTAACAAATGTACTTTAAAAGTTTTAAAAAGTGTCTAAAATTAACGATCCTTCATTGCTTAAATCAAAATCTAGATCAATTTTGGAATCGATATCATCATCGATTTTCGGTTCAGTTTTTGGTAATTCCACAGGCATCTGCATTAAATTGAAATTTATTGAAAATATATGAGAAAAGCTAAGAATTAACAAATATACATACCTTTTTTATTATTTCATCAGTTTTGGGCGTTTCCTTATGTTCTTTTTCAGGGGTAATTGGCGGAGTGGTCGTAGATGGAGATGCAGTTTGAGTCGTTTTGGAAGGTATTTGACGTTTAGGAGTCGGCCTTCGTGGTTTAAACGACCCTGACGCTTTCTTCGGTAACTGCGAGCTCGTTGTGTGTTTTTTCAAATCAATAGTTGATTGCTCACAATTGTGACTCAGTAACTGATCTTTAGTTTTAAATGCCTACGACACGAAGAACAGCTCAGAATTATGAAAAATAAGTTCAATTAAATGATAAAAATATGTTTTACGTACATGTGAGCAAACTTCGCACTTGACGTTGTGTTTACTGAGCTCATGATGTTTTAATGCCTGAGCGCGATGAAAATGACGACTGCAGTGCGAACAACTAAAACGCTTAACATTACTGTGCGTCAATAAGTGACGTTTGAGTTTATCTGGACGTGAAAATTCACTCATACAACCAAGGTGGCCACGATAAGGACATTTAAGCCGTTTGGTCAAATCATGGATCAACATGTGACGACCAAGTCGATCTTTACGTTTGAACCGTGCCGGACAGTGCTGCAAATAAGAAAATGTATCATTTTCAATACATGTTTAAACACAATCAACTCATTTGCTAAATGTTTGAGTGGATACGTGTCATTATTATTATTATTACTATTACTATCGTTATTGTACATATAGAGTTGTGTTTCTTAAGGAAACAGTACGATTTTTCTAAAGCTATTAACATTTTTTTTGTTGAAAAATTTGTTTTAAAATCACAGTAACTGTTTTGAATGTTTCGAAATTAAGATGAAAATAGTCATGAGACTTCAAGCATTTGAGATGTTGATAGTTTTACTCACTGGACAGGTATAAGGAGTTTCTTCGCTGTGAATGAGTTTATGATTAGCAAGATATTGCTCGGTTTTAAAGGCTTTGCCGCAATCCTCGCAGGCGAAACGAGCTGATGAAGCATGGGTTTTTAGATGCCGTCGAAGAAAACGTTCGATCAAAAAGCTTTTGCCACAGTGAGGACAAGCGTAATCATGAGTAGTAGTTTCTGTGTGATGCTGAAGAGCTTCTAAATTAGAGAATGAGGACTTGCACACCGTACAACAGTAATACCTAGAAAAAAGTTTATTTTGTAATTACCGAATCAAATGAAAATTTACTGAAATAATTATTTTTCTTAATTCAATGTAGTTACATGACTTACTTTTCGGTAGTTTTTTGTTTTTGGACGGAATGCGTATGTTGATGTTGACCGAGATCATTAAGTGTAACAAAAACGTCACCACATATATGACATCGATATTCTGCACATTTGTGACTGCGCGTATGCTCGAGAAAATCTTCAAGCTCTGCAAACATCGAGCCGCAACCATATTGCACGCATTTATAAACCTTCAGAGTTAAATGCGAAACAATAAGGTGGCCTTTTAAAGCCTTGTAGGAATCAAATATTTCTTTACAAAACTGACAATGATACGAGCGCTCGATGCTTCCATCAACAGGAGCCTATAAGATATAATTGTAATTATTAACTTTAAATTCTAGAGGCTGATAGTTGACCAAAATCATTTAATAAACCGTACTTCTGGAGGCAAGGAATGAATTGCTGTTCCTGGCCAGACTTTGTGCGAAGACATATGTTTTTTTACATTCGATTTTTGAGCAAATGGTCTACCACAAACTACACATTGATATGGCTTTTCTCCTGTATGAGAGCGTTCATGTTGTTGCCAGTAAAATTTTTTGGCAAATTGCTTTTGGCAGTAGCTACACTTGTACTACAAATTATTTCAAAATTAATTTAAATAGCATAACACAAGAAAGAAAGTAAAATTAAAATGTATATACTTTCACTACCTTTAAATTTTGTGTTTGACCAGACTTGTTTTCTCGTTCATTAACATCTTGTTCATTTGAATTACTGGGATCAGTTTTAGTAACTACCTGATCATCTATTTTCAGATTATCAAGATGTTTTGTTTCTTGATGGTTATCATTTGATATATCTAGATCTGGAGTAGATTCTAAATTCTGGTTTGTATCACTTTTCAACACTGGTATTTCATTGTTTTCTTCGCTTAAGAAATCATCCGTCGATCCAGTTAAAGGTGAATCAACGAATGTTTCCAAATCACCATTGCTTAAAATTATAGGGACACCAAAATTAGCATCGGAAGTAAAATAGCCAACATCATCAGCATCCATACTAAAATCAGTAAAATAAACCAAATGTTAATTTTAATATAAATACCTATAAAAAAATAAAATTCATACCTGAATAATAAATCATTTTCTTCCAAAATAATAGGCTCATTGAGTTGGTGCGATTGACCAAAGTGCCCGTCAGGATTGTAATCATTACAGCTATCACTATCTTGTCCATTATTACAATCAGCTTGAGCTACATGACTATCGTTGTTTACTAAATACTGACTCAAGTCTACTTTTTGATCTGGAATTTTTGAATGCTCCCTCTTATGTAGTACAAACAGGTGCAGAGATGTAAACTGACTTCTGCACTTGCCACACTGGAATAAATCATCTTCTTCCTGATTGATTGCTGCAATAGTTGTCAAACAGTAAGTTATCTAATAGCTTTTGTTAGATACATACTGCATATTAATAAAAAAAATATATTTACCTGACTGCTCAACTTCACTAATTAAAGTCTGAGTTGCAAATAGTGCTTGTACCGACGAACCATCCAACGATACACCTACGTAAAAAGTAATATATATCGTATTAAAATGATTAAAAGCAATGATATAAATGTTTGTAAAAAAATGTTTTCTTGATTCTACGAAACTTGGATCTAGAAACATATTAGATAAGTTCGAAACAATGAAGTAAGTCAATTCATTTAAAATACACGGGTAAGCTAAGACATTGCATCTTTTCACTAATAGTAATTCAATCATTCGATAATAATATAATGCTTGTATAAATAGTAAATAAAACAAACTTACCAGATAGTGCATCGAATATCTCTTGTGACATTGTTGTGACTGGCGATTGAGTCTATCGCTTATTATCTCACTCGCGGTAAAAATCTTCAGAAAAACGTTTGTTTGTTTTCTTTCAATAATCTATCGTATTGTATAAAAAAGTTCATGAACTATAATTATTACGTTGTTGACGATCAAATACATGATGATGGTGATGATGATACGATGATGATGATGACGGCGACGACGATGACGACGATTTTACGGATGTAATTACTATGGGCCGCGGCGCACTAAAAACAGCAACAAACAAAGGAGGGAAACTGGCCGACTATCTATACACTAGCCGCTCTCTTACTCTGTGAGTGCATAATCATAATGCATTCTCTCTACGTCCGTGTGCGTCTGTATGCGTGATATTAAGGGGGAGAGGGGCATGTATATAAATATTGTGCGAAAGCAGCGTTGCCATTTGCACGTCGTACTTCCCTCGCGAAAATGGCGAACTGACGTAGCGCGAATTTCCGATCAAAAAATGAGTTATTCGCAAAACCTCAAACCGCTCGATCCGATCGTATTCATCGATCACTTTTGGTCGATGCGGAACTTGCCATTTCGATCTATATATCCAACTTCCGAAATCTAACGATGATTTATCAGTCGACGAGAGTCGCTCGATCTCAAATTTTGACTCGGTCCGAACGAAAGATTTTCGGAGCGATTTTCGACTTCGATCGGGATCTCACCGATTCGTTTGCATTCGATAATCCACAGCGATTTAGTCGTAGTGGTTTTCATCGATCGGAACATTTTCCGGACAGCATGTCGAGAGCCGAGAGCGCATAAAAATAATATTATGAAAAAGCAGCGAAGATGTGGCAACAACGCCAAGCCGCGCCGCGCGAGTCAAAACAAACGACATCTGGAGATTATTGAGAGAATCTGCGAGTGCGTTGGAGTGCGTAGCTCGCTGCTCGACAGGTCGAACTCGCGAACTGTTTAATAAACTTACGTCTACGGCTTGCGCAGACGATAATCCTGTATTTTCAAAAACCTAACCTCGGCAGTAGTAGATGCACCCGATCTGATATTATGAATGTTTTGCACTCGCACATGTTGTATTTTTATTACAAGTGTTGACAATAATTGTGAAATAGTACAATGCTCAACGAGTTAGAGACTAAGAAAGTGCACATGACTAAATTAGAATGTAGTTGTTGATTCGTGTGACAAGAGTTTTTTATTGAAATTATTTTCATTCAAAAGTTAGCAGAAGAATCTTGTCAAAAATGTTTAAAAAAGTTATTATCCTCAATAAATGCACAATGTGCTTGACACATAACAATCGGATAATCTCTCAAATAACTTCAAGAGAATTCAATAGTTATCTGATGGATCGTCCCGATAGATCAAGAAAATCTCGTGATAGTACAAGTATTCAAATGCAAAAAAATAGATATGTTCTTCAGAAAGATGAGAATAATATTAAAGGTATCAAGGAGATGTTAAGTGTAGGTTTTTATTTTATGTTGATATTTCATACTTTATTTAGACAATTCAATACGCAAAACAGCTCGTTTAACTTAATTAATTTTTTTTTAGAAATATCAAATTTGTTCAAATGAAATTGACGACAGACTATTTATGGAAACTCCTTTTGTGCTAGAAAAAAAAATTATGATTTTGCAAGAAATGGGAGTACCTGAAGTACAAATGAAGCATCTAGCAGAGTAAAATAAATTTATTAATTGATATTTTTATGAATTTCATAATTTTATCGGTATTTAACTTGATTTCAGATTTTCCAAGTTAGTATTCCTGTCAGCGAGATCATTCAAATCACGTCACAAAATAGACCCTAGTGTAAATATTGCTGAAAGACTGTTTTCGTATGTAAATAATTTCGAAGCTGATTTTAAAAGATTAGAGATGTTAAATGATGATATACCAATGAGAGAATATTACCTTATATGTTTCTTACATCTTGTCAACAAAAAACTGGATCTGCACAATACACCACATGAAATTCCTTACAAAAGGTTCATGTTTCTAATATTTAATAGTTTTCAACTACTACCTAGGTTATTTTCACTCATAAAAAATCAATTGCAAATGAGTCCTCCAGTGGTAAGAAAGTTATCCATCTTTTTTTCTAAAATGTTTCTTCCTACTTTAATGACATTTTTCTTTTAGATAAAAAAAAATTATCGTTGGTTGTTTTCTCATCATCCTAGCCAATCAGATGCTGTAATTGATGTTCTTAAAAATGATTATCCTGATCTGTCATTGGACATTTTGAAAAAATATCCAAGACTTTTGGATTGCAATGTCGAAGATCTCAGAAAATTAATAGCTTATTTTAAAGAATATGATATAACACCAAATATGGTATGGTGTACTCATTATATTTTTTATGTCAGTTCTGTTGAGTTTAAAAGGAGAATGGAATTTTTAAGTCAAAACCCTTACACATTGCATCTAATGAAACATCCAAAATTTTTGACATTAGTAAGAGATTTTCATACCATTCTACCAAGGATAAAATTTTTGCAAGAGAAAAATTTCAAATATGCCTCTATCAATTCTCTGACAACATTTCACAACTATTCAGAACAGTGAGTAGAAATTTAAATAAATCATTCTTTACTTAAGCATTATTTGTATGGTGAAATTCAGGCACATTATTGGGGAAGTGTACCAACATATGTAGATTTAGAAAACACATGGGAAAATTGTGTATAAATATCGAGAAATTCTGGAATTAAGTATAGTTTGTAAATCTATATATTGCAAATCTGGTTTATCAATAGTTGGGGACTGTTACTTTGTGCATACAAATAATAGTGCAATAGTACAATGAGCAGTATCATTGATGCTATTTAATTATTAACTGAAATCAATTTTGTCACAGTTTGGTAACAGCCAGAAGACAAACAACATTAAATCTGCAAAGCTTTTTTGCTACTCAATTCCGTCAAGATGGTCCAAGATTGTTGGAGCGACTTAAGAAACATCCTTGTCATACTTTTGTACCATTGCTTCAAATGTATGAAAATTTATGTTATCTCAAAGAGAATTTTCCTGAAAATGTAATTCATGAGCATATTTATGCTATATTATATGATAAGTAAGTTTAAACGAATATTAAGAATAAAACGTAATTCAGAATAAATTTTAACATCGCCTTTCTTCTTTCAGAGAAAAAATCAGTGAAGTTTATTCGAATTTAAAAAATGATCCTAAATACAACGATCTGCCCGTTGATAGATATTTGCCAATGAGTATTTACAAAATTGAACAGAAGGACCATTTTACGGGAGACGGTGTTTTAACGCCCGAAAAATATGCGAAAAGTCTAAGTGACATAGGAGATTTTCAAACTGAGTGTGGTAGAAGAAAAAGGAACTATGGAAATGAATCAGAATTGTATAAAATTTAGCTATGTGAATAAAAATTATATTTTACTTGTTATATCTATAATTTTTCTTAATAAATAAAAATTGTACAGTTATTGTAAAAAGATTTAAGCAACATAAGGAAACAATAACCTTTTGATAAATATTATTTATCTGAAGATTCATACTCTGAAAATATTGTGTAATAGTAACATGCACCAATATAATTTAAATAGAAACTTATGCCTTATTACGTGATACTTGAAACTACGTTGCAATTAAATTAAAGTAGATAGTGAAATAAAATATAAACTATTTTATTAAACGTTAAATAATGATGAATGAAGTTAGTTGAAAATTACCAAACTAAACACAAAAGTACAGGGTGATTTTTAGTATATAAATATTCATGATTAAAGCTAGGTTTTAAATAAAAATACAATAAATCGTAAAATAAAATAAATAATGATAATTGTAAATGAGAAATCTGCCGGTGTTTTGTAAATTTTTGGTTGAATCCAAAAAGTTACCGAGAGATTCGATTAAATCTATATTTCTTTGATTAGTCTAGCCTTTCACAAGTTTCAAAGTAACTTTTTCCCTCACACAATCTTAAAGCTATATCGAATAAAATGATCGACTCAGTCAGGTTGAGTCGCAATATTACATAACTAGTCAAAGTAAGAGTTGGAGATAAAAAAAAAAAAAAGAATCTTTAAAGTACGTAAAGTACGGATAAAGGAGAACGAGAATTGAAATTTGTAGCCGAAGATCGGAGAAGCGTAGCATCATCAGCTGTAGAATCGCGGCACGACGAACCCGAGGGTTCGTGTCAATTCAAAAAAGGCGGCAGCTGCACGTAATTCTGTTGCTGGCTGCCGGGCTCCTGCTTGACGAGCGACTGGTCCTTGAGGACCTGCTGCTGCTGTTGCTGCCTCGTCGGCGAGTGCTGGTGCATGCCGTACTCGTTCTTGTGCTGGTCGGGCTGCGTCTGCTGCTGCTGTTGCTGCTGCTGCTGCTGATACTCGTTGGCGGCCGCCTGCTCGTACTTGTCCGACGGACTGAGCGCGTAGTCCGAGAGCTTGGCCGTGTGGTGATCGTCGTGGTCCGGACTGGCCAAGTGGGCGGCCGGGGGCGAGTGTCCGGCCACCATGGTCTGGTACTCGGGCCGGGTCAGGCTCGAGGGCGGACTGTTGCTCGTGCTCATGGCGTAGTCCTGGTGGACGGCGACGCGCATCGGGGCGTTGGCGCTGGAGTTGGGCGCGGCGAAGAGGCCCGAGGCGTCGTGCTGGGGCAGCATCGTCGCGTACGGGTAGTTGGGCGCGGCGGCGGCTTGGCCGTTGCCGCTCGGGTTGCCGCCGCCGGCGCCGAAGGGCCCGCTCGAGTAGGGCGAGTTGGTCGGGCTGAGGAGGTTGAGGTGCGAGGCCAGGTCGTAGGCCGGCGAGTAGCCCCAGGCGTCGCTCGGGGCGGCGCTCGTCACGGCCGTCGGGAAGGGATTGAGGCTCGCGTTGAGGCTGTTGAAGCCGGCCGCTGCGAAGCACAGGCTGTCGTTAGTCGAGCCGTTGTTGTTGTTCGCCCGGGGCGAGCCGCTGCAATAGTTACCGGTCGTTCCTGGACTGGCCGCACCCTGAGCCATGTAGGCCGTGGCGCTCTTCCGTGGCAGCTCGTGCTTGCGCCACTTGGCGCGCCGGTTCTGGAACCAGACCTGGACCCGCGACTCCGACAGGGCCAGCTTCAGGGCCAGCTCCTCGCGCGCGAACACGTCCGGGTAGGGGGCCCGCTCGAAGGCGCGCATCAGCTCCTCCAGCTGGTACGTGCTGAACGTCGTCCTGCAAAAGCCATCGTCCATATTTCAACTTCCTTTGTCCCTTGCTCGCGATAAATTAGCTCGTCCGCGTATTATTTATTTCATTGACCCCTCGTGCTTGCCGCTCGAACCGGCCAATTTTTTGGAAAATGATAGCCCGGCCGTTATTTGCATGCGCGCTACGTTTTCATGAGGGCCGCATTGACCGCCTTATATACACGTGCGTCTACCCTTATACGGTTGGCAGCGAGTGACCCCCCTGCGACCAGCGAGCGCTACTGGCATTTAAAAAAATTGATACCCTATATGCGGGCGGCGACGAGTGCGCGACTTTATGCGCTATGAATCATTTCGACAGTTTCGGTATTTTTTTCACAACCGGCCTCTCCGCTTCTCTACCTTCTCATGCTATAATTCCAAACAAATAACAATGACTAAACCTACCTCGTCTTTTTCTTCTTTATGCCGTTATTGTCGTTCTTTTTCTTTGAGTCTTTTTTCGTCGGCGGCGTGTCGTTGGTACCTATTGACGGAAGAAAAAAAAACAATCCGTGAACGAAGAAATTTCACTCAGGGATCAGCGAAAAGAATCAGAATGGATCGATCGACACTAACCAGATGTAAGTTGATGTCCGAGTTGATCGTCCTTCCTCTTCAGGCTACTGTTGGTGCCGATCGACAACTGTTGCTGCTGCTGCTGTTGCTGCTGAGCTTGGCCTGTGGAGTTTTGATTGGCAACGTCTTGCGATTGAGCCATCGACACGTACATTCCCGATAATTCCAAGTCCTTCAGTTCCTTCACCTGTTGCTGTTGAGACTGTTGATGATGCTGTGGGCCGGATAACGATTGCTGCTGTTGCAAGTGATGATGAGAGCTTTGGTGCTGCGGTGGCGAGCCATCTGCGGAGCCTTGAGCGCGAGTACACCCGTTCAATATTACCATTTTTACAAATATTTTCTATCTGATCATTTTTCATAATGACAATTTCATCGACTGTATCGATCGTTGCGCCGCTTCGATACCGAGAATCGGCTCTGGCTTCCGACGCCTCGCTAACGATGGCCATTGCAATTGATGCGCCAACTGTTGGCTCTGCTTGCACTTATCTCGCGAGTTTCTTTGTCAATCGAGTTTAATGAATCGACTTTTTTCGACACAGATTTACAAATTCAGATTTACTCTTACTTTTGTCACTAAAAACTTATTTTTCATTCGACACTGACATTTCTCCGATAGTATAAAATTTTCACGTCCAAGAAAGTATGATAACACTTTTTGTAAAAGCTCAAGCAGCGAATCAAGTTTTTGTGAACTTCCATATCGCGGTACGTTTTTATGTTTTTCAGTAGTTGGAAATCCGCAAACTAAAGTTGTCTCGATAAAATAAATAAAAGAAAGAAAAATTAAAATCCAATTCAAATGCGCGACAAAAATCGCGAAATGAATCTCAGTGATTATGCTACAATTGCTTTGACACCTTTGGTCAGGGTTGTTGTTAACAGGCAAAGCAGTCATTCTTTACTGTTGGCCTATAGACTTGTAAACCGAATTGATATTTATTTTCAACCAACTCAAGTATTTACCGATTACATTGAACAGATATTCGATTCATTAAATTTTAGAGAATATTATTTTCAAACGTAAAATAGATATCGGTAAAAGTATAAAGCGTCGAGATGAAAAAACGATGGTAAGAGCAAAAGGTTGAAATTCGAGTCGAAAGAAAAGAGACACGTACCTAATTTCTGTAAATGAGCACCAGCAGTTGGCATGAGATCGTTGGCGACGTGTTGATGATGATGATTGCCGTGCAGACCGAGCATCACGTGAATGCTGTGCACGCCACTGCCGCTGCGGGCGCCGAAATCCGAAAAAATCGGATCGTCGAAGGGTGCACCGTCCATGTCGTAGGCCAGCTCTTTGGCGTTTTCACACAAAAAGGTGCCGATTATTATTCGTCGTGGAAAACACAACACACAGACACAGAGAGAGAGAGAGCAGCGATCGGTAGAGAAAAGTCTCGGCGCGGGCACAGAGAATCACGAACAATTATCGAATTAAAAAAGAAAGAAGAAATGGCACGTGTGTCGTTACATAGGCGTATTGTATACTACTTTCAATTCAGTGCAATCAAAGTATAGATCAATCAATTGCTCGTGGCGAGTGCAGGCAGTAGTGGCCTGGTCCGGACCGGCTTGGCCGCCACCGCCGCCGCCGCTGCCACCTCGCGCGCCCGAAGCACAAGCGAGATAATAAAAGAGGGGAAATCAGCGTTGATTAGGCAATCAGCCGACGTCGACGACGACGACGACGACGACGACGACGAGCTCGAGTCGCAGCTTGGAGTTGAGTCGAGCGTCGAGTCGTCGCGGCGGCGGTGGCGAATATTATAGCCTCGCGTCCGATCGCAAAAGAGAGAAAGAAAGAGAGAGAGAGAGAGAGTCACGAAGCAGCTCGTCGTATTGGAGCTTATAAAAGTCGAGGCTGCGAGTACTCTTACGACTGATCGCTCGCTTTCTGCGGCTCTATTAAATTGGACGGAGAGGCCGATCGTCGCGGCTCCGCTGCGGCCCGACGCGACAAAAAAAAAAAGACAGACATATACGAGGACGAGATCGGCTGGCTGGCCAAAGGAGCTCTCGTACGTACGTACATACGCTCGACCTACGCTCCCTTGCTCGGCGATCCTACCTCCGCGGCGAGCCAGACCAATGGCGAGCGACGAGGCAGGCGGGGACTATATTCTAGCCTCGTACTCGTCGTGCGGCCGATTCCATCTCTTCTCGGCTCTGCGGCGCGTCTTTCCTTTTCTCTGGCACGCGCTGCAGCAGCACGGACCTGCATTTTTCCTCTCTTTTTCTCCGCGAATCGCCATGCTCGCTTTTCACGCTCGCACGAGGAAAACATCGAAAGTTTCCCGACTCTTGAAGCAAATTTACGAATGAACCGTACGAGTCGGGGTGCGCACGCAATTTATCGACGAATCGGGAAAAATTGGACTTTGATGGCTATACTCGTGGACCAGTTCTCCTAGCGATCGATGGACATTTTAACCATACTTTCATTATCCTTTTTAGCGCGTAAGGCAAGCATCACGATACAATCCAGATGACAAGGAGATCTCAGTCCGAGTTGCAACGGCTGTCAAAAAAACTGCACTAAAACTTGTAGGCGCTGATACGCATACATATAGACACACGTACACACTCGCGTTTTACACTTGAGCGGGCTTTGGCACTATCGAGGCCGATAAGTTGGAGCAGCAGCAGCGAGACGAGTCGCGCATGGACCTCAACAATCCGAGTCCTGCATCAGTTTTCGTTGACTCTATAATCGCGGGAAATCAAGGATAAGCACGTGGCGCTGGTCGTGGCTCGAGGATCGCGGACTTTGAGCGAGAGGCGCGCGAGACTAGGCTCGTCGTCGGGCCAGCAGCGGAGCCGCGAGAGAGATTGTGCGATACTTGGACGGGCTCGAGTCTCGGCTTGCTTGAGCCGCAATCGCCAAGAATTGCCTCGAATTGGCCCAATCAAACTACCCCCATTCCTATACCGTGCAGCAGTGCTTCAATTCAATGTGTTGTGTCTTCTTTCTCGCTCGCTCGTTAGCTCGTTTGCTCGTTTGCTTGCCTCGCAGCTCGCTTGCCCGTTCGTTTGCCTCGGGATGCCGCCAGCTGATCCACCGGTTCGCGTTTACGGTTTACGCTCGCAGTCACGCGTGTCGCAGGGCTCGCTGCCACGAGCTACATGGAAAAATCGAGCTTTAATGGCTTACGAGACGTTTCCTAAGAATCACCCGTTCCGCACCCCCGCCACACATACGATACACACCCTCTTTACACAAGAGGACGAAAGCTACCCTCTTATCGCATATACATTTGTACGGTTAAACACGCCAGGCCCACTGGACTGGCGTGCGTGAAAACACCTATACTCTTTGATAGAGCAATTCCGTGATCGATTCACCGGCAAGCCCCGTGGAGCTCGCGAGATTAAGCGCAAATTGCCATTGAACTTGACCCGGATTCGCGACGCAGGTTTACGCGCGTGGCCCGTCTCGACCATTGAATGAACTCGATGATCCTATATATAAGCTAAAAGGCTGAATCGAGCCGAGCGTGTACGAGCTCGATTGCGCCGATTCAATCGTCGGCGATGGTTATTAAGCCGGCGATCGCAGCGGCAGCCTATATAAACACGATCGTCGCGCCTGCCGATCGGCCAGTATCCGCTCGACTCGCGCGCGCCTCCAACTGTATACACATACATACAGCGCGTCCACAACGTACGGCTGCCGATTCGAACGAGGCCAAAAATCACGAGTCGGCCGATGGATTTTTTCCTCGACGCGATAATCGATAAATCTCGAGTGACTCGTCTTGACGAAAATTTCCCAAAGAGAAGCTATATAGCTCGGTGATTCGGTGACGGCGACGGCGGCGGCAGCGGCGCGATTCCCACTCTCCGGAGATCGGCTCCTCCTCCCGAGTCGAGTTGGCCGGCCAATCGTCTATGACTCGAACCGGCCGCCATTAGTTTTCATCTCGTGGACCGCCAACTTCTTCCTTCGACGCTCTTCTTTTCTTATTAAAATATCTCTGTATTTTTCAATTTTTTCAACAACGTTTCCATCATAGAATTTACGAAATTTATCATGAAATATTTAGATATCGAAGCAAGTCTTTTTTTGCTATGAATCGGACTCGAATAAGTAAATGATCGCTACCAATAGCTTATTAGAAAAAGTCAATACGATGTTAGTTAATTTGCGCTAGAAACTCTTTTTTACGAGCAAATTTCAACGAGCCAAGACGGAAAATAGAAACGTCAAACGGTGTCGGTGCTCGAGCTCGCGGACAAGATTTTTTCCTCTCAAAGGTCGGAGCTCGCAAATCGTCGCTTCTAGCTGACTCGTCAGCGAGAGAGAGAGAGAGAGAGAGACGCAGAAAGAGAGCTCGCACATATACATACGTGCTTGAATATATGGAAATACGTCGGCAGAAACAGCAGCGGAGCGGCTCGCCGTCAATTGAGCGAGTTAAGGAGCCTCGGAGCTCTCAATTGATCTTAATCGACGTCAATTGAGCGTAATTGCGGACGATTCCCCTCTACCGCGTACCCCTTTTTCCATGGCAGACGCGCAGCTATGTAGCAACGTGTCGCTTCTTCTTCTTCTCTCTGTTTTTTTTTCCTTCTTTTTCGCTGGATCGCACGCATGCAGTACTTTGGCCGGTTTTACATTTTTATTTCGCGCGACGCCTAAAGCTCGCCTCGCAGTTCGGCCAGCTTTGTCTAGCGCCTATATATACAAAATATATACAACGTGCGCGCGAGTCGAGCTTTCGAAGGAACGCGGCGTTTTATTCGCGACTTTTATCACTCGAGGAATTGTCAAGGAAAATTCGAGCTAACGAATAGACTGCATATTCCGTCCACGTCATGCCGCACGTACGATGCTAGTCTTTTTGAAAATTCAAGAAAGACCAAGTTCGGCAATAGCAAATCGAGCTGACTATACGTCAGTTTGTTGTCGCTCGAGGCGCTAATTTGCCTCGAAACAAACTCGTATGTATACGGCGAACGAAAGACGAGATACACAACATCGAGGATTTTATGTATCCTCATTAACACTGGCATACCTACAGTAGGCACGGGGCCTGAAGCATCCGGCCCTGCGCATACTTGCAGATACATATTCGCCCAGCAAGGGTCGCGTGCGATTATTTTTGCTTCATTTTTCAACGCCAACTGGCCTGCGCAAGGGAAGCGAGCAAAAACTATCCGCGTTACGTTGTACGTATAGTTCGCGAGAAGAGCGTAGGTCAGCGGCTGACATATAATAGCGACGACGATTCCGGACGAGGAAGGAGAAAAATTCTCAGCGTGCGATCGTCGTCGTTCAGTTTCGAGAGAAAAAACAGCTCCGCGCCCACATATCTCGCGTGAGAATCGGCTCTGGCTCGCGCGCCCGACGACAAGTCATCCTCCCGCATATACGGGTATGCCGCCGATGCGATAATAAAACTGATCCCCGATCTTTCGCTCGGCCCGACCGACCGACTATAAAAACTGCGCCCGAGTTATAATATTACGGACGGCGCGCGGCTCCCGTACGCCGAGCCTCCGCTCTCCAAAAATCGCTCACGATTAATCATGCGCGCATCGTCCTGGTCCTATGATAAGGGTATATAGATACCTACATGGATAAAATGTCTAGTGTTGACATTACTTCTTATACCAACACTTGAGTTGACTGTTATTCCATAAGCCGAAAAAGTATACATTTTTTATTTGATATTAACTAAACAACAAGATAATTTCGTATTCCAATTTTATTTAACCAGTTTTTTCTAATACTCATCTTAAAAGCCTGTAATTCAAAGTAATAATAATTTAGAATTCCACGTAGTTTTTCCGCATGGCTCTGACGACAACTTTCAACCAATTTTGATCTTTGGAGTCTTCAAAACTTTGAAACACGATTTTTTTCATGCATAATTTCTCTCTTAAAAAAGTCATTAGTATTTTTGTGGAATCAGTATTTCGGGATTGTGATTAAACGTCGTAATCTTTAGAATTAGCTATGGAGTGAGCAGCCATGTTTTAAATTATTATTATTTTATATTTACATTTTCAAGACAATAATGATACTTTTTTAACCAAAATTTAAAAATGTACATAAAAAAATAGTTTAGGATATGATAATGGCCGTGTTATAAATCCAAATTGATACAAGTAAAATTATTATGAATTTCGAACTACAGGTAAGTTTAAGACGCGCGAAAACCATTGGTTGGGGGTTATTTGGTATCAGGAAAAAAGTTCTTTGAAATCGAAAACATTGTTTTTCAATTTTTGTAAAGGATATTTTTCCCAATCTTACATTAAATTTTCCAAAACTAAAAAACTTTAAAAACCGACGTATTGCATCTGCAATCATTGATATTCTGCAGAAGTCTATCACCACCTTGACGGTGTAGATCAAATGGTTCATTCTAAAGACTTGTCTACTCTTGCACTTGTCCAGTACTGAATATTACAATAACGACCAAAAACACGATTCATCAGCAAATACAAGAGGAAAACAAGAACTCATAAATTAAACAAAAAAAAAGTTCGCGGAAACAGCTGATATATAAAAGAAAAATCAAACTTTTAGAGTTTCTAAAAATACAATGGAAAGGTGAAGTGAGATCCTCTAGAAAAATTTACAACAATTTTATTTTCGATTTTAAGGTACATTTACCCTCTTAAACAGTTTTTGAAATTTTCAAATAATTCTAAGAGTAGAAAAATTTTCTAACGCTTTCTTAAAATTTTACTCCATTTGGGTAGAGGAAAATTGTATTACAAAGCTTTTTCACTCCGAAGATTAAAATTGTTGGAAAATTGGGATGAGAACCACGCGGCACGGACTCTATGGAACTCTACATTATTATTATGAGGCCATGGACTAATTTGAGGCATTTATTTTGAGGGAGAAAATATTGGATTGGCATAATTTCATTCTAAATGGTTCAAATTTACAGTGATACTTGATTTTGCAATATTTTTAATTTATAGGAAAAAGTAAAGGTATGTTTCTTTGAGAATATTGATTACTGCAATGTTGGTTTAAAATATTTATTCTGTCATTTATATAAGAGTTAAGTTCTCTGACAAGAAATCTGATATTGGTTTTTATACGAAATTTTAATCTATATACACTAGCACTTATTTTTATACAAATATTAGTGGAAATAAACATATTACTCATAATGTGAACGAAATCGAAGATATCTTAAAAAAATTATTTAGAAAAATGATCTTCGTTTTTGCATCAAATGAAAACTATAAATAAACCTTTAGTTCTCTCAAAGATTAATGAGTAAATGTCGAAAGTAATAGTTTAATAAAAAAATGCGAGCACATTGTTTTTTATTTTAACGAAAAATATTTGAAACAAAAATTACTTCTTTGTCTATTTGTTATAACTCAATTTTCTACGTAGATTTTGTGCCCAAACAATTATTTTGTGTTTTATAGAAGAATTTAATATTAGCGTAAAAACAAATATAAATGAATATAATGATTTATTTTTTTAATATAATTTAATTGATATAAAAGAGGATCAATATATATATTTTTGAAAATATATTTTGTAATAATGTAATAACTTTTCAAATACGTAATTTTTACACTATATTTATAAGCACATATTATTATATTATTATATTATTATTGCACATATTAATATATTATTATTGTCTAGCTGTTTAGCAAACGCTAGAAAAATTAACCTAGTATTAATGTTATTGGGAAAACATTAAACTTTGGCTAAAATGATTGTGATGATACTAGATACACCATTGTACCACTGATACAAAAATACAAAAAGTTTCTTCGTTTTGCATTAGTTATCTTTATTTAAAAATAATATTTTTTCAGTACAAGTGTGGAAGATATTTAATTACATCATGGTAACCACACGAGTTCGAAAATAATTTATTATACGTACGTGATATCGAAACGCTCTTGTTCTTTACACGCAATTTAAAGAATAATATATTTTATTTACATATATTACAGTTCAACGTAAACATAATAATTGATAAAATAGAAAAAGTTGACAAAATCAACAAAATTATTTTATTTTCAGATTCTTAAAAGTCGAAATGATAAAGCTTCATATTTGATAACAGATTCTTGATGAATTTAAACTTTATTAAAAATAATTGGCCACACAAAACACCATTGTATGGTAAACATTGACTCAACATATATCTACTTATTTAATTCGAAATATTTACAGGAATTTCAGAGTTTGTCATTGTGGTAGTAAAGGTTCACTTCCCGCTCTTGTAGCTTTTTCAGATAATACAAAGATATGATCAGACTGCGTTAGTTTACTGTCTTCTGAAAGATTTATATCACAAGTGCTTTCTTTTTTCAAAAACATGTCATTTAAAAACACATTGTTCAAACTCATTGAACTATTTGATAGTACTGTTGTATCAAGATTTTGTGTTGATCCTAACAAATTACTGCTAGATTGAGTAAATTTGATAGGTTCGTTTTTAAACTTTTTTTTTTCAGTAGTTGACTGGTTATGCTGTTTGATAATCTTGTAGGAACAACCCAAAACATACATACTTATCAACACTCGCAATGTCACCAAAATAAAAAAGGCCAAAATCAAAAGTAGAAAATAAACTGGTTGAAATTTGTATGGCAAAGTTGTACAGAGTACACGTGCTATTGCTACTCCCAATGGAAGAGGAATAAAGCCCATTCTTCTGGCCACCAAATCTGAAGGGTCTGAGAAAGCTGCCTCTTGTCTGGTTTGTGCCATATCATAAGCTATGGTCAAAGTAAATTCTTTGTAAACATTTGATCTGAGTTCATTAAACCGGGCTATAAAAGCATGTTTTACCCAGTCGACAAGCAACTCTGCGAATAATAATAAAATACAATCTGGAAGCAATACTGCAAGTCTATTGACATGCCAAGCATATTCTTTCATGGTCTGGAGTGTGACTACAAGTAGTAACATAGTTAGATGAAAACGTTCTCTTACATCACTGCACGATAGTTGAAAGAAATTCTTTTTATCAAATTTTTTGAAAACTGATCCTTTTAGCTCAACAAAATTATTCGACATCATAATTGTCAAAAGAGCCTTGTTACTGCTGTTAATTGCTACATTGAGAGTTGTAGCTTGGAAAAGCACTAGTATACTGTGCAATAAAACATAAATAAGTGCAAAAAACAAATGCGGTATTGTTCCTAAATGTTGTGTTCTACTGAATCGATGCTTCGTTTTTGATTCTGTTGCAGTCCACAGCAAAGCATCAATGGCATCTTGACCAAAGGCACTGAATAAACGATCTCCAACTTCCAGCATGTTGTAAAAAATATATAATTTTATGACAGATTGGCTCTTAACTAAATGATACATCATAGATGTATCAACTTCCCATGTTAAAATCCAGCAACACACTACAATAATACCTTTAAGTAAATCACATATCTCGGCTGGTCTAAGAATTTTATCCTTTCCTTGTCGTTTATCTTTTGTAAAGAAGTATTTGAAAGGCCTTGTGATAAGCGCCCAAAGTGCCATGACAAATCTGATTGGCAAAAATGTGTACACATAGAGGAAAGAATCGGCGCATTGCAAAAAGCCATACCACATGAATATTTCGGCTTCTTTTGGTATCTTAATGAAAGAGTATATTTTTTCACGCCTCGCTGAGTAGCGTTCCTCGTCGTGTTCCAACTCATAATTACGCGTCAACTCTTCGTACACAAATTGTTTGAGTGACACGCGACTTTTTTGATAGTTCGTCTGTTTGACATCATCTCCTTTTATTCTGACATTTTCTATTCTTTCATTCGACGATTTCCGCGAATTTGCTGCCTTAGCACTGTCTGTTGATTTTCTTCTTTTCAATATTGACTCTTCGTTGGATTCCATCGCTTCGTAAATATATTATCTGTTTAAGCTATATGTTTTGAGGCGATGCAGACTGCTGCTAGTAAATATATCAATGATTTTGACATTTTGGCTTTCGTTTTTGTTGTTGTCTGGGATATAAGTGTACCTTATCACTTCGCGTAACTTTTTGCGAGCTCAACGACGCGCTCTTCTGTTTCCACTCATCAATAGATTTATTTTCAAAGAAAATTGATAAAACTTGGGTTGCACAAGACTATCATTGAGTCATGATTAACGAGCAATTATCCGCGCGAGTATATATGACTGTATTACATTGCACAGCTGATTTTTTTCCAACACCTGGGAAATGCGTAAATTACGAGTCGTCACTCGACTCGTCACATCAACAAAGGAATATCAATTTTGTACATTGGCAGCAATGACTACGACACAATGTTGGCATTGAATTCAAACTGACAAATTTAAAAAATATAATTAACAATACAAATTTTTTATCAAAAAATACTTTATTGATATCGATTGATTGATCATTGAAAATTAATGTAGGAAGCTATATATAAAATATTATATTCTTGATACATTTTTTGTTGCAGAAAAATTAAAACATATTAACATATTCGTGAATATGCAATGGAAAAGAACATTTTATTTGAAATATATCTCATGGAATATTAGTACATTCAAATGCTTATTGTGAAAATAATAAACATACTTATTAAATAGTTACTCTTAATACAAAAGTATATGCAAAAATGGAGAACTAAATATTTTTCAATAATTCATTCCCATTCATCTCTCTCTCTCTCATTTGGGTTATTACAAAAGAAAAATTGAGAATTTAAGACCATTTAGCCCCATGATTAATTAAGAACAATTGTTTTAAAGTTTCAACAGCAACACATATTTCTGAGCAAGGCATAGAAACTTTTTGTGCAAGGTAATCAATAATTCTTGCAACTTTTGTAATCAAATCAGGTTTGTCATGAAATTCTTCGCTGCGGACAAAGTTGCAAATTTCTAGCAAATCATTCAAATTCTGCTGCATAATGCTGTCAACATCCGGAGATAGATCCTAATAAGGTCGGATAAAATAAATTTTTTAATCTTGGTTTTCAATTTTGAAAATCTTATAGTGTACTTACTTTAATACTTTTTAAATTTTTATACAATGGCCAATCATTCAGACATGCAGAACACTGGCAATCAAAATGATACTGTTTTAGTACAGACGTTCTCTCTTCCTTTGTTTGCATAGAGTGAATACAACTGTATTGATCAAAGAGCTGAAATATGCAATAATTTTTTAATTCCATGTTATATGTTTGATTCTCTATTAAAAATTAAAATTTTCAAAAGAATTTGTTGTAATTTTACCTGTTCACCTTCTTCAATTGGAAGTATTGCAAATGAAATTGTACCATCTTTTGAAGAGACTCTTGATACATTTGGATTACAGCTGTGATTGAATAAACTTAAAAATGGCAAAATATCATGACCAATTACATGAGGTATTGATTGACGTTCTTCAGAATGCTACAAAATATGAATTTAAAAAATGGAAAATGTTTAATAATTATCAAAATTATTGCATTCTGTAAATAAAAGTAGATAAATTAATATCAATACACTATGAGCATTGGATTCTATCAGTTGCATATTGCGCAAAATTAAACCTCCAAAAAAAAGAACATTCGAATCATCATTTATCTCTTTCCAGGATGGGCTGAATCTTTTTCCAAACAGTTCAGTACAAACACAAGCATGAAATATAATTTGGCTGGTGACAAATGCTTTTTCAAAGAGATCTTGTACTTCTCGTTTATGAGTGTTTGTAGTAAGTTGGTAAAAAGTTGCATAACTTTCACTATTGAAGATTCCATCTTGACTAAATCCTTTCTTTAGTGGATCTATTTAAAATAAATAAATCAAATGTATTTTTTGAGTATCAAGATAATTATTATTGCATACCTAGACTATCTGTTTTTTCAATTTCTAATTTTAATTTCTCTATGCTTCCAGCTTGTCTCATAGCTTTAATAACTGCTTTGAAACTCAACAAAACCAAATTAGATATACCTAATTTTTTATAACAATGAAATTCAGAGCATAAGATGTCATGATATTGTACCCAAGATTCTTCCTTACATTTTTCTGAGCAATACATTGTATTTACACAGTATTCACAGGGAATCAAGCTCCAACAAAATTGAAGACAATGAGAACAGTGAGTGAAAGCACTTTCTTCAGAGAGAACTGCACAATAACTCTTTTCAACCGCTATAACTTCACCTGGATAAATTCTGCGATTGGCCACTACGTATCTTCCAAAAATGTCATCATACTTTAAACTAATTGCAGAAGAGGCACATGGAATTGATTTATTTCTTGGAAAATCTGGAGTTTTTTTCTCCTCAATTTTATTATCATTGGGTGAATATTTATTAGGAAATGTATGAAAATCTTTTTCAGTTTTTTTTATTTTCTCTGAGTATCTTCTTACCTCTTCACCGGGTAATTTAGCAATATCAACCCAACTTTTCATTTTCTCAATTGATTCAATTACTATTGGGGTTTTACCCAAAAACAACCCACATTCCAATCTTTTGCATAATAATTTTCCTATTATTTTATCAGTACATTCAATAAGTTTTAGGGCACGATCAACATCTGTCAAACATTCTTCAAATTTTTTTTGAGAATAAAATAACGATGATCTATAAGCATAACTTAATGCTAAATTTTTGGAATCCTTTGGAGAATGTGCGATAGCTTTGTTGTATAATATCCACGATTTCCATACTTCTTCATAACTTTTATTTTGTTTACTAAAAAGTCTGGTTGCTTCATTTTTGAATTCTTTACTTTTATAGTCATTTAGTTCATGGATGCCCGTACAGACGTTACTTTTATTTTTTTGAATTAATGCACAATATGGTGTGATATCAAAAATAAGGCACATAGACATTACCATAGAAACTCTCAACTCGTCGCTTTTCATAGATTCAAAATTCACTGACATTTCTTTAACTTGTTCTTGATTTTTTATTCTTTCGCACAAAGTATTTTTTAACTTTTCCATTTTGATATAGTATTTTGTATGCGTATATATTATAATTTCCAAGTAACTAATATTGTCTAGAACAAAATGTTTTTTATTTTTAACTTAGGAAAACTTTTCAATAAAGAATTATTCTTTATGGCAGAATTAATGAATTATGACGAATCTCTGTGAGAGTATTTTTCAAAGCAGACTCGATACTTTTAGTGAAATTTTAAAATTGGCATCTTAAATCTCTTATTTCTGAATTTTGTTTTGAAAACACTTTACACAATAGATCGATGTTTACAAAGGAAAGTGAACTAACGCAAAATTCTATAGGAAAATTGTGGTATCTGCGCATTATTTTTCAGAGTCTAAACTCGTAGACCTAATACTATTTATTTTACTTTCTATTTATGTCTTATTTATTATTGTTGCGCGATCTATTTTGAGACTGCCCGGGTCACCGATCTCACTTTCGCTTGTGCGCATGCTTTAAAGCGGTAAGTACGAATACGGAATAATGAAAGGAAATATTAAAACTTCGTTTATTTAATTTTATTTCTCAGAAATGTTTAATTACAATTTGCACTAAATAATTTTCTAAAATTTACATTACTTTTAATAACTATTGATATTTAACATTTAGTAGCAGGGCGTTTTCTATCTAGCCTGTAACAAGTGATTAGATAATCCATATCCACATTATTTAAATAACTGACAATTTTTTCATAAATTTCTTTCGGGAGAAAATGATCTATATTATTTTTTAAAATTGTTACAGTCTTATCATTTAGTTGCTTCCTGTGGCAAATATCGTGATAAGCAACTTTAATAGATGTAAAATGATGAGGAAATTTTTCCGCAAAATTTTCGGAGGCAATAATTTCCTCCAGACTTTTGTTGTATGCATAATTACCCATGACACTACTGCTTCTTACCATCAAATCAAATAAGTTTGCATACTTTCCAATTTGAATTTGCTTTAAAGCCTGAACTTCTTCATTTTTTTTCTGAAGTATTAACTAAATAAAAATATATATTGATTAAAAAAAGATTATAAAATTAAATATTAAAATCAAAAATGAAAGTACCTTATTTTCCTCAATGGAATCATCTAATATCTTCAAGTAACATTCTATATCGTTTTTGTTTTCAGACTTAACTATAGATTCACATTGAATCTGGTTTAGCAGAAGTAATAACTTCTTCATTATATGTGGCGATTTTTTCAAAGCATTACTGTTGCATTTTTGCCAGAAATACTGTACTGATCTTCCTTCATTACTCAGAATATTAGCTTTTGAAGAGTTGTTTAGAATAAATTCAGTCAAATGATCATTACTAATATCTACAAGAATATGCACAGGCATTTTTCCAAAACAATTTATTAAATCTAACTTTACTTTTTTATACAAAAGTAATCTAATGATTTCATAATAAATTGAATCTACATTTTTTTCAATCAAAATTTGCTTAAGAATAATGTGTAATATATTTTCATTGTACTCATTGCATTGAGATTGCAATAGAAAAATATCATTGCTATGTTTCAACATCATTAAAAAACTTTTTTTTAGTTCTTTGAGATATGTACAACCAGCAATGTGATAAGGTGTCAAACCCATTTTGTTCTTAGCTGTGTTATCGGCTCCTTTTCTCAACAGATGTTGCACTAAATTTTCGTCATCTATTTTATTATTCATTAAAAGATGAAGAGCACTATCGCCATTGAAATCTTGAATTCTAACATTACAAGATCTTTGTAAAAGAAGATACAAAATGTTGTAATGCTTATTTTTAATAGCAGAGTGTAGAACTGACTCTTTTTTCAAATTTATTAAATCTAAATTAAATTTGTTTGATTTTAGCAATTGATCAATAATTTCTAGCTCTATATTTTTTAATTGTAAAAGATGATGGATAACTGTGTTACCGAACTGGTCTTGAACATTAAAATTTCCAGCTCCTTGTAAAACTTCTAAAATTAAGTCTATATTTTTCAATTTTATAGCTTGATGAATAGCTGCATCACCAGAAGAACTCTTGATATCAAAAGAAGCACCCATAGATATTAATCTGACAATAACATGTTCAGCTTCTTTTGGCACGAATTTGGATAAATTATCTAGACCTTCCAACAATTTGTGCAGTATAGTTTTGCTTTTTGCATCAACTTCATTAACATCTTCAACAAAATCAAGCAAATAATTCAGTGTTTTGAAATGATTATTTCCAGCTGCTATGTGTGCAAAATTTTGACCATGTTTATCTACTTTCCACTTCAATCCTTTTTGAAAGAATGTTTTGACTAGTTCAAGAACTGGTTCATCATTGTAGCCTCTGGATGAATTAGAAAGTAATGAATGCAATGCAGTATTTCCACTATCATCTGTAATATTGACAAGAGCTCCTTTTTCTAGAAGTTTTTTTATAACATTAATCTGTACTTTATTTGTTAAACTTTCATCAAATACTGCATCATTGCATACTATTTGTAATACTGTTTTTCCAGTGTTATCAGTAATGTTGACATCAACTTCATGATTTAACATAGTCCAAAGACTTTTGTACTGGGCTTTCTGAGCAGCAAGGTGCATGGGAGTCAAACCAGAATAATGATTCTTAATTCCAATTTGAGCTCCTTTGTCAAGCAGCATTTCAACAATTTTGTCATTTTGTCTTTGTACAGCTGAATACAAGAGTGTTGGCTCCTGAGCATCAGTGTTTAAATCATTTACTGGACAACCGGCATCAAGTAGTAGCTGTATTATTGTTTCTCTGTTCTCTGATTGTACCATTAATTTTAAAATAGAAAATGCCGTTGTTTTTGGGCCATCGCGAGGCAATCCATAAGTTTTCAATGAATTTCGGACGACTTCGACTTGATTATTTTTTGCGGCCGCCAATAATTTGGTAATGGTTAATTTCTCTTGAGAATTTTTCAGTTCATCTTAATAAAATAACAAAACATTAGTATTGATTCATCAATATTTCGTAAACAATAATAACATACCTTTAAAAGACTTACGTCTATTTGTTTTTTTATTCATTTCGATTGCCTGTCTCACTACTTAGAATTGATAACACATACCTAACCACGTATACACACGTGTTACAGGTAAATTCAATGAGCTGTGGTCGGGAATCACATTTGTTAAATAACAAATGTTCCTTCCAAAGAGCTGTAAAAATTGGAAACTGAACTGTCAGTTGACCGTTGTATATCAATGTGCAATCATGCACAAATTGGACACATTGCTTCGTGGACGCGAGCGTTTAAGGTAACAGAATTGGAGAGCAGACTATTTTTGTCGTGAAGTTATCTTTTTAAATTCAAGGGAAAAAATGGCACCAAGTCTATATGAACTTGGGCCGTTTTCGCTCCCGAGTTCGAGTTTAAAAAGATATTTCTCTACACTTGGGTCATGATATTCCGTTCCAGTTTGGAATCCGGTATCTTTTTGTGTGCTCATTTTATATTAATGATTAATTAATGTTTGCAATTATGCATTAATTAGATTTGTTTATAATTTATAATTAGCTTTAGTTGATTATGAATTGGAGTCATTTTCAAGGAAATCGCAGTAATGCAATTTTCTTAAGAGAGGGCATTTATAATGAGAGAAGAAACCATTGAAGTAATTTTTGTCGGCCAATCGTAATAGTTCATTTTAAGCTCATAGATATTTTTCGAAGGAATGATTTTTTAGATGATGTTTGAAAAAAATGAATCTAGCGAGAAAATGGAGTGAAAAATTGAATTTTTGATCGCCTAAATCTACAATGGATAAAATGATAATAACTTAAAATTAGAAATCATACAAAAAAGATAATTAAAAATTGGTTGTTTCTGAATTTGTTAAAATTGATCAACGCCTTCTCAGTGCAATACAAAATAGAATTTGCAATATTTTATTTAAAATTTAGGATACAATTTTTTATAATTTTATATTATAATGAACGTATTGAGAAAATAATAAAATATAATAAAATTGTAGTTTGCAGTTCTGGTAAGCTTGAAAGATTGCGATAATTGATTGAGAAGGTTGATCTAAAGCGAGAAAAGTGCGTCCACTGTAAATTACAATAAAGTTTTACTAAAAAATAAAAAAGTTAAAAGCAAGTATAATCGGTAAGCTTACCCTCTTTTCCCTCTTTGATTTCTTTCTCCATTCGAAGTTGTCTCGCGTAGTCAGATGGACGATTCCTTATATCGGTGGCTGCAATGACGTTCAACAAATCGCCATTGAACAAGTAGTTTGTGATGCGATAAAAACACGAGTAAGACAGTTCAGGGTAACGTAATAACTTCTTGAACGCCGCGAAGGCGGCGGCTCTGATCCTGGCTCGAAATCTTCCTCTCTCATAGGCATTCAGTACCAGGTACCTCATTTTCGGATTTCCCATAACTGCGTGCTCTCTCGTCAGAATCTTTTCGTCAAGTTTCCAGTCTAAGTACAGGTCTGCAATTACATTTTCAGTCAAGCCCAGATATTGGTAGTAGGAGAGATTCGTGAATAGGAATGCAATTTTCAACGTGCTGACGACATCGTCGAGGCATGGGCGTAATAATCTGGGCACGCCTAATTTCGACTTCACCATTTTTTCGTCCGCGCTCTTAACTATGAGGTCGTGCTCCGCGACATTCCGCGGCGTTGCGACCAATCTGAGTAGATGAAAAAAGCCCCAGAAGAACATAAAGAAATTCTTATCTATTTTCTCGTCGACCAAATCTATCATGGATCTTCCGCGGCAATCGCGCGCATAGACATCGGCTCCGAGCGCGACCAATATTTGAGCGTACTCGAGAGCTCCGTGCTTGGCGGCTTTTAAAATAGGAGTCGCTCCATCGATTCCGTCGGTCTCGTTCAAGTAGGCGCCTTTGGTGCCAAGAAGGACCAGGAAGTCGCCTCCCACTTCCGGAAGGTCGCAGGCCATGTGCAGGCAGGTTTCGCCATCTCGTTTAATATTCGGATCCGCGCCGGCCTGTAAACGTAAGCAATGACAAATTACCAAGAACAATTGCACGCTCGGTCATCGGATCGAGTTCGAATTAATTCACGTTCAGTTGGACGTACACTAATGAGGCAACAGGCAGTGGTAAAACTGTAAGATTCGATGGCGTAATGCAGAGGCGTCTTCAATTCCCAATCGATGTAATCGACATCGGCTCCGTAACACAAGAGGAGCTGGGCCATTATCGGGTTGTCGGTCATCGCGGCCACGGTCAAGGGCGTCATGCCGTTGTCATCGAGCTGGTCGACGCGAAGGCCCGCCCGCAGCAGCATCCAGATTTTCCGCTTGAGCTCGTCGTCGCTGTGGTTCTCGACCCACTTTTTCGCGCTGAGCTTGTGCAGCAGACTGCCGCCGTCCATGTGCTGGCACTTGGGGTTCGCTCCCGCGTTCATCAGAGCTTTCATCACCAGAGCCGAGTGCCGCTGGCACGCCAGCGTCATCGGATAATTTCCGTCTACGTCTTTTTCTTCGAGGTCAATGTAGCTCGGTAAATCTTCTAGGTAGTCCAAGATCCAAGTCTCCTCGATATCGGGCAATCTCAGAATCTTGTGCAGAGCATACCTGATTCTGTCCCCGTTTATCGTCAGATTGTAGAATTGTCTTTCTGAGTCTCCGTCCATGATTCCGCTAATTCACTTGTTGTAATCTTACGAGAAGATAGTCTGGATAAACGATTTTTTACAACGAGATTATTCAAACCTCACGAATATCACCATTAAAGATTGCAATCTTTCTCTTGAACTCTGTATTTTTTATTTATCCTGGTATAACATCACTTTACACGTATTATACATTTAAAATAATAATGCCACGACTTTTTTAACATGTTTTGTCACATGAATTATTCATGTTGACTGATCGACGTATGCCAATACATCTTGAGTTGAAGCTACACACTTTAATCAAGATGTAAGAGTCAATAATACATAAACCGCCTTTCGAACGTTTAACGGAAAATTCGTAAACAAATATCAAATTTGTCTTATGAATTCACTAATTGATCTATTATCTCGTCAACGCGATCGAGTGTAGAGATTCGAAAATTAACTGCGCATTGGCCAACTTTAAAATACTTGAAAAAAGTTTTCAATTTAAATGATCCTTGTTCCATACAAGGTTTGAAATGTATCATAATCGAATTTATTGTTCTTATTCAATCGTTACATTCTATGTTAAGATAGAGTAACTATTTAAAAGTTCGAATTATTGTCTACAATTTTCAGTTGTTTTCTCTTTTGTTTGTTTTTCTTTGTGATTACTGTTAGGTGTTTACAGAATTTTAGAAATAACAATTTGATTATTTATATAATAAATAGTCTATAAAAATTTTCGAGTCATTGTAATTACTATATGTTGCAATAAAAAAATATTAATGTAATGCTAGTAATAATATGTTATTTTCTAGTTAAACTCCTACACAACAGATACATTTTAGTTTAAGTTTTTCACTGGTAAATTTAGCATAAATTATTTATATCAAAATAATGCGTTTGAAAATTAGTGAATAATGAAATATAAATGATATTTATTTCTTGTTAAAAAATTAATACAAAAATTCCATCATGTACTTTATATACATGCACACTGTGAACAACCACAATTTGTTTTACAAATTTTTCATTAAACACTGAATGAATGAGAATACGCAAGTCTACTTGAAATTGAACGAAAAAATTAATTAATACATTAAATGTTAAAACGGATATCAAAAAGATAATATCAACACACAAAACAAAACAAGTCAAGTTTTAAATGCACCTTTTCTTGGATTTACCATCATCTTGTCTAATTTTTCGTTTCTTGCTAATAATCATAGAATTAGCTCTCACAACATTTAAAAGATCTTCGTTTGATAAAGTAACAAATATTTTATCACTACATAAATCTGGTATATTTTTTTTAACCATGCATTGCAGAGATGTTGCTGCCATTTCAAGAAGCTGTCGTCTTCGTTTACCTTTAAAGAACTTTGAGTATATCAAAGCTCGAAACATAGGATAATCTCTTTTCATGAGTTCTGATTTCTGTAAAATTTCTTTTAAAGTTAAATTGTTTGAGTAGATGCACAATTTATTTTCATCTGCATGACACAAATCAAAAACTGAAGTATGTCGATCAATCATTTTTCTTTTAAGATTGTCTTTCTCTCTTTTGCATGCTTCTAGATCTTGTTGATTCTGTAATTAATATAAATGAATTCAATTAGATTCTGGAAAAATTAATAAAATATATTGATACTCACATCAGGATTTACATTAATTTGTGAGTGTTTGGAACAAAGTAAAGCAAGTTTACAATTAGCTATTAATTTATGTAATGGGCTTGTAGTAAATTGAATAGCAATATCATATGGAGTTTTACCACTTGCGTCTCTAATAGTAATATCTGCTCCAAATGAAATTAATGACATTGCTACCTCAATATTGTCAAAACTACAAGCCCAATGTAAGGCTGTTTTCCCATATTGGTCTACATGATTTATCTCTGCAAAATTGTCAAAAAGTAACTTGATTAAGGTAGAATCTTTGTGATATACTGCCAAATGAAGTGGTGTACGATCATCGTATTGACGGGCATTAGGATCGGCTCCATACTGTAAAATTTTGATTATTAATTTTTTATATTTCTTGAATATATATTGATTTATTTAGTTGTAATAAGAATATAATGAACAAGTACCTTAAATAAAAGATTAGCAATTTCAATATTCATACTTGTAACTGCTGAATGTAATGGAGTCACTTTTTCTTCAGTCGTACAATGAATATTCGCCTTATTTACCATTAATGCTTTAGCAGCATTTAAACATCCTTTTTCACAAGCTAAATGAAATGGTGTTAATCCAAATTTATTTTTCATATTTATATCGCAACCTCGTTGCATGCATAGTTCAACGATCAATTTCATTGTTTCAAAATCTCCGTTGTCAAACTCACTTAAATAATGCAAAACATTACCATTTCTATCACTGGATTTGACAGCGATATCATTTTTCAGTAAAAGCAACATAATTTTAAGGTATTTTTTTTTACATACCATATTAAATAAGCTACTATTACTCAAACTTTCTTTTGCACCTTTGTGAATCATGCTGACAACAACAGGTAATAATACATTTTCTTCAATTGTATCCCCAATAAATAAATATTGAAATGCTGTATACCCATCTTTACTTTTGTGAGTATCTACATTTTCTGAACGTTTTAGAAACTCTAAACACGCTTTTATATATTTTTGTGTATCAATACGATTATGACTATGTATTCCATAAATAGCCAACTGCAATGGTGTTTCCATATGATGATTCGGAGTATCAACAGATGCACCCATAGATAAGAACCATTCAACACAATCCATGTCAATACTCCTTGCTTTAAGTAATGTATGAAGAGGGGTATCTCCTGATGAATTTCTTAAAGTTACTAGTGGCTTGAACTCAGACAAAATAACTATCAACTTGTAAGAATTTTTTTCAGCCGCTAAGTGTAAAGCAGTATTTCCATTTGTGTTAGCAGCATTAATTTTTAAACCCTGGGCCAAAAGCTTTTTTATAACATGATGATCAACACTTTCCTTAAGTAGAAATAGATGCAGAATATTATTGCCAGCTCCATCTGCCACATTGATATTTCCAACTCCATCTTTAATCATTGTAAATAGAATGTCTAGATTTTTAGATTTGGCAGCAATATGTAGAGGTGAATTGCCTTCTTTATTTTTAATATCAATTTTTCCCTGTTTTGATAATATAATCATTACTAACTTTTTCCAAACTTCAGTTAAGGAATCCGGCAAAGTATCTGCGTAATTCAATAAATAATGAAGAACTGTATTTTCAGTTTGATCCCATGCATTCACATCATTCGAACGATTCAGTATAATGTTTAATATTTTAAAATGTTTATTTTTAGCAGCTAAATGAGCAAGAGTTTCTTGCTTGTTATTTGATATGTCGATTGGAATTCTTTTCTCAATGAGTTTGAAAAAAATGTCAACATTGTTGTCTTCATTTGAACTTAATGAATTTCCAAGTGTTGACTTTAATAACGAATGAAGGATTGTGTTGCCCTCAATATCAACTTCAGTGATTAAATGCTTTAATTTTGACATTGATATCAACTTACAAAATATACTTTTGTCTTCCAGTAATATTGACAAATGCAACACTGTTTGCTTTGACTTATTTTTCCAACACAAATCGGCACCTTTACTAATAAGTTTTTCAAATACTTCAATAAATCTCACAGGATCATAGTCGATACTAGAATCTTGAGCTTTTTTTATGAAGGCTTCGAACAATGTTCTGTCTTTATTATCTGTAACATTGATATTTTGACAATATTTGAGCATTAATAAGAGCAGTCGATAATCTCGTTTCTCAGCAGCAAGATGTAATGGAGTAAGACCAGTCTGATAATGGCGTTCGATGACACTGGCACCCTTGGAAAGTAACATCTCTGATATTTCAAAAAATTTTTTACTAGTGGCAATATATAAAGGCGTTGAATCTAATTTTTGGTAAGATAGAATTGGATTAGGATAACAGCCACCATCCAACAGAAGTTTTACGATAGTAATGTGTCGATTAAGGACTGCATTCTGAAGAACTGTATAAGCTGTTGTAACTGTTTCTCCTTCTCTAACGGGTATATCTATCAAAGTGTTATACACTGATGTCATTAATGCAATTTCTTCTTTTGCTTCTTTCATATTGCCATTTTTAACAGCTTTCAATAACGCTTCCATTGTCAATTTTTTAATTCGAACTTCACGTTGTATATAACGAAGTTATCAAGTGGAATGAAGGAAGTGACCTAAAAAGAAAAAAAACAAACTTTCTTACGTATGATCTTTAGTGAATCTCGTTATAATCTCTATAAGCCTAGGGTCAATATTAAACCTGCTAAAGTAAAATCACTTAGGTGCTATCAGCACAGGTTAGAAGGCGGCCTTAAAGTAATTTCTCAGTTGTAATCTCAGATCCCATAGTAGGACTAGGGCCAAGTATTTGATGGTTGCAGTTGTTGATTAGTTACATATCCCATGCAAAATGTGTTTCTAATGTTTCTATTTATATAATGGTGCCAATATGAGTGAAAAAAAAAACAATTTAACTCTTTCCTACTTTTAACTTTTAATAGCCCGAGCAGGACAGCGGACTACTTCTAGACTGTAGGCCAACCGAAATCGGCATTGGCCGTTAGCATTGAACTTGGCGGGAACAAAAGATGACCGCTCTAATCGAGTATTTTGCATCTGGCCGAGGATATGTTCAATATTTTCTCTGTATGATTCGCATAATTCATCATTTGAGATAATCAACCACCTTATTATCCTTAACAGAATTTGCTTACTATAATAATAAATTCTGTTGACTTTTATCATTACTGAATGACGGGAAAAACCTTATCTTACGTTTTTACAAATTAATTTGATGACGAATAAATGATTAAATTGAAAAATAAAAATTTTAATTCGATTCAATTTCTGTATTTTTATATTTATAGTTATAAATAATTTTTCAATTACATTAAAAAAAAATTAAATGCTAGGTTCATTTCTTGAAAGATAATTGTTATATAATGCTAATAAAGTTTCATTATGAAAAATTATATCCCAATTATCTTTATGAACATATTTATTCTCTAGTTTCAAACTAGCTATATGTTCTACCATTGTAACTGCTTGCTCTGACTTCAAGTTCGTTAATAAAGAAAAAGGGACTAATCCTTGTGAATTAAAAATGTTGACATCAGCTTTTAATATGAGTAAAAATTTGAGTCTTCCACTAGACATATTATGTTTACAGGCATAATGCAGTACTGTATCACCCTCAATATTTTTTTCATTTATATCAGCCTGTGAGGAAATAATATTTATAACTCTTGGAGATACTTCTAATATTATTGCTAAAAACAGCGGTGAATAGTAGTTTTTTAAATTCACATCAGCTTTATATTTTAATAACCCTTCTGCCTGAAACGAATAGAGCATCATATTATTTTATTTTACTGTTTCAAGGAATTAGGTGACTACTAAATGAATTATTAACGCTTATTTATTTTACCATATTATTTTTTCTTAAGCCTATGGCATAAAGCAATGGTGTTTCATTCTGACAATCCAAACCATCGATAGCTACTCCTGCCTCTATTAAAAGAGTTATTATTACATTATTTTTTTCATCTGCACCTAGTGTAGCAATGTGCAAAGCATTTTGACCTAAATTGTTGATAGCTTTTAAATCTGGTTTTCGTTTCAAAATTTCTTTAATAACTGCAACATTGTTAGTTTGAACAGCTATGTGCAGTATTGAGTTTCCTTTAAAATCCCTGCAATTTACATCAGCTCCATATTTTAAAAGGATACAAATAATGTCAAGCTCTTCTGATTTGATTGCAAAATAAAGAGCTCCTATTCCATCTTGTTGGTTTTCACAATTGACATCAATATTGTTTTTCAATAAAAGATTCACTGCAAAACTATTTTTCCAATAAATAGCCCAAAGCAACAATGATCGAGTGGGATCATTCAAGGGTTTATTTAAAAATTTTTGATGAATTTCAGCACCATTTTCTACCAGCAAAGTTGAAACTCTTTGATAATGTTTAGCTATTGATGTCCAGAGTAAGACACCTAAATACTGTGATTTCTTTATTAGATTAGATTTCATCCAGTCTTCAACTTGTTGCGGTTGATTATTAATTACTGCTTCACACAATAACTTATCTTCAGCATCTTGATAATCTGGCACTTGCAGAATAAAATTAGAACAATCGTTTTGAATTAACATTGTTCATAAATTCTATTTTTGCCAAGAAATAGCGAATAAGATAGATTAATCTGTTTATCAATTAATTGATCTGAGGTTATATATTTTAATAAATTCTAGAAATAATAAACTGTTTGCATTTATAATAAGATTTTGATTTTCACTGACATTTCTAATTAGGAAGCACGATGTCTGATTGATCAAATCGACGGTTGGTAAGTTATGTTCAAGTCTATAATATTGAACATAAAATCTTTGCGATCATCAACATATAATTTATAATTGCTTTAGGATATATAATAACGGACTATATCGGATAATCATAGTCTTAAATTTTACAAAAAAGATAAAAGACAGAATATCAAAATAATATCGAATGTGTCACAATTTTATTAGATACTGGAACAATAGTTGGAGTGGAAATAGTTCGACGTTAATAGTAAAATTGTTAAAATATCATTAAAAACAAATGAAATCGAAACAAACTATTTGAATCTCTTTTCATGGTGCACGGTTAATGTGATCGCATGTAGAGGGGGAAGACCAATATATCCGAGTTATATTCAATTCTTATAATGGGTAGGCCCAAATTTCAGCGGAGCTGTGCCCAGTAGTCAGTACCAGATTCAGGTAGTGGCATTGTGTTGGTAGCTCATTTCACATTCTTAGTTGCAATTTGGTTGTATTAACAGTAATATCTCTGATACTACAGAATTCATTAAAACTAATTAACTTTTCAAGACTCGGAGTCCGGAGATAATGATACTTTTTGTTTTTGTTAAATTTATAATAATTTTTTTAATTTAAATCATTCAAGCATGACAAGTTCGGTTGTTACAGTAATATATTAATATAATATCACAATGGAAAGGTCAAATACATCGAGTTTGAATTAGAACGAATTGGCTCTTATCTGTGATAGCAATTTTTAATTTAAAAATAGTGGTAAAAAATAATTAGGATCAACCTTTTTTTTCGAGAATTTTTTTTTTAATACTTTAAGAACTTTTACATTGCTATTAAATGAATGTTGAAGCTAGTTTTAATGGAACTTAATAAAAATATGTGGATTTTTTTGCTTTGGAATCGTTTTTGTCAGTTTTCTTCCGAGTCTGCATCATCATCATCGTTATCATTATCTTCTTCGGGATTCGCGTCTTCACTCGATTCGTCGTTATCGTCATTGGTGGTAGCATCATCTTCGGTTTCACTAATGGCATCATCATCATCTCCATAATTGGGAATATCTTCATCATCCGCACCAAAATCAGCATGATTCATGCTCATTCTCCCATTATATGACCTTCCATGTATCATTGTTGAAGCTGCATCTTCAATTATATTCCCTAAATGCCCTGACATTTCATCTTTCAGAAAATTTCCTATACTGGTCATCGCAATCCATGTTTTAGATTTTTTAGTGGGATGATCCGAATCACTGCTCCTACTTTTAGTATTTTTTTTACTCGATTCGAGATGATGAGGATTTTCAATTACTTCATCACGTCTTGTTGAAGCTGTTTTGGATTTGCTAAGAATAGATTTTTTGTTCGTTTTATCGGTTTTGGAGGGAAAGCCTTTATTCTTCATAGCACTAATTTTACTATGAACGATTTTTTTATTATTCTCATTGCTTTTAACATGAGTAGATTTCTTTTCGATTGTGGCAGACTTTTTTTTAAGTAAACTAGACTTACTTGGATTTTCTTTTTTATCAGTCTTACCAAAACTTAATTTTTTACTTATGCTTTTGCCAAAGCTAGATGTGGAACTCTTCACTTTCTCTTTAACTGCAAAATTTTTATTTTTTGAAAATACATTCGAAATTTCAATTATAAAATACACTTTTATCCTTCACTTACATTTTTTCAAAGCCTTTGAAAACAAAGCTTCTGGATCTGCATTGGCATCGGCTTCCGGGTTAGCTTCAGGTTTTGCTTCAGGTTCCGCAATAGGATCAGCAACTGCGCTTGCATTTGGAATGGCATTGGGATAGGCCACGCAAGACGATAAAATAAATAAACCCAGAAAAAAAAGCAACTTCATAGTTATTTCAAATAACACAGGTTGACTAAAACAAAAATGAGCGTAGTGTGGCACTTTAAATAAGTAGAATGACAATCGTGCGTTGCGATCGTGATCCAACTTAGAAGGAAGTAATAAAGTTAAGGCACGATTAATGATAGACGCTTGCATTGTTCTACAAAACAACTTTTTATAGAAGGGTGAAAAAATTATACAAAATAATGCATTTTTTCTCGCTTATCTATTTTCGTATTATTATTTACGAAGCACACTGTTTGTTTGGAAAAATTGAAGAGGAAAATTTTCTCAAGTTTTGTTATCTTGATGAAAAGATAATTTTTTCATAACAACTATAAAAATTCTAATGCCTATAGTAATTGAGACTTTGATAAAATTGTTAAAGTTTGAGTTATAGGTAATCTTGACTGTCAAAATAAGTTATTGGGCTAAAGGTAAACGCGATTGTATTTGTCGATATTCAAAATAAGTATATTAGCTATTGTTTGAAATTACATACCAGTCGCAGAAACGTTGCATTTTCCGACTGCTGCCCTAGAATAAACGAAAATGCTAATGGGTCGCTGGTATAAAATCCTCAGTTTCGATCTCAGTTGATAATTTACGTGTGATCTGAGATATCCTTCTTTCACCTTCCTTATTGCGTAATCTACTATTATTATTACAGCTGCACATAGGATTTCGAAAATAACACAGCGGTATAATTAACAACTTTTTCTGAGTTATACAAATAAAGAGGAGAGAATAAAGATGAGAATCAGATATTCTCCACTTTTTTATTTCAAGACTTCACTCAAAGACATGAAATAAACGTGACTTTATTACTTTATTTAATAAATATTTAATGATATTTAATGAAGAAAATTTAAATTAAATGATTGACGTCTAACACTAACAATCGATGACCGTTTTAAGTTTACAATTTTATCATAATGCAATTTTTTTACTTTACAATAAAATTGATAAATTCCAGAAAAATTAGATGATTTGAAAAACTTTCCTTGCACGTATGTGCTTATCTCTATTGAATAAGCAATCAGTTAATTTTTCTATAGAAAACTGAGTTCTACGAAAGGGATTTTGAATTCTCAAGAACCTCAAGTATTCAAAAAGCACGAGACTTGTTTGAGCTATCTCTATTTTTTCAGAGTGCTTAATTTTATTTTTACAGTTTTTAATTTATTTCATAACACAGAATTTTATATGCAGATATTTTTAGTTTTTTTTTTTTTTTTTCAAATTACATCATTTTTTTATTATTGAGCTTACCTCACAGATCGCTTTGACTGTTTAAAGGTTTTATTGTTGGTTAAATTAATCATTGCTCCTTTATTCACAACTCAATGGTCAAAACACGTTCATTAAAAATAAAATCAACGGCTAATGGATACTTCGAAAAATTGCTAAGAGATAATGAATAATTAAATAATGACAATTGAAAATGAATGAAAAATCCAAGTTAATTTATAAGCTTTCTTATAATTTATTGAATGTTTAAATTTATTAACAAGTGCCTTCTGTTATGAAAATAAAAAACTACTTTCCACTTTTAGATAAAAAGTAGACATTGTTAAATAGAGTAGATTTAGACTTATATATATTAAATCTATTTATTGATAGAGATTACAGGCCCCACTTCAATCAGCCTCTTCTTCAGGATTATCCGCCTCTTCTCCTTCTTCAGCAGTTTCAGCCTCTTCTTCGGGAGCTTCATCGTCTTCTTCGGGAGTTTCCGGATCTTCTTCGGGAGTTTCCGGATCTTCTTCGGGAGTTTCCGGATCTACTTCGGGAGTTTCCGGATCTACTTCGGGAGTTTCCGGATCTACTTCGGGAGTGTCGGGGTCTGTATCATCGGGATCTACTGGATAATCTTCATTGGAGTTAGGGTAATCCGTTCCGTGGTTAGTACCGTTAGTAATATCGTGAATTATATTATGTATATCATCTATTATTCCATTAATATCAGCCGAAGATTGATGGTTGTCATATGGTGATGGATATGGATGCGGATCTATTGTGTGATGGGGTTCCTCGGTTCTATTAGGCTGCTCAGTTGGTCGTTTAGTCGGTCGTTTGGTTGGTCGTTTGGTTGGTCGTTTGGTTGGTCGTTTGGTTGGTCGTTTGGTTGGTCGTTTAGTCGGTTTTCTAGTAGGTCGTTTGGTAGGTCTTTTAGTAGGTCGTTTAGTTAATGGTTTAATTGGTGGTTTACGTGTTATCCTTTTGATTGGAAGCCTTCCTGAGGGACGTAGTCGAGGTGCTCCTACTTTTCCTATTAATGCAACCGCTAAAAAATGTTTTTTACAATTAAATAACTGACCTTTAATTAATATTTATTATCAGACTCACATTTAGCATTAGGTTCTGCTACAGCGATAGCTTCAGCAATAGCTATCGGCTTTGCTTCCGCATTCGCTTCAGGGTCAGCCTTCGGTTTTGGATTCGGGTCCGCTTCAGCATCAGCTAATGCATAAGCTTCAGCATCAGCGTTCGAGAATGCCGAACAATTGTTTACTATTAAAATTAAAAGTAAAAACAAAAATGTCTTCATTTTTGCTTCTTGGTATGTATTTTACCAAATGATTTTCAAACTTGAAAAAAGGTTTTATACTAATATTTTTAAATTTGCAATCGTGACACAGATTTGTCAAGCACATTAAATTTTAATGCAATTGACGACACAAGTATGTTTATTACTGGAAGCTTGCAGTAAAGCGTGGCCAAAAAGTTGATGATTAAATGCAAAATTCATATATTTTACTGAAATTTCTTAAAATTATAATTTATGAACTATAGTCATTTTTTAGGTACTAATCATTTGTTAACTCATAAAAAATATTTTTCAATAGTTTATTTATATCATTTGTATACAATAGGTAATCTTAAAAAAAAAATAGAATAAAAAAAAGAATGTCACATTCTATCATTTTAATTTTTAAAATTAATGTCATGATTTTTTAAATGAACAATAAAAGCAATTTAAAAGATTTACAAAACAAGTAACTTATTCTATTTGATTGCGTTTTTAACTAATACCAGTTAAATCATAGAATTCAAAAATATCTTCTAAATAAATAAAAAAATATATTTTATATTCTATACATTTGGATGAAATTATTTTAGATTTTTATTAATTCATCCAGCTTTCTACTACTTCATTGATATTAATATCTTCCTCTGTACTTGTATTTATTAATTCTAAATTTAGCACTACCTTATTAACAGTAAACCTATTAAACTCTCGATCAGTTATGTGAGCAACGAAATTTTTACTGACAATGAGATCGTTCAATTTTAAGCTTTCAATTGCAGACCAATTTTTGACAATTTCATTAGATACTCTAGCAAGTCTTCCTTTTACAGCTTGACATGGAATTTCGCAAAAATTATCTGGCAAAGGCAGCAAATCGTCTAAGCGCACAATTCTGTAATCGCCGTAATCCACGGAAAAAACGGCAAATGCACTTTGACTTATTCTTTTATACACATAAGCTCTGAAAAATTGCATTCGGTTAATCATTACCCTTGAGAGAGTATAAATATTCATTGTCTATAATTTTTTTTTATTACAGCGTGCAGGAAAATTTAATCCCATGCACTACGATAAAAAGTAGTATGCAACTGAGCGGTTTTGCCTGAGTATCAGATTGACAACCCGTACCCCCCCCCCCCCCCCCNCCCCCCCCCCCCCCCCCTTGAATAGTATATGTACTACTTTACCTGAACCAAGTATCATCTTCAATGTTTAAGGCTGCATAAGCATTGCCCACATGGATATCATCTGATTGTAAATGTGTCCCACTAAAACTTTCACAGGATTCTGTTAGATCAATTGTCATTCTCTGAAAATATTTGAGATAAAAAAGTATGAGATAAAAAACAATGTAAATAAAACATTTACCTTTAACTTAAAAAGATTGCATAAAAGCTGTATAGTGATATCATCAGGTCTAGAAGCCATTGTAATATGAACATCAAAATATGATCCATCTTCTGGCAATTCAAGTAGCTTAAAGTTGATGTTTTTGGAAGGATATTTGAGATGAAAAAATCTAGTAATTTATTAAACCAATTATATTCATAAGCCAGGAAAAAAAGCAAAAAAATTTGTTTGATAACTCACTGCAAAGGTGTTTCAAATGGTAAAATGTCATTAATAGAAATGATTTGATTGTTCTCTCCTCTCTTACATAGCTGAACTATAGGGACATCTTGTTGATGATCAATAATTTTAACTAAAAATGGATCCGAGCATTTTGCTAATTGTTGTAAATATTCTATTACCTCATCATGTAATAGTTTTGGTGAAACTGTATGCAATTTTACTTCAATGGCCTGTTGAATAAAATGTAAAGAATTTTCATTCATTAAAATTGAAAGAAAAGCTGTTTACCTGTTTAGGAAAAATATTTAATATCTCTGATATATCTTGAATTGATATTAAATCTTTTTTATCAACATCTTCAATTCTTCCAACATCAATTAATCGAACTCGTACATAATTATCATTTTCAATTTGGATAACTTCAGCTCTGTACCAATTACTTTCTTTCAAACTATTGACTAAATATAATTCTTCGAGTTGAAAAATTTCAATTTGTGATTTATTAATATTATGATTATTCTGTATTTGTAATACAGCTTTTTCAAGTAATCTGTTTAAATATTCGAATGCTTTATTGTTAATCTGCATGAAAAGATTATTTTCTTCAACATGTGATATTTTGGCCACATGGAGAGCACCCTGTAAAAACGTAGACCCATTTTGTTAATAAACACTTTAATTTGTTGTAAAAAATAATTACACACCTCTTTTGTTATTTTATTAAGATCCATCGAGTCCAAAATTTGTTTCAAAATGATTTCATTTAGATTCATTTCTTCATCTTGTACAAAAAATTGAGATGATAAAATAGGAACATCAATATAATTATTCTTTTTGATTACTTTCACATAAACATCTTGATTTTCAAAGTAATCATTCATGAATTTTTCCATTAGTTCATGATCATAAAATATTTCTAAATTATTCATTGACAACGACACAAACTGAGCAGGCATTTGACAAAATTTAGGAGGCAGAATTTGCAGTTCTGTAAAAGGAAAATCATCTTTATCTCCTCTATCCACAAAAAAAACAGAAGCAATTCTTCTATGAAAATCGCAATTTAGGCATTTGACTCTGTGCCATTGGTCGTCAAAAACCGCATAATAGTTCCCTAAAACAACTTTATTGACTTCTGCATCCTCACTGTTGTAGTATATTTTCATTTCTTTACTCAACTTGTTCATGTTTTTCTAAAAAAGTAACAAATAATATCTCTCATTATAAAGTCATATTTATTTAATGATTATTTTTTATGTTAGCTTACTATATGAATATCGTCTAGGATTATGCCTTTAATGTCTTTGGAGTTATTTGCAGCAGTTACTCGAATCCAAAATTCTTCGAATTGAAGAAGGTCTGGGTCATACATTGGTATCGAGATTTCCTTATCCATCTTATGCTGAGAATGTTCAGTTTTGATAAAAAGTAAACGAGTGTTTCATGCAGCCTTGTAATAAAAATGAAAACAACAAAAAAGGAATACTAAAATTTTCATATGAAAACAACCGTCAACTCGGAGGAACTTTTCTCGAGATTTGGGCGCGTGTTATAAACGCCACAAGATTCAGCTGCCTGTTTGAACTCGTCCATAGATACTTTATTATGGGATTCACGCGTATACCCATAGACATTATATTCTATGTCTATGCGTATACCTATCGCCATCATCACTTTTATAGGGAAATCTTTTGAAGTACCACAATGTACTTTTTTTATGATGTGTCAAAAAGAAAGCTGATGATTTTGGATTTACATGAAGTTAATTCATTCATTAATTATTTATTTTTACCTTTTGGTACATGGTTTGAAAGATGATCACAGAAAATTATGGGAAATATTCAAAATCTACGTATATTTACATCTTTTCGTTAAACTTAATAACGTTTATATTTTCTAACTTTCTTAAAACTTCGTGACTGAATTTTTTTAATCATTGAAGTTTACACTTTACAGAAACTGCAGTGTTTTTTCTATGAAGTTTTAAATGAAAAATTTTAATTCGAATAAAATTTTATAAAAAAAGACATTAAATGTAAAATCTAACTGGATGCAATTTTTTGATGAATTTCAATATATTTCAGAGTCAACTGCGGTGTTATCGAATTAGATTATAAGGCGCCAGTTAATAATAAATTCAAGACCGAACTTTTTAAATAAGCAGCCTATATACAATGCGCCTCTTTTACATTCACCAAATTTATTTAGTCCGTAAATTCTCAAAATGTTTACTTTATTATTCTAATTTAATGATTTGACATTTTTTAAATCTATGTTCTTATAATCTCTTCAAACGCTACATGATAAACTTACTCCTAAAAAGTGTACTTTGTAATATAATATGAATGAGGGTAAAAAACGAAATTCGACATATATTTATTATTATTATTTAAATTTTATTTACTAAAATTTTAGGAGTTATGAAAATAAGTAGTATAAGATATTTAATATTTGCTACGTATTTACAGAACATGTCACTGAAATTACCATACATCTAACGTGTAAAAGGTAGGTTTCAAGTTTTAGCTATTTGAAAAATATTTATTCATAAATACAAAAATAAAGCTCAAAACTAGATTATAGATGAAAATCTTAAATATCATTCTACTTTTTCGGCCCTTCCTTCTTGAATCAATATTTGACTGATATAAATATCATCTGCTGTACTGGTATCAATTAGTTCTACACCAATATATGATTGGCCTGGAATGGGATTTTCTTCGTAACTTTTTACGAGTACCACTAAATTTTTTGATACTACCAATTCGTTAAATCTAATCGCATCTTTAACTAACCAGTCACCTTTCAAATGAGGCATAATACCTGAAATATATCACTACGTTTAATAAAAAGCATAATAAACAATATATGATGTATAGAAAAAATTGAACCATGTATTTTAGCTTTAATAGCTTGAGATGGTAGTTCATAAAATTGATCTTGAAGTGGTTGCAATCGCTCAATATCAATTGCTCTGTAGTCTCCATAGTCGCAAAAATATACACCACACATTGTTTTACTAATTATCTTACAGGCGTACGCTCTAAAGAGAAATTTAAAATTTAAAAATTAAAATTTTTAAATAAACATATAATAGAAATTAAAAAATCAAAATTTTTTAATAAGACAATCATTATTACCTGTACCAACGATTGTCTTCGCATTTTGCAGCATACATTGTACCAAGTTCCAAGTTAAAAGGCGTGACAGCAGGTCCAGTGTAAGACCGACAAACTCTGAATAATTCATCCATCATCCTCTGGAAAAAGTGAGGAAAGAGTGAAATAAATTGTTGATATAAAATAAATGAGGATCAATACCTGTAATTGTACAGCAGAATCAAGAGGTTGAATTGTAAAACTACCAGGGTGAGCTGCCATTGAGACATGAACATCAATGTAGCCACCTATTTTTGGAATTTCAGGAGACTTTAATATTGACTTTGGCATTTTGTCTTTATTTGGTCGATTATTAGGATTGTTGTTATTATCTCGGGGGCTGAAAAAATATACGATATTATCAATGTTATATCTTATGGTAAAATTAACAGAAACAAATTATATAAATTGAAATCAAAATTTTAAAAATAATAATTCCAATTTATAGTTACATGTCTACCTAATTTGGGGTTCCAAAGCTAATGTATCATTCAATGAAGCTAAATAGTTGCTTTCCGTGCGTATATAAAATTCAACAACAGTTAATTCTGTACGATCATCTATAACTTTCATGTAAAATTTATCTGTTGGCTTAGCCAGCTCTTTTAAACGCTCAACCATTGCATCGTTAAAGTCAATGGGTGATACTTTGTGTAGGCGACATTGTACAGCCTAAAAACAGTGGAAATTAAAATTATTTCTTTACTTAGTTTTTAAAATAAATGAAAAATTTTGTAATAACCTGGCTTGGAAAATTTTTTAAAATAAATCCTGAACTTATATTATCAAGTAATACTAAATTGTTGCGTCTGGCTCTGCATTTATTACCAACGTCAATGCAACAAATTTCAAATTCTTCAGAATTAAATTGTTGTGTTACTTTAACTCTATACCATTTTTTATCAATTGGACTTTGCGCAATGTAGATTTCATCAGTTTTTAATTTTGTTGGTCTTACTATCAAGGCCGGATTATTAGACATTTCTTTTGTTATATTATTCATCAATTCTTCTAGAATTGTAAAACCTGAATAAATGAAGTTTATGAATACTGTTTTATCCTCTACATGTACAATATGTACTTGTGATACAGTTTTCTCCTTGAATCAAAGAAATATATAAAAGTTGTCATATTGTTCATGAGTAAATTGTTCAATATAAAATACTAAAAAAAAGTCTTACCAAGCTCATAAGAAGAGATGGATCAGCAATTTTGTTATGAAGTAAGATGGTTAAATCACTTTTTTCATCTTCACCCAAATATAATTGTGCAGAAATAGTTTGTGAATATTTATCGGTAAATTTAGTACAAGGGTAAGCACCACAAACAATCACGTCTTTCTCTACTAGTAAATCTTCTAGTACATTAGTAGTCACTTTACAATCTGCAAGATTTTCAAAACCTTTTAATACTATTCGTACTGCTTGTCCTGGCAGATCACAAAACTTTGATGGCAAAGTCCGGAAGCGTGAATATGGAAACTCATCTTTGTCTCCCCGATCGATAAAAAAGATTGTTGCAGAATTCTTATCTGGATTACTTTCTAAACACCGTACTCGATGCCAAGCTTCAGCTTCAGCTTCATAGACAGCATAATATTCATTAGGAATAACTGTAACTGGACCTGTCTTATCTTGATCATAATACAGTTTCATATCTTCAGCCAATGTTACTATTTGGTCCTAAAGTTATATCAATTTCGAATAAGTCACATCTTATGTAGGTGCTTTGTAATTAAGTTTAATTTTACTTACGCTGTATTCTTCATCAATAATTACACCTGATATGTAAGTTGTATCATATACAGCATAAATATGAACATAAAATTCATCAGAACTTGGTAATTCTAGTAATCCTGGATGTATTGATCGACTAATCGGTTGTCGATTAACACCAGTGTTGTTCCTGTTCTGAGGACTGAGTATGATCATGTTGTTAGCTCCAACATCAACAGCAACAGCCTGCTCAACTAACTTTACCCAATTAGTTGGAAGTGTTTCATAGTATTTTTGGCAATATTCCTCACTCAAACAATGTTCGAATACTCCACTAGGATGATTGTCTACCATGTCAGCTATTCTACTAATTATCAGAGACCTATCTGATGTAACTGCAAGAGCATCATCATTTTTTTTCAATACTGCATTTAAAGCTGCTTGAGCTGCAAGTTTTTGTGCTTCTTCAGCTGATTTTGTTTCTAGAGGATATGAGGAGTGTTTGGAAGATCCAACCTAACATTAAAGAAATTTTGTTTTAATAGGTTCATTGATGTAGCAATTATTATGGAAAATACTCACTGCAACTGAAGCTAAGAATCCTGTAGATGTACTTCTATCATTGTAAACGGGTGCTTTCAGATTTTTCGATTCACAATACTTTGCTAATCTCAGTCTTGGATCAATTTTGTCATCAAGGTACTGTAAAGAAAAGTTCCATATATAAGAAAGCACAAAAATAACTATTTTATCTTCAACAAACCAATGAGTAAGAAGATTTTTCCTTCACAACTTGTAGCCTTTGTTGAACTGACGATTGTGTTGTTGGTTCCGGAACAGAAACTTGCATCAATGGTGGAGGTGGTGTGGGTGCTGAAACTTTAACAGCATTTAGCCTTTGCTGTATTGATGATATCTTAGAAGGCAATGCAGCAACAGTTGATGCAGGTACTGAAGATTTATCTGGTTCAGATTTAGTAGATTTAGCTGACAAGGGTGGTGAAAAGTGCACCGATTTTCCTTGTGTAGATGTTGATGTAGTCGTGGAGGATTTCAATGCCGGCTGATGTGAATTCTGAGATATCTGATTTCCCAATGATGAAAATGGTTGAAACTTTGGAGGATGTTTGTATGGCTCATTTCTGTAGGATCATACATCAAATGAGCCCATGCATTTTAAATTCAATTTAAAAAATATGCTTTCCTAAGAAGCAAAAATGTTGGAAATTTATTGAATATTTACCTACTAATAGAAACACTTTGTGACCTGCTTTGATAAGAATTATTATAATTCTTATTGAATCCATAATTATTTCGGTTGGTGTAAGAGTTGTATGGTGCATTGCTGCGTTGCCCTACACCTGGTGGTCTTCGTGACATTAGTGGAGGTCGATTAAAACGTTGGGGAATCTGTAAAAAGATTACCTATTAAATCTTGAACTAGTTATTTGAATCCTTGTTGATATTGAAAAATCATTGAATTATATATACACAACAATAGGTCATATTTTTTGATAAAAATTGACCAGTATCATTGTAATTATACAAAATATATCAGAATCATTCAAATTCATATAATTTAATGTTAATTATAAAATATTAGATGATAAAGTTATCTACCGTGCGTAGTGGCTTCTTTTTTTTTGACTTTTGCTTCGACACCATATCCATAATATGAGCCGTTTCAGCGGTAGCCATTACCCGCAATGCTCTCTTGCCCATGTGAGTAACTACTTGGGCATTTTTTATCTCTCGGCACATATCTTCGAGTGTGCGAAAACCCAATGACTGAAATGGGATATCTTTGCCTTCAAGCATTTTAACATCGCCTGAAATAAATAAAAAATCAAGTATTCCAATTACAATTGTTCGATCGTCGACTCAAATTTAACTTACGATTGATTTCAGCGAAAGTTAGTGGAGTTTTAGAGGTGAGAGCGCACGATCTTATAATCGAAGCCCAATTGGCAAACTCATCCTTATTCGTTACCACCATTGTAACTGGAGATGAATGCAGCAAATTGTATTATTTATAATTTGCCTTCAACCTGTAGACAAGAAATAAAAATGATAGAAACGATAAGAAATTAAATCGTATTAAATTTCTTACGAGGAATGTACACTTGTCCGCCCATTAAACTTATGCCGTCTGATCCCTTTCGTCACCACGTAAAGTGTTTGAATGGGATATAGAGAACACAAAGCAATGTGCAAGCAAGAAGTACCATTCAGTATAATTCAATTTTTTGTTCGTGAAACCAAAGCTGATAAAAAGTATAATTCCCACTACAAAAAACACGTTTAATTCGATTCCCATTCAATTCGAGCGAGCTACCAAAGTTTATCAATATATAAATAATTCATTTGCTTGATAAGCAAATTGCTAATCGATGAATCGTACGAAATCAATCTCGTTTCCCCCACTTAATGCAGCCTATAAACGAAAATCCAAATGTCTGCTTTCACCGAGCATCACAATAACGAATGAAACGAAGGTTGAAACAATCGTCACTTTTCATACGCGACGAAAAGACATAATGATAGTATTTGGGGCGGCATTGCTCGGTATGGTGTGTCTCGCATTCTTGCCTGTTGCCATCATCATTATAATCATCATAATAATAGTATCAACCGTAGCGATCACTTGTTTCTAATCCGCGCACGAATGGTAAATAGAAGTAGAAGCACGGTGAAAACTGACCAAAATATACACATGCGTGCATCGGCATTATTTGATGAAAAGGGACAATCAGCCTCATTGTACTTGGACTCACGAGAAATATTATACTTCTCTTAACTATATGTGTGTCACGTTGCGAAAAAAACTCTCGATCCAAAATACGAATAACTTCAGCGAACGGTAAATGTATACAAGGAAACGTTGATAGAATCATCAAAATAATAAGCATGTGACCTTTTGTAAGCGTGACACAGTAGCCGTATGGGCCCGTGTAGCCAACGAGAACTGTAAACAAACGAAAGTAACGTGCACAAACTCGTACTTAGAGATAATGTTTACACGATGTTTTTGGTTATACAGAAGAAATGAGTCGATAGTGCTCGATAAGTTAAATGTGCAAAACGGTGGACGTAGAACGATGGATTATTATCATAAATGAGAAAGAAGAAAAAAATGATTACTTTCGCGCGGACTAGATTTCGCAGAAGTCGATCGAAAAGATGTCAAGCAGCAGTGCGCGCGTTGAGACACGCAGACTCAAGTAGCGAGAGAAAATGAGTGAAAAAAAAAAAACATAAACGCACAATGTGAGTGGAACTCGTAGCGAGCGTCAACTGTCAGTTGTCAGCATACATAGGAAACGGCAGCGCACGAGTAGGCTCTGCACATTCCGATCGCGCTCCGCGGGATCAACAATCTCCCGCTTACTCTTTGCAGGCCGTATACACACACACACAACATACTTGCGCTACAAATCCGCGGAATTCCTATAGAGACAGGCTGCTGCCGCTGCTGCTGCTGCTGCTGCCGTTCGTTGCTGCAGCGAAACTCGCTCTTTCGAACGTGCGAGCTAGCGCCGTACATGTATGCAGCATTATCTCCGACACACTTCTCTCGTTAGATGCGCCTATGCAGAAACACATACGCGCGCACGTCTCAAGTGCGTTCATAAAACTTGGCACTCTTGCACGGCACGCCTGAATTCTGCAATACTGGGCGAATCGCGACTTTGGGAAAACAAAAGCTGAGAGCGGCATGAAAATGTCGTTTCGTCCTTCTCCCGCGTTCGAATTCGCGATTCTCGAATCGGCCAATATTAAAAACGACGAAACGAGACTACTTACTACTTTTCCAAGCTGCAAGCTGCGTGTTCCCACCAGTAGAACATTAACAACTGCGAGCGACGCCTTGAATAATTCTACCTGCACTGAATTTCGCACACCGAGCCACTGCCAGTCTCTTAACGAACGATGAATCGCGACTTGTAAAGTTGTGACGCTCTTTCTGCGAGTAACGAAGCACGTTTGATTAACCGAGTGCGCCTCGTTCGTCTACCGATCGCGCGCCACATACATAACACAACCCCCCACTCTCGGATCGACTAGCCCGACGTGGAGTGGAAACGGAGTAAGTCACTATGAGTATGAGCCGTTGAATATGCTTTGACGATATTGCAACTGCACGATGCTGTGGAATTTGAACTTTTTAAGGTTTCCCTCGGTAATCCGCCTGTTGTGACCCCAACGAAATTATGGCAGAATAATTAAATCAGTAATAAACTAAATAATAAACTATACTTGTAAATAATGAACGGGCGTTTTATTTTAAATGACGAAAATCGCCATACATTTGATTGACACTGGTGTCTTAGATTGCATCTGCCTGTTGACTTATCATGGCTATCAACGAAAAGCATAGAAAAGTTCCTTGACTTCATTTTGACGTAAAAATTAAACAGTCACACTTACTAGGAAGGAGGTTTATAATACACGTACGTGCGAGGTATTATAATTGAAAATTCAACGAACGTTCTGTCACTTGACAGAATTTCAATGACGATTCATGGCCAACGTGCATAGAATCATGCATTCTTTTGTTTCTTTGAAACGTTGGGCTCGAAATATTTTTAAATGTTGTAGTATTAAAGAACACACGCAAATTTAATTAATAATTTCAATTCAAGTTTCTTTATTTCGGCACATAGGTTACAGCCTCACGTGCAACTTTGAAAATCGACGCAAATAATATCGACAATTATCATACTGATTTTTCCCTGTCACGTGATTCTGTTTCTATTTAACGTATTAATTTATTATTCTACATAAAAATGCTCTTCACACCATAAACAATTAAATATTTTCACATTATAGCATATTTTATAATATAAATATACTATTTTTCGCATCAGTCAACGCATGAAAATTACACATCATACACTTTGGAAAGGCATCTTTTTATGAGTCAAGTTTTTTCACCAATTTTTGACTTTTACAGCTTTGCTATTATTATAATTATTTTGATAAAGTGATTTTGTAGCTTTATTTCATATAGTTTTTACGCGATCGAATATTTTTCAAATTGTTATATATTGATTAAGAAGTTTCTTCATCAATAATTTTAATTTTAGAGAAATCGGAATAATGTTGGATGGAGGACAACATGGAAAAATCATAAATATGATCGAGAATTATGCTCTTGGAGCGTGACATTTAATCAAGCTGATTAGTATCGCAATTTTACAAAATCTTTATCATTGTCATTTAGAAATGATAAATGAAATGAAAATTTTATAAAATATTTTTTTAACATTAATTAAACTGTAATTTCTCAAATAATTAATAAGACTAGATTAAATTACGCTTTGTTTGACACTTTTCAGACTCAATGATCAAATCTTTGATCTTATTATTGAACGCACTAATGCAATTTCATCAATATTGTGCTAAGTATACACTTTAAAAAATTTACATAAGTTACAATCTCTTTTTTAAAATAACGAACGATTTTTAAAAATGACATTGTAACATCACATACACATAAGTTATAAAGTCAATCAATAATAATTACACACTGCAAAGAATGCATTATAAGATGTAATAATCATTTATAAAGTACATAGGAAACACGTCGAAGTTTCAAAAGATATATTTTTATGTTAAAGTTCTCAATGAAGAGCTTCAAATTTTTACATAAAAATTATTCATAATGAAACACTAGATAAATGATTTGAATGAATTTTCACTGTACATGCAGTCAATTTTATAAAACCCTAAATAAAAGTATCAAAAAAATCACAGATTCGTCGTTTCACAAACAAGTTGCATCGATTTTTAGTTCTTTAAACAACTATACAGTCATGTATATACTATTATTGAATATTAAAATTTAGTTTTTTATCAAGTATAAAACGTGATATAGTTTGTATTCACATATTTATGTATAATATTCAATAAATCACTTTCAGTACTGTTGTACACAAAACTTACATGAAATATCTCTGTATAAAACACATGCATGTATATATAAGTTTTTTTATATATAATACATGAATATACTTATAAAAACCAATTGCTTTTGAAAAGCAAAATTTTCAACTTTACGATTCGTAAAATTACTCGCAGTGACTAATGCTAGCGAAGATAATAACACATTTTACTAACTGATGTAATTTTGAGTATATGAAAAATTTCTTTGGTCTTTTTTACACTTTGTTTCAAAATGAAAAACGTATAACTGGTTCTAGTATTAATAATAAATACCTAAAATTAAAACCTGTTTCAGCTCAAACATACAATAAGATATTTAAAAGCAAGTTATGTTTTTAGAGTTGTCGAATTTTTTCTCATTTTTTTCACTATTGTCTATACCAAATGGCACTGAGTTTGAGTTAACATTAGTGACTGTTAGTGAGTCACTAGTGTTGCCTACCTCGTCCACTACATTACACATAATTCTATCATTAATAAGTGAAAATCTCGTTGTTTGACTGCTTATAGCTTTTTTATCTTTCATTCTTGGCACAGTAACATTGTCATTATTGACTAAGGCTCTCTCGAGACTAGCGTCTCGAACTTCCAATTCTACGACTGTATCACCAATATCGCCAGTAATTCTAGCTTCTTCTATATCGAGATTGGATATTGGCAGACTATGATTCCTGTTGAGTAAATTTGACTTTGAATCTTCTCGTTCGATGTTGTGGCAACGCGTATAGGCCGATTGCGATGTTGAATATGACTGATTGTAGTTTGAACGTTTAGATGACAATAATTTCTTTAATTGCGTCCAGCCAGCAAAGCGACTGCGACGTTTAGGACTAGCTGCCGACGACAAGGACGTGTAACGATGATGATTGCGTGAATCATGGATATTGGTTTCTTTCAGCTTGTTGTAAGTAGTGGTAGTACTGCTACCACTCGAATCCGATATAACATTCTAAGAATGAATTTTTCGTTTGTAAATTCGTTAATTTTATAGTAGCAGAAAAGCAATATCTGTCTTACCTGTACATAAGGGATCGGAGTGATAGGTCTTAAACTTAATTGTTGATGATGCATTTGCTGCTGCGCCAAATAATCGTGAGGGAGAAAGCTCTGAGTCTCGTTGATACTTTGAGGCTGTTGCGGTATCAATAACTTGCGCTCCTGTGTCATGAGCTTCGTTGAACGATAGATTAACATGTTACCATGAAAATCGAGTTCTTCATACGAATTTGAAGTTGGTAAAAGATTTCTTTCTAGACAGGGATTTCTACCTTGGTGAGGTTGTATCAAAGGCTGCATTGAGGCTTGCTCATTGGAATTTTTTGCTAGAATATTGAAAATTGTTTTGATTTCAGTATCATTCATTTATTAAAAAAAATCTAAAAAATAAAAAAAAAATTGTGGAAAATTTATACAAATTTAATTTTTAATAGTGTCAATCATTCAACTTCTTGATAGTTTGTTCTTATTGTTACAGGAGAAACAGATTAGAGAATAAAATGGTACTCGTTGGCAGTTATACTGAAATAGAACCAAAAAGTTTTCATAAATTTGTAGAAAAATATATTTGAGGTTTCCAGAAAGTAAAATGTTTCGCAACCAATGTTTTCAGATGATCAAATGCTACAACTCTCAATGAGGGTCGATATGGGTCTACATTTTAAAACAACCAGTTGAATGAATAAGTTTTACTGTAATTAAGGTACACTATTGATTAACAATGATGTGATTGTTGAACTACTTTAAATATTTAAACCAAATTAATAGTAGCCAAACCAAGGAGTACTTTTAATATTAATGAATGATACTTGTTATATTAATTGTGAAGTATATTAATAAGATGTATGAACTATGTTATCATTATATTATATGATTTTACAAAATCGTAAAATAAATTGGAGTCATCGTTTGTTTTTAAAGATTCTGAGCAAAAAAATATTTCTAAATGTATTTCAAAATGCAATACCTGAGAAAGAGGGTACTCCTTTATATCGAACAACACAACCTGGCTCAATAAGTGCACAATCCTCTCTGTTCTGATCGCCTCGTAAGTTATTGCTTGTGGATGGCATTGGCTCGTCATATTGTCTTGATGGGCCAGCCGGGTTCGACTTCCTTTGTTCTGAAAGAACATGAAGTTTATTAATCAAAAATGAAAAGCAGCAGTCTGTTCATCAAAATAATTAAATTTTTGTATGTACCATGTTTATTTTCCACAACTGTCATTCTCTCTTCGACACATAACGTCGTTAGTCTGGCTTCAGGATCAGAATCCCAGCAGTCTTCAATGGTATCTCTTAGGAGCTTTAGATCAGGATCTTTTGATAGTTTACCTTCAAAGAGCGGTCGACATTTTTCTCGGAAAACTAGGGTCTTCACTTTTTCCCAAGTAAAATCGTATTCTAGGGAAATTATACAATTAAAGACTCTTAGTGCATGATAAAAACATTTATGAAAAAAAATGTTTACCGAGTTCTTTCCCAAAAGGCAGTTTGTAACATGGGATTTCAGTTCCAAACTCATAATTATCAATGCAGCGAGACAGCAGCTCCCATAATATTACGCCTAATGCATAAACGTCGACTTGTTTTAGAGCAGTTTCAACATTATAAGTTAAGTTACCATCGAGCATCTCTGGAGCCATATATTGTATTGACCAGTGCTGTACAAAAACGTTAAATAAGATTCTCTCTACAGATATATCAAATATAACATTTTTAAAAAGAATAACTTACGCCTTCGGCGTCGATGGGACATAAGTCAGTAACCATTTTGGGCTGCGTTTCACCTGTCTGATAGACTTTGGATCCAGCCACCCGAAGTGCATGTCCAAGATTGCAAATGCAGCAGCTGCCATCACCTTTAATTAAAATGTTCCGAGGATTCAAATCTCTGTGTACAATTGCAGGTTTTATTTTATCTGAAAAATAATTTTGAAATAAAAGCTTGAGTGTTGGTCACAAAAAAATTGAAATAAAAATAATAATTAATACCTCCAACACGTTTCTCCATGTGTAAATAAGATAAGCCTTTTACAATTGAACGGGCCATTTTTATAAATATTGACATATCAAAAGTATTAGCCATTAAAAACTCAGCTAATGAACCACCTGGGGCATATGACAACATCAATAAATATTCTAGTTTGCCATCTAAATTATATCGTTTGTTCCAACCTATTAAATTATACAGCATCACAGGTCTTCAATTATTAAAAGTATATGAAATTCATATGCATTTTAATGAGTTAGATTCAAAATTACCTAGATATTTTAGTAACGAAGGATGCTCCATCAAAGGTAAACAGTATGTTTCATGCTCACTTTTAAAGAAGTCTTCATGACACACAGGAAAAATTTTTACAGCAAGTTCTTCAACCCCTACCTTTGCTAAATAAACTGAACCATATTTACCTCTTCCTTTGATTGCAAAAAATCAATTTTATGAAATTAATAAAATTATTTGTTTCTAAGAAAAGCGTTAAATTATGAAACTTACCAACTACTTCTACAAATTTCATATTATCAAATGCATAAATATTATTTTTTGGATCAAGTTCTACTTCACTATTTTCTTGGCCATTTTCTTCACTAGTTTCTTCATCGATCTTTACGGCTCTCCTTTTTTTACAATAGCGTGCCACTGCATAACCCACTACAAAAATTAATAAGATAGCTATTGAAAGTGTCCATGATAATATAATATCAAGGTTTTTTGGTGTATTGTTGTTCATTGGTTCTGGATCTGTAAATAAAAAATTGTATTTTAAATATCAGTACATACAGCAACAATAACCATTAAAAGAGCTTTAATTATAAATAAAATTTTTTTTGTCAAAAATAAATGTAAATTTAACTAAAAATAATGAATTCATGAAAATAAGAAAAAAAACTCTTTTAAAACAGAACAAAAAAATAAAATAACATACCAAGACTCATAAAAACCACATCAACCTTACTTAAAGTGCTAGGTATAATCATTTTGTTTTCCATTGGATCAGTGACATTAATATTGCAGTTTGTTTCATTGCAACAGCATTGTTTTAGATTCCATTTCCAGACACCCATACACTCATCAGATTTGCAATTTAGGTAGTCAGCTTTACCCTCAGTCAACCAGCACCCTAGAGCCCACATTAAAATTTATTATATATTTATTGAATTGATAAGACCATGCTAAAAATTGAAGCAGGTAATTACCTTGGATAAAAAATTTCATAGCTGGACCCTTATCAGTTTTTTCCTCTAGCCACGCAGCATAGCAATATTTTTCACATGACACGATTGACAAAATACCAGTCTAAATATCAATAATAATTAAACAAAGATTAAATATTAAATCAATAAAAAATTATTTAATAACATGTAATTTAATTTACTTATTCTTTAATACTTACACGATCAGAATAAGAAGCAGTTAGAAGTTTTGCCATATTTGTATTATTCATGATAGATGCCGCCCTTAACATAAGATGACTATCTCTTTGAGCACACATAATCGTAGCATTTGCAGCCGATAAATAGAGCAGATAGAAAAAAGCAGTAGCCAGTACTGCCAAACATTTGATTGACTTCATGATTGTTAATTTGGGTCCAGAAAGTTTTGAAAGAAACCCTAATTTTCAATCATAATTATTTTCTGCCCAATGGCAAATGCTCAGGTCCCTGAAATTGAAAAATATAATTTTGATATGGGAAAACGTGCTTTCCGAGTTTAAAAAAAAACATCGCGGTTTTAAGCAGAAAACGTTCGATGCATACAACAGGCTAACCTCGCGAATAAAAGAATCGGTAATCTATTTAGATACCTTATCAGTCAGACATTCCATTGACACATGCAATCGAGAGCTTTATCTATAGACGGCACGCAATCTCTGCCCTAAAAGTCAGGTATCGACAAAATGCATATAGCGAGGCGAAAAGCTCGGCGTTACAGCCAAAACAGTCGTGATCAGCTTTATAATCATTGTCGTCGTTATCAGCAAGAGCATCGAGAAGCGTTTTAATAGAAGAAAGGAAAATTGATCTAGAAGATAATACCTTAGCTTCGACATGAAGACTTGGAAAGTGGATGCTTAGCTGTGGAGCAGAAACTCGGACTTCATGCTTGCGATCATCCGCGCGCTGCAGGCTGCAGACAGAGTAAAAAGCAGAGCGACCCGGAGCTGGAGACTCGTCCAGCGGCGGCGGCGGCGGCGTCTCGCGAATTCTGCTGCTGCTGCTGCATGATATCGCGGCCGCACACATGCACAGAATCCGCAGTGGTGTTATACGTACTTAAATATCGACGAATTCGCAGTCGCCGCCGCCGTGTATTACTCTCCAGAGCAGCAGCGCTGGCTGCCAAAAGTGCCGAGCCGACGTTATACACGGGATTCGCACGGCTATAGCCTAGCCCTGCTGACTGACAGAAGCTAATGTCCCGACAGAATCGCAACATCAGTCGCGCATTCGCTCATCGCATGCATGTGTCGTGCTCTCGGCGCTTGTGTGCGTACGTATAGTATATAGCTGTGCAGTGCATGACCCGCCTGCTCGCAGACAGGTTCCCCCTTACGCCTCTCCGCGTCCCACTTCTCCTTTGTTCCCTCTTATTCTTCGCATCACTTCTTAGGTTCTCTCTCTCTCTACGTCTGTACGTCTCGCCGTATAAAGTGTACGTTATATACAGATATAGCGGGAGCGGCAATCTCGCGTTGAATTTTTTTCCGACGCGAAAAACGTCTGCCGACAAATTTGGCGGCGCGACGACGAGACGCTCTCGCAGACGAGGAAGAGTAAATGGCCCGCGCATATTGTTTTTCACTCGGGTGGTTGAGGTTTTAAAGACGAATCATCGAAAGATAGCACCCGAGATTCAGGGACGAGGGTCAGAATCAGTTTTTTCATTCAAATAATTATGAAAATGTGTAACTTGGTCGAGAACGGATAGAAAGATATATGATAAGTTATCGGTTTTTACCTTTAGGCTGATGGATCGTTTATTGGTCCTGCTGGGAGCGGGAAAAATGCTGAGCCGGCTAATCGAACGACTCGACCCTCGTTGCTACTTAATTGCTAAGTAATGCCGATGGTGTCGATTAATTTCTTTGCTCAGAGTCTATCGATTCTAATTAACCGACGTCAACATTGTCAGTTGGGCAGCTGTAAACACCCCTTCCTTTATACTCTTGGGTATTGGTCGTGCGGATATTAAAACCCAACAAACATCCCAAAATTATGTCAACGATCGACGTTGGAACTCGGTCAACATATAGGGCAATTCTTAGAATACAGCTTATGTGTATACATTATATTATGTATATAGAAGGTGACGCAAGGATTTGATCGTAATAAAATACAACGACTCGGCGTTGGGCCATTTGATATCTCTCGTTAGCGATAGTGCATAATAGCTACGGGAAGATTGCGCCACGCACATATTGAGTAATTATTACGAACGAGCCAAAGAACGACGTCAGTAGCAGCAGCAGCAGCAGCAGCAGCAGCAGCAACAACAACAACAACGAATGAAAAAAAGAGTAGCATCAAGAGCTTGACGTTAACTTTTAACTGAAAAAGCTCGAAAAAGTTTGCCTCGATGCTGCAATCTATTAACCGGAAGTTTGTACAACGCAGCGCCGGACTCGGCGCGTTGAACTTTTCGAACCAAACACCGCGTGCCATCCGAGGATTCTCGTGCATACATAAATCAGCCGAGTCAATGCCGCTATAACCGAGCGTATTCGCGATATCAGCCCGTCAAAATACAGCGCGATTCCGCGCGAGAAGAAAAAAACTCAACATTTTCCAATATTACACTGGATAAATATTATTATGCGTATACATGTAATTACATAATATGCGTAGCAAAAAGTTTAGCGGTGTTACAAACGCGCGTGCTTACGATTAGTACAGATAAACAATAAAATTATTCATAATAATAATGATAATAATAATATATGAGAGGTGTCACACGCGATCGCATGCAAGAATAATGTCGATATAGCTTGGTAAAATTTCGATACAAAATAGCGTTAATACTATTGTAGTGGCATGGAGGAGAAGAAAGGAAGAAGAGTCGGAAAAAGGGGCGCTTATTCTGTCTCGAGTTAATAAAACGGATAGATATAGCTGCGATGAGATGGAACGTGGTGTTCTTAGGCTGCGATTCTCTTCCAGGACCACTGATTACTGTCCTCGGACTTTTCGAAGAGGATGCGGTCGCCGATGAGGGTGTCGCGCGCGTAGTAAAACTCGATGGCTTTGGGCAGCATCTTGTAGCCGATGCTGCAAAAAGAGAGAATAAAAGGTGAGTGATTTAATCATGCAACGAAAAGGAAGTAGTCGTCGTCGTCGTCTGGCGTTCGACACGTACAAGTGATCGGGCATGGGCAGGTTGACTTTGTTCTGCCTGACGTCCTCCAGCAGCTGATCGTGCTTGGCCTTGAGCTCGTTCCAGTCGACCTCCTTGTCCTGGTGGCAGATGTAGGCCCGTATCTTGCAGAAGAGCTTGTCCTTGTCGTAGAGGTCGGCGTACGCGTCCTTATCCATGACGACCACCTCACCCTCGATTCTCACCTGAATTCATTATTTCATAAGCTCATGCGTCGTGTATACCGAGCTGCTAAGGCAGAGCTTGCGACTTACCTGTCGGGCTACTTTTTGTCCCTTGTCGTTGATGTAGGCCCAGAGGAAGCACATGGCAGCTTCCGGTACTTCGGTCTGCGATACATTATTTATATTATTAATATTTTCTTTTTGTAATATCAATGAGTATTTAGCGGATATTTACCAGTTCTTTGGTCTTTCGGCTGCGATTATCCGTGTAGATGCAGAAGCCGTCCTCCTCGATTCTTCTGAGGACGACGTGACGCGAGCTCACCTTCATGTCTCTGGAAAAAGCCAAAACTTATTTATGGAAAAGCTCATCCGAATTCGAGTGTGGAATAATTATGTATAAGCTCACTTGGAGACGGTGGACAGGCAGAGGGCGTGAGGCAAACCGGTCGAGTAGACGCAGGCCTCCTTGTGCCACTCCTTGAAGAGATCGTAGGGATTGTCGGACTTGACGTCGATGTAGCAGAGGTCCGAGATCTCGTCGAGGTTGTTGGAGTTTTTGTTGATGCTGTTGGCGATGAGGGGCTGGTTGTTGCCGGCCACCTCCGAGTAGCCCCTCACCGTCGACGATCTGTTGTCCGTCAAGCTGCTCATGCTGATAGGCGATTATATGGAACTTGTAACGATGCAAGAACGATTATACCTGTCGGCACGCATCGAAATTGGCCAGATCAATCATCCGCGCAGTACGATGTGCATACAGATTAGATAAGCCTACGGGACGAGGTGGTGGAAAAAAACCGGACTCGCGCGAACTTTTGTCTCCGCGCACCTTGACCGATATCGAATCGCAACCAGACTGAAATGTTCACCTATATACAGATTTATTAGTGCGTCCCCAAGTACAACGTGCACACAGAGAGAAAGAGAGAGACTATTCACAGTGGTGCAGCTGAGGGATACGAGGCGTGTACGTGCGGTGTAACAAGTGCAAGTCGTCGTCCACGATCTGTATCTCGTTACGTATCGGCCAGAAACACGATCGCTCTAAGGCTCCCTATATTGCCTTCGCTTTTCAGTATTAACGCGCGCACGACACATATATGTATAAAATGCGTGTAGAGGCGCGAGCTTGAGCGATTTTACGTAAAAGTAGCCGAGCTGCAGCCCCGACGTCGCGCAGCAGCAGCAACCTTTTCGTAATTGAATCGCTGATAAGGATGCGTGTGTGCATGTATACGAGATTCCGAGTGTGCAGCCTATATGCGCCTTACGTAAGCATCTCTCGCGGATCGGTGCAGAGCTCGTCCAGCGGCAGCCGGTTTCCAGCCTTAATTTTATGCCTCCTCTCAATTATGGATTCTAATGAGATACGTATACATACGCGCGCGTAACGCGAACGATCCTCGACGTCGCACGCGTATACATAAATGTGCGATTGATTTATTTGCCCGATCCACAGCTCCGGCCACTGCTATGTATGTCTTCGCGTATAATATGTGTACAGCGAGTTTCTCGAGCAAATGACTTTTCTCGACACGACTCGACGCACTCGTTTATTTATCGCGCCCGCCAAACAACTCACTGTACATGTACATTATATACGTATATTATATCGACTGTATTATATGCGAATACCTCGAAGAAGAAGTCGGACCGGTGTTGTCGCTGCGACGGCCGAACGACGTGTGTACGCGCCGAGGCCACGCCGCGACTTCGAGCAAGGGTCGTTAGCAACTTTTACGTCTTCGCTTGTATACGCGCTTCGTTGCGGTTTTGTTTTTCTTCCCTCCGCAGCCCTCCTCCTCCGCCTACTCCTCTTCCGCGTGGGCTGCATTGGAAACTCGCGATGGGGCAAAGGTCGAGTTTTTCGAGCTCCCAGACAGCTCGGGCTCAAAGACAATCATCGTCGTTAATAACGGCGCACTTGAAGAGCTTGCACGAGTACAGCTCCCGACTCTTATCGCTCTGCCCCGCGTTCGAGCTTGACAAGAATGTCAATGTTAGCCATATAGGTACGCGTCGTCGGACGCGGAGGCAAATGTCCCCAAGTGCGTGTGCAACTTTGTCGCAACTCCGAGTAAAGTCGCTTCCTTCGATCGAGGTGTTGCGTTACGTCGCGCAATATTCCATGGGAAATGTCATCTGTGACAATGTCGCGCGCTCGGTACACCGCACGCCATTGGCTTTGTTTCGATCTACGCGTATGTATAGCGAGAATCGCGGACTTATGGCCTTTAGTCATCGTAATTCGTTGCGCAACGGCCACACCACTTGGCAGCTTTTGAATTTTCATCGGGCGCGAAAATGTCGCGCCGCGCGCACTCCAAGTCCGAGTGGTCGAGTACCGCGAGCAACATCCAGAGTCCCACTTGCATGCGTAATGGCGTACGGCGCGCGAGAAGCGAGAAAATCCTCGCAGGAATGCTGCTCTTCGTGCGCGGCTCTCGGCTTGCCCGCCCGAACGAGTTATATAAACGAAATCTCGCGTGCACGGCCGATTAATGATTTTTTTATCTTTTCATTTTTTATTTCTTTCTCTCTCTCTCCCTCTCTCTCTCTCTCTCTCTCCTTCTCTTTCGCAATGCAGAGGAATTTCAAGGGAACGACAACAACAAAAACAAAAAAAGAAGGGTGAGACTAATGCGTCGCGTTTATCTGTAGACGTAGGCCGAGCTTTTTTCCCCCTCGAGTGTCTGTACGGGTATTTACGGGACTTCCTTCCTCGCGCTATTACCACCGCTGCGGCTGCTGCTGTCGCTGCTTTAGTTCCGATCGGCTTTTAATGTATCGGGTGTCGGATCGATTTCTCCCGACTAACAATATTTCTCTTTGTACTCGCAATGCAAGCAAAAACAATTGCACTTATCGCACAAAGAAAGATGAAAATAAAAAAAAGAAATGCTTAGTTACGGAGCCAGAGCCGATTTACGTAACCCGATCGGTACATAAACGATTTACGTAATTGCAGGAGTCGCGGCTTAAAGGACAAATGCGCCATTATTAATTCTTTAAATATTAAATTCATACCTGAGTATCGACCGAAAAAAAACGACAGCTCCGAATCGGAATAATATTGGCCTTGAATGTATATTGCTGGGGAGGATGCAACGATCGGTGCACTCTTGCGACTCGCCTACTCGAACGATTTGAATAGATGCGCCGCGGAGCCGATTGTTTATACTCGTTTGCAGCGGCTATCGCGCAGATATCGTCCAACGATTCGAAAGATAGATGGAATCGACGTGCAAACCGATATTTTTGGTCAAGGCGTTTATCAAAAATCTATAAAGGCGAGAGCGATATACTCACCCGCGCGAAGAAGCGTCGAGAGAAAATTCGACGAGGAGATTGCGGCAGAATTCGATCGTCGATCTGTTGACGAGCCGGTGAGCGAGCGCGTCGATGTGCACTTGCGAGAGACACTCGCTAGCTCCTGAGTATATCCAGCTATATATCGGTCGAGGAAAGTCGAAGTCGAGCCGAGGTCGAGTGCAGCTGATAATGGCTACGAGTTAATGGTTGTCTCACGCACAACTGGCATTACGGGAGAATTTCCCGATGTATTTATGCCGCAGCGCCTCGTACTCTCCTCTCGTTTGGCGCGCACCTTACCTCCATAAGTATGTTCTGCGTATGATATGCAGCAGCAGCAGCAGCAGCGGCAGCGGCGACGGCGGCCGCGGCACATAAGAGTGCATAAGGCACGCGTTATAGCTGTTTGCATAGCTGCAGACTTGCGTGTGTGTATCGTAAAAATCGAGCTACAAGGCATGTGTCGCAAGTATATATATGTGTGCAGGTATAAAGGAGAGAAAAATCTTGAATATACGGAATCGACACTTCGCGCCTTTATTTTACCAATGTTAATTGGCTACGATGGGGCAGCTCGTACAATTATAGACCAGTAGGAGCTTTTCCGTTTTCTCAACCCAGATGCATCTTGGATCAAGGGAGCGACAACTCGAACGGGTATAGGGCCCGTGCGATTGGTACTGGAGCGCAGAATCGACCCGATCGACGATCGATCCTTGGGTGGATCGGGCCCGACGCGCATCGGGCATCGTCGCGACGTTACGCAATTCGATTTACTATATAGGTGCTGCCCGAGAGAGCTGAAAACTTTGCATGGCAAATGAGTCGAGTCGCAGGCAGAACCACATAACTCGCGCACGACTCTTACGATTGCCATGCCAACTCGAGCTATGCACGCGTTACGTAGCCGATATCAGACTTGAGGCTGTTGTTGCTGTTGCTGCTGCTGCTGGAGATTTTCGTCCGACGTCGTGTGCTGCTGCTGCTGCTGATCATCCTCCATACTGCCTCGGAGCAGCGGCTCGCCGTCCAGTTTTTCCAGATTCGGCAAACGTCGAGCCACCTCGAGGCGCCATTGTTCCGTCTGCAACGAGAGAGCACGAATATAAAAGAGAATAAAATCAAATAACGCGTCGGACGTTTATAGCTGCTGTGGTGGGCGATCGACCGACCTCGAGACCCTCGGTAACGGGATTGCCGACGAACAGCAGATCCTGAAGATTCGGCAGCTCCTGCAGCCGGTTCAGCTCGTTCCACTCCTTCACCAGGTTGTTGGACATGTAGAGGACGCGGAGATTCTTCAGAGCCCCGACGCCCTTCATCTTCTCGATGGCGTTGTACGAGATCCAGAGCTGCTCCAAGGTCTCGCCCAGGGCCTCGAGGCCCGAGAAGCCCTTGATCTGATTGCGCCCGATCGACAGTATCTTGAGGCGCTTCAGACTGCCGATACCTGCACGCCGGGACAGAATCGAAGATCGAGAATTCGTATATATTTATCGCGTTTTGCCGTGCAAATTTTATTTTATACTCGCCAGTGCATAATACACACGTACACGCGCATACTAAGTGCATATACGCGTGTAACGTTAGATTCATTCGATATTAGCTGCGGTTTCGGATCTTTGCGCAATCTATAAGCGAATATAGGCATTTGCTCGAGCTGTATACCAGATATCTTCTCGATCATGTTGGTCGAAAGGGAGAGCTTTTCGCAACTGCTCAGCGCCGCCAGGGAGTTGTCCATGCGCTCGATCGGCGGCCACTGGAAGTTCAGCGAGACCTCCTGGGCGCTCGACGCCTCCTTGCCCGGATTCTCCTCCTCCCAGCGCTTGATGGCGTCCTTGCAGCTCGTCGGCTTGTTCGACGAGGCGGCCTGCGAGGCCGACGCCTTGTTGGCCATCCGCGGACTTGTGCTCTCTAAAAAGCCACTTCGTGTCTGAACGCCTGGAATCGGCCTCGAGCAAGTAGTGCCACACGTCCACGTTGCTATGGAGGGATGCAAACTTTGGCCTGTGCCAAATCGATATTCAGCGACATACGCGTGGAATTTTAAATTATACACCAACGCCGAGCCAACTTGCTGTATGGAAATTATCCACACTGCTCGCGCGAAGCCGTCTCTTGACTTTCTCTTTTTATCTATCATACGATGATTATTCTCTGCGTAGATGCACTCCGACTTATTGTACTTGTAAAAACAGCCCTTATACGACATTATGCGCTTTTTCATCCCAGAATTTCACAACAAATGCAGTATGAAATTTCATTTACTTTTTTTGGCTAAGGTTTTTTTTCTTACCTGTTTCGCGTTAAAGAATTTCAAAAACTCGTATTCGTCTTATCAAAATAAGGAGACTGATTATTCGAGATTTCGGTTCGAGAAACCTGAAAAAATCAGTACCCATCAAATTTGCATTTGGATGAGGGCATTTAAAGATTCAAAAGTACATGGTAAAATGAAGCTGATGAAACATATTTTTAAGGCAATATATGCTTCTAAATTTGCGTCAAATATTAATTTTTCGCCATTTAAAAAGAGCACCCATCGTCATTTTTTCTCAAATTAAAGTTTAACGATTGATGGGCCACGCGAAATTTGCGTACAATTCATTCAAAATCAACAATAGCCGCAGGTAGAGTCAATGTTTATGATGTATATAACTTTTTAAAAAAGCACGCACTTTCAAAATGGAAATTCCACTCGATTTACTACTCAAAGCCTACGGTTTTTTTTTAATTTGGTAACAATATATGATGGAGCCTTTTAGGGTAATGGGTTTTACAAACTAATTGTTAAAATAAAATAAAAACTAGTTGAATTTTTCATCAGTGTTGTACAAGGCTGAAATAACGACGCACGCCACTCTACATCATTTTTTCAAAATCAAAGTTTCTAAGAATTGCAAGGATTTGGATTCAAAAGGTTAATGGAGCTTTCGGTAATCAGAATTTGAAAATCGAACAATTTGACTAATCATTGAATACAGTCGTTTCACCAATCGGTTTTTGTATTAAAAATTTTCGTATTAATAAATACGCAGTAAGGGCCTATCCCCATTTTCGCTCAACTTTAAACTGATTTGTTTACGTTACGTGAAAAATTAATACCAATATTTAATTAATTTTTTTTTAATTCTTTTTGTACAACCAAATTGTTTACACTGATTATTGAGTATAAATAGAGACAGTCCGTAACATGTATTTTTCCTTATAAAGTCTGTTTCAAAATATTGAAAACATTAATGCTGCGAGAATTTTGCTTATTGCGCGCCAAGAGGAGTAAACGGATCTGGTGACTGGATTGTGACGTCTGTGACTGCGCATTGCAGAAACACGTTAAAATTTCTCCCGTACAGCCGACGGCGCCACGAGAGAACCGTAGAAGAACTCTTTTGAGTGATTTCCGACTGAAATCGCCATGAGGTGAGTTTTGGATTTACAATTTGACTAATGTTATTACAAAAACATGAATTTTTAACTTGTTCAGTTATATGAAATTATGCTTGATGTTGATACACATGAAAATAGTTGCATTTGAGCCGTTATTAATTTTGAACTTTCATATTGCAGTTCGTTAAAATTGCAAAAGAGGTTAGCCGCCTCAGTATTGCGATGCGGCAAGAAGAAAATATGGCTCGATCCCAACGAGATCGCCGAGATCTCAAACTCCAACTCGAGTAAGTTTTGTTTTAAACAATTTCAATAGTGATATACATAAATGCATCGAAGCAACATTTGAAAAATGCACGTGCTTAAGTTTCACACATGCTCTGCACTCTATGTGCTATAGGTGGTATTTGCCGTATTGCTACCATTGTTTTTGATACTATGTTTATTATTGTTGGAATGAATTTTTTCATTTAAAGCTTGACATATTTGTGTGTTACTTGGTGATTATAATTATGACATTTAAATAGTTGTTTTGAGCATCTACATTTGTGTAAACTTGCTTTGTTGACACAGGATCAGTCAATGATATGAGTAGTAGCTTATAATAAGAAATTTTACTTTGAGTGCTTCAATGCAGTTCATACTTTTGACATTCATAAACTTTTTATCACTATAAAAGCCAATTATACATAAATACCACACCAAATGATTGTCAAATCTTTAAACATTGCATATTTTTATAGGGGTCTCCATCCGTAAGATGATCAAGGATGGTTTGATCATCAAAAAGCCAGTGGCCATCCACTCTAGAGCCCGTGTTCGCAAGAATACAGAAGCTCGTCGTAAAGGCAGACATTGCGGTTTTGGTAAGAGAAAAGGTACAGCTAATGCCCGTACTCCCCAAAAGGTAATTTACCAAGCATCTCTTTCAAAATTTCATTATCATCAACCACAAGTGTTTTGATCATGTTTATATCAACTGTTTTATCATATTTTAGGACATGTGGATTGAAAGGATGAGAGTCCTGCGTCGTCTCTTGAAAAAATATAGAGAGACCAAGAAGATTGACAGGCATCTGTACCATGCCTTGTACATGAAGGCAAAGGGAAACGTCTTCAAGAACAAGCGTGTCTTGATGGAATTCATCCACAAGAAGAAGGCAGAGAAAGCAAGAGCAGAGATGCTTTCTGATCAAGCAGAGGCCAGAAGAACTAAGGTTCGTGAGGCACGTAAACGAAGGGCAGACAGAATTGCCACTAAGAAGCAAGAAATCTTGCAATCGTACCAGCGTGAGGATGAAGCTGCCGCAGCACAGAAGAAGTAATCTGTTGCAACATAGATTTTTATTAAATAAAATTTTAAAAAACTTTAATTATTTGTTTTTGTTTTTTATTACATGTATCCTTGGAGAAACAAAAAATATGTAATTCAATGGTTAACATAAAAAAAATTACTTGTTCAGATTAAGAGTTTTTACCATAATTTTTTAGCAAGAAAGCAAAATTGATAGTTTTTTTTTTTTTTTTTATTATAACTTGTATGTAATTTATGATCGTTTTTCTTTTTGTAATATCCATCATAGGAATCGCAATTAAAACGCATTTATCTCCTGATACTTGTAAGAGTTGAATTCATTCGATTCTTTTATTCTAGCTTACTTTCAAATTTTTCAAGCAAGGGTATAAATAATAGAAAAATTAAAAATTAACTAATATATTTTAACTCTATATTTAACTAACATTAAAACAAAAGTGAGTTCTTACCAAAGGTGACAATTAATTTTACGGACTCCTGGCACGTATTTGGCGTATAACTTTGAGTTGCACACATCCATTAATCATTCAGTTTTATTCAAGATCTCACTTAAACACATGAACAAACAGAAATGGCAAAATAAAGCAAAAAATTCAATAAGGAACGCTGACAGACGTATCCTATCTGGTATGCTGCGCAGGTCGAAAAAATAAAACAGTCTCCATTTTACACCCAAAATTACCTAAGGAACACCTTTATCTCTCTCCCCAAAATTGGCGGAGAACATTTATTTTCCAATGCTTGAGTAAGAACTTTAAAAATTATAAATATGTATCACCGAATAATTATGATGTTTTGCTTGCATCGTCGATAACTGTAATTATTTGTCTGATATTTAATCTTACGATATCAACCACATATTTTGCTAACTAATTTTTTTCCAGCGATTTAGTAATTTTCATTTTACTTTGAATCATTTGCACTAAGAGTGAAATCATTCGATTTTTTTTGGATTTATAAAAAATAATAATATCCATTGTTTGTTTAAACATATAAAGTACATGTACCGTTTTTCAAGCGAACACGAACAAAAAAGTGACTCTGGTTTTACATATCCAATATCCGTGGGCTTTTTAAGCTACTAAATTTGAATTCGAATCCGATTGAAAAAATGAAAGTAAAGATGAAAAATTCCTTAAAATAGTAATTAAAAAAAACGACTTTAAGCTGTACGTACAAAGCCCTTCTCGGGAATCGTATTGTCAATATATAGAATATAGAATATATTAAAAGTCTCGATTCTCACGATTGTTTTTCGTAATTTTCTCATGTATTTTTTATATCTACATGATGTAAACATGATTCTCCATTAGTCAAAACCTTCGAGTAAACGATTATCCGTATTTTACTTTTTCTAAATTATTTTCACGGTCTATTTGTAAAAGAATGAGAGAATAATTTGTTATTGTTATCACAATTCATCGAATCAGTGACCTTTGATTCCAAAGAGAAATATCGAAAATTGTAAAGGCCCTAAAATTTTAAAGTTAATACAGGGTTTTCGTCAGGCTGATTTCGTCTATTTTTCAATACCTTGATTATTATAGATTTAAAAAGGCCGCCCAAAATTTTGTCGCTGCGCAAAGTAGTACAGAAAAACACAGAGCGCGTCGCCAGCACTACGCTACATGAACACGAGGCCTTTCGCCCGAACACGGCCTTTTTGGATGTATAGCTCTTCGAAATCACAATGAGGTAAAGTTTAAAAAATAAATTTTAGCTATTGTTATAGCAAAAACATGATTTCATGAGCTCTTGTGTTGTTCAACAAGAAGAACTGATTCTCTTCGTTGATCGTTAAAACATATGAAAGTCATTGCATCGAAGCAGTTATTAATAATCAATTTTCCTGTTGCAGCTCGTTGAGATTACAGAAGAGGTTAGCTGCCTCAGTGTTGAGATGCGGCAAGAAGAAGATATGGCTGGACCCCAACGAGATCGCCGAGATCTCAAATTCAAACTCGAGTAAGTTTTGTTTTATGTATATTTTAAACAATTTCAGTAGTGATGTACATAAATTTATCGAAGCAAAATTTGAAAAATGCACGTGCTTAAGTTTCACACATGCTCTGCACTCTATGTGATGTTAATGGATTTTGCCATATTGCTCCATTGCTATTAGTACTATTTTTATTGTTATAAGATGAGATTTTTTCATTCAACTTTGGACGTATTATTGTGCTGTGCGGTGAATATAATTATGACAGTTGAACAGTGGTTTTGAGCATCTACATTCATGTAAACTTGAATGCTTCAATGCAGTTCATACTTTTGACATTTATAAATTTTTGATCACTATAAAAGCCAATTATACATAAATACCACACCAAATGATTGTCAAATCTTTAAACATTGCAAATTTTTATAGGGGTCTCCATCCGTAAGATGATCAAGGATGGTTTGATCATCAAAAAGCCAGTGGCCATCCACTCCAGAGCACGTGTTCGCAAGAATACAGAAGCTCGTCGTAAAGGCAGACATTGCGGTTTTGGTAAGAGGAAAGGTACAGCTAATGCCCGTACTCCCCAGAAGGTAATTTACCAAGCATCTCTTTCAAAATTTCATTATCATCAAGCACAAGTGTTTTGATCATGTTTATATCAACTGTTTTATCATATTTTAGGACATGTGGATTGAAAGAATGAGAGTCCTGCGTCGTCTCCTAAAGAAATACAGGGAGACCAAGAAGATTGACAGGCATCTGTACCATGCCTTGTACATGAAGGCAAAGGGAAACGTCTTCAAGAACAAGCGTGTCTTGATGGAATTCATCCACAAGAAGAAGGCAGAAAAAGCTAGAGCAGAGATGCTTTCTGATCAAGCAGAGGCCAGAAGAACTAAGGTCCGTGAGGCCCGTAAACGAAGGGCAGACAGAATTGCCACGAAAAAGCAAGAAATCTTGCAATCGTACCAGCGTGAAGATGAAGCTGCCGCAGCACAGAAAAAGTGATTTTTTATTATGCATAGGTAATGAATAAAACATCAAAAAAACTCGATTTAACGTTTTCAGTTTTTCAATATTTTTACCCTTCAAAAAAAATACCAATCATACTTTAACGGTTACTTTTAATTATATAATTGATCTTATGAATTTTAGAGTTATTCAGAAAGTTTTAACATGTTAAGGTAAAATATTAAATATGTTAATTAAACATGATTTATTTTGGATGAATGGGGAAGTGTCGAATTTTCAATTAAAATATTGGACTAGTGGTATTTATTTGACAATGTTAAATCAATGATTTGTGTACTTTTTTAAACAATTTTTATTTCAACAACACGTAACAATTCTGTACGTCGTTAAGTATAAATTTGTTTATCAGATTATTCTTAATAAAAAACGATGAACGGTTTGTGTGCTATCTTCATGTGGCTAGGACATGAAGATAATATTCCTGAACCAGCTTGAGTTATGACACTATAGCTCATTTCATCATTACATCAATTAAAAGTAGTCAATATTGAACACTAGTCTAATAAAATACTATCAAATACAATAATGTATGCATAAAAATTGTTTATACAATATGATAAATCTCTGTGATAAAATTACAAATTTCAAACAACATTTTTAAGGATTAATCAGGCAGTCTTTTCGGACTAACGATCATGAAAGAACGAAACCATTGTGATGCTAATATAAATGTAACTTTTTTTTTACCAACTCAAACATAAAGAAGAAGGTTTTTTAATCCACTTTATGCGGTTACATATGAAAAAAATATACATTCACATAAAATTTTAATATAAACACGGTCTTAAAATACTAATAGAGTGTCTTTTAAACGTGTCATTATACGTTAACGGCGCATTCGTAAAAAAGGCACCCTTACTTTACATCGTGTTGAGCTGCTTCACTCGCCAAAAACACTTAACATAAAGAGCAAAGAAAAATCTAAATTTTGTAGAACGAAACAAATAGAAAAGAGTTGTGAATAATGTAATAACACTGCCAAGCTACAATAAAAGTTCAAAAGTCTCGAGTAAGTATTATATATACGAGGCTTCTCTCGGGTGCGGTAACTGTTTCTTGTGTTGGCATGTATGTAACAAGTATCGAACAAATACGTCTTTGATGCTGTTGAACATAGACAAAGTTAAAAATATTTCTAACGAATATTATACTATAACAATTATAAATTTTTGCAGCCTAGAGCAAACGAATACTTGCACGTATGTTTGCATCTATTATTTACAGGAATAAGACCTGACTGCTTAGGTCGTGAAACATAATAAGTCATAATTAGGGCGTTGCGAGCGCCCTAAACGCACATCTGCCTTTTGTAAAATGAGTATCAGGTATGAGTATATTTCCGATCACTTAATGGTGGACTTGATCCAAGCGAGATTGGACGATATCTGATCGTAGAGTCGCGGTCGCTCCATGCCAGCCTTGGGGCATCCTATGCGCCAACTGCTAATGCCGTGGATCGACCATCTCTGGCTGTCGGTTTGTAGACAGAGCAAAGGACTGCCAGCGACCTCTTCTTCCTGTGGAAGGACAAAGTCAACAAATGCAACGATCGTTCATTATTTTATTTTGGGGAAAATCAATTCCGTTTGATAATCGCATATAAGGGCTAGGCGTCGCGCCCGAGTCGTGCACGGCTACAGCAGCGCAAGCAAGGCCAAGTTTTTTACGACTTTGAAATAGCTTGCGGGTTTTATTGCGCGAGTTTCGGCGTATATATATAGGTATATAATATGGTGCAGGCTGGAGCCGAGCGCGGAGTGCCGCTGCAGGACTGCTCGCTCAGCTCAATAAGTTGGCTAAGTTCTTTTGAAAAAGTTTCGAGTGAAAAGTTACAGCTTGGCCACTATCCGCGTGCGCGAGTAAATTTTCCATACGCGTATACTACTCCGGTCGCTTTATTCCCGGGGCCTGTCGCGAGATACTCACCGCACAGTCGTCGGTCGGATAGTACGCCTCGGTGCAGACGCTGTTGACCGATGCTATGCTGACGTTTTCGCATTTCTCCATTGGGCTGTATCGCACCTGCACCCTCTGAAGGACTTCACCTGTCAATTCAAAATATACACCTTTACATTCGAATTTAATTCGTTTTTTTTTTAAATTAATTTATTTCATTTTATTCTATTTTTCATTATATTTTTCATTAAGATTGGCGCCGCGTTGTTGTTAGCACTGCCAGATGCGTGTCAACTTTTCTCTTTCCATTTGCGTTCATTGATACATCCGCTGGAATAGATGAATTTTTCAGCGGGCTACAATTGCAGTGGGACAAGCAATAGCGACGCGTTTCAGAAGTCAGCGTTGGCCCTTTCATTTCCACTCTCGATTTTGCAATTTATTCGGCTGCGCTGCGCGAGAACGTCAGCCATGCATTATCCCAAACTCATCCATTCATCAGACGGACATGTACGCGCAGGCACACGCACAGCAGCTTTCGCAGCAATGTTCAGAATTCGGAGCTCATAAAACACGTCGGGCTCTCCGCGTCGAGTGGATTTTCAATGAACGCGAGAATTGGCCCTTTACAGATCGGCCGCGTAGTTGTTGTTATTATTATTGCGTGTACTCACGATTTTTCGTCCAGCCGAGAGTATTGCACTGCTCGGCGTTTTGAACGAGGCTCGCTTGGCTGGGCAGACAGACGGGCCTGACAAAGTCCGAGAAGGCCTCGATCGGCCTGTCGAGCTTCAGCAAGACGACGGTACTGCCCTCGACGGGTGACTTGACCATGCCCACGATGCGGCGCTCCAGCTGCCAGGGCGACCTGCTGGTCAGTCTCACGTGGCCGAAACGCGCCGACCACTCGGCCTTGGGTTGTCTGAGAGGCAAAGAAAAACGAGCACGAGTCAACGAATGTATTTTGTCGGCGCGGATGCGGGGCGAGGCTTTGAGCGTCGGCAATGGATCGAGTTGCGCCGGTGTGTAATCACGAGAATGATCAAAGCAACGAAGACGCCTTAAATAGCCCCCGAGAGAACATTGTTTTCATTTCTCCTCGGGGGATAAATAGCGATCGCGTAAACTTGATTTTCCTTGTTTTGGCTTTGGCGCAGCCCCCCTCGAACGCACACGCTCAAAGCATCTCGCTACGCTACCGTCGCTTTCGCAAAGTGCCGCATCTCGTTAAATTTTTCTTTCTGTTTTTTCTCGTTCGTTCGTTTGTCGAGAGCATCGCAACGAAATAGTATAGCATTGCCGTTCGAGGTCGCGCGCGCGTCTTACCCTTGGAAGCAGGAGGCGGTGGTGAGCAGCCACTCATCCGAGACGAGAGTTGCGTCGCAGACGTGATTATCTTCCTTGAAGAGCGACACGTGCCAGGGCCAGTCGCCGGGCGACGATATCTTGTTCAAACTGCTCGAGCGCGTACGCATGGATTGCACACCGCAGACTGGAAAATAACGCAGTAGGTATAGCAAAAAAAAACAGCGTACGAGAGCTGCGTTTTGTAAAATCACAAAGTACTTTGCCGGACGGCGATTGACATTTTCCCAACGAGACTCGAGCGAGCGCACAAAGCATACGAGAGAGAGAGAGAGAGAGAGAGAGAGAGAGAGAGAGAGAGAGAGAATTGGAACATTCGCGTGCAGCTTCGGAGGAGAAAAAAATGTTTTATAACTCGTGTATGTGGAGCTGAACGCGACGAGTGCAAAGCTTAGAACGGAAAGTTTCCTTTCCAAAGCTCTGTACGTCTCTCTCTCTCTCTCTCACTCTCTCGTGTGCTTTTTCGCCGATCGGTAAAAGAGAGGAAACGAGGCAGAGAATACATGTCGCGCGCGCGTACGTGTGGGTGTGTGGGAAAACTCACCTAACTCGGAGCAGCGGACGTACATGACTTGTTTGCTCGGACAGGCAGCTCTAACGAAGCTGATCTCGGCTGCTTTTGGATCTTGCATCAGGACGTACGGCACGTTGTTCTCGTTGTCGACTCGTGTCTCGACCGACTTTACGCCTCTGCAAGCGACCAGAGACATAGACAAATAAAATACCCCTTCTCACAGCATATTTTTTGCACGAATCAAGCCTTTTTTTTCCTCTTTATTATTATTTTTCGTTTCAAATATATATAAATGGATTTTTATGTAAAACGATGGGGCCGCGTTTATGGATCGGAACTTACTCAAAGCTCAGCAGCGTACAGAGCGAGTTGGCAGTGGATTGCAGTACCGATTGGATTTCCTTGTCATTTCCGAAGCTCGCGTTGAGGTTCTCGGTGCAGATTTTGCCGAGCGTGCCCTTCTCGTTGAACACGGCCCAGCCCTCGGATTGGTAGCTAATCGGGTGTGCGCTCGAGTCGGGCTGCAGACTCAGCGATCTCAAGCTCGGCGCCAGTGACACTGCAAAATTACATTCCTCCATGTACATAGATTCGCGCGCGTATGCGTCTATAGTCGGCTGCCGTATAGTCAACCGAGCCAATATAATGCGCCCCTATGCGTACGTGTAACGATTTTTGGCACGCAGCGATGCGCGTTAGTTTCCATGCGCGCTGTACGCTTCTTCTTTTATCTTTCCCTCTCTTTGTCATAGCTAGCTTGCGATAATTATTATACTCACGGCAATCCTTTTCGTCGCTGCCGCTGGGACAATCGACCTTTCCGTCGCAGCGCTTGCTTTTGGCGATGCATTGAGTGCCAAGACCGCAATGGATCTCTCCCTTGCGGCAGTAGGCGCAATCGAGCTCGTCGGAAAAATCCGGACAGTCGGCTATGCCGTCGCACACGCGAGACGACAGAGCCGCCGATTTCAGATCCTTCACGCAGCCTGAAAAACATTGAGTTGCCATAGATACAGTTGCACTCGTACGTAACAAGTTGTACAGCGAATAGAGGAATAGTACCTGGCTTGGGGAGGCAAGAGGCCTCGTCGCTGTGCTCGGGGAAATTGGAGCAGTCGAGCGCCTGGCGCAGGCGTTCCGGCAGCCGGGAGCCGCATCCGGCCCAGAACTCGCGGCAAAAGTCGCGACAGGGCGGCCTCAGGGCGTCCTCGCCGAAGGGCGACTCGACGCAGGCCGGCTGCAGCAGCTGGCAGATGAAGTCGTAGGCGCGCTCGTAGCACTCGGCGTCGACGAGCTCCCTGAAGGCGATGATGTCGTCGTTGACCTCCTGCAGGTCCTGGTGGCCGAGCCAGTTCGGATAGGAGGTCGTGAGGTTGTCGTGCCTGGCGTCGAGCTGCTGCGAGCTGCAGTAGGAGAACTGCCGCGGGCTGCAGCTCCTCCAGGGCCGGCTGGTCGTGGTGGCCGGCTGGCCGTCCTCGTCGTCGCTGCCCGTGCCGCTGCTCCCGTTCGTCTGCAGGGCCAGCTGATTGACGGCGCTGACGCTCTCCTGCACCTCGATGCTGGCCACGTCGATGGTCAAGTTGCCGAAGAATCGATTGCTCGCCGGATCGAGCTCGCGCTCCAGTATCGATCGGATGGTCTCGCTGTTGAGATTCTTGGCATAGCGTGCGTCGAATCTCGCGTCGAAGCGTACGTACAGGTCCTCGTACTCGATGCTGAGAGCGAGAGGACAAAAAGAAAGATGCGTCACTCGCAGATCCGACAGTTGTGCATGCGTGGTTTGTAAGAAAAAAAGAAGTAGAAAAAAGTCGCTCCGCAACGAAGACATAAAAGCAAGCTGCTGCGCTCGTGACGTTTTCGTACGGTGCGCGTTTACGTTTATATTACGCGGAGAATTTTTACAACGGCACAAATGCTCTGCTGCTTTCAGACCGCGCGATATGCGTCCTTATGTTTGGACCCGCAACCGATGATAATCGAATCTATCGAATCCCTTGAAAGTTTTGCCAATCAAGATTTTTGGGAGAAAAAACGTCGTCAAAGGCATCGCGTTGCTCCGTTATGTTTCGGGCCCTGCCTCGATATTTCATCATATTTCGTCGTCGCGTACGGAGCCACGCTATAAAAAGAAAAGTTTTTATACAGGACGTTGCGCGCGCGTATTATGTCGCTTTACTGCACGCGCAAGCACGTCTTCTTCCTTGTCTTGCTCGTCTGGCTTGTCTCCGAAGTTATCGCGAAGAATGTGAAATATTCAGGAGCTGCGCTCGGAGCCCCGAGATTTTTGCTCAGCTTTTCGAGAATTTTTCCCTCGACTATTCCGCATTGACATTCTCGGCCACGTCTCTCTTGGCCGTGAGAACGTTTTCTTTTTCTCCTCGGATAGGTAATCATTATCTTTGGAAAAATCCATCAATTAAAAAAGAGAACAAGGCGACAGCATTGGTTCGCAGCAGCAGCAGCAGTCGTATCGACGTCAATTTCGATCAGGCGCGCGCACAAAAGAGAGAGAGAAAGCAAAAAAAATCAGTACAAGGGCACTCGGCAGTTTACAGCGCGCGTACAGAGGCTCGCGCACGGGAGCGACTCCAGTAATCCGAACGATAATAACGCATAGAGCTATACGTCGATGATCGCGACTTGTCTAAATGCCTAGCAGCAGGAGCAAATGAAAATCCACTTTATGCACGCCTCGCTGGCTCGCAACGATCGCTCCGATTCCGTCCCATCGATCGCTGCCCTTTTTTTCCTCCTCTTTTCCTTTGTCTCTCTTTCTCCAGCTCGAGCGCAAATTGAAGAACGATTAAAATGCAGCGAGGAAAACTTACCCGTCGAGCGCCAGAATTTCCGCGGCGACGAAGGCCGACTGCAGCGGGCTGCGCTTGAAGACGAGATTCAGCCGGTCCCGGTAGCTACGGGAGCGTTGACGGAAGGCCTCGGTGCTCGGGTCGGCCAACTCGGGCAGAAATGCGTCGCCCTCAGCCACCCGGAAGGTGGCCAGGAAGACCTGATCCCGCGGCTGGTCCGCCAGCACGAACGTATCTGCGACGCATCGAGACAAAATTGTCGTCAGTATATGGAGCAGTGGGATTGGCACGGAGTGTACTCGAGTCCCGACTCATTCGATCGTGTTCTTTTTCTTTTACTTTTCCAGCCTAGGACTCGGACTCGGCGCGGGAAAAGAAAAAGCCTGGAGGCGATGCGCGAAATGGAAATGCAGCCGCGCTCACCCCGTTCCAAGTCTCTCTCTTTCCCGCATTGCGGCGCGCTTCAGTCGTTTGTCTCGTCGACTCGTGACAATTCTAGCCCAACAACGCGTAGCACGCGACGATATAGCTATATAGGGCACGATTCCGAGCAAGTTAATTAAGCCAAGAAGATTTGAATTTTATGCAGCTCTTTCCCTCTTCCTTTGATTATGCAAATTTTCAGCCGTCCGAGAAGTGCCGACGAGCGATTCTTGTGTCGCAACGATATTTGATTCGTTCGCCCACGATGCTTGTTTTGGGTTAAAGTACATAACTCGCGTATACACGTAGGCTGGATTTTTACCGCGTATCGATTATGGAAAGCAAATTACAGCCACTACATATAAATTACAATTTTTATAGGCAATTTTTTGTCGCTCTCCGTGACAATGAGGACACGATTAAGTTCGAAAAAAGAGCTTGTCTTATAGCACTGCAATAATAAAATGCTCAGCTGCTATATAAAAATATTTGTGAGCAAAATACAAGAATAAAATGTACGTAATCTGTCAAAATTTAAAAATAAATTGATAAATGAACATGAATCTCGAAACTAAAGATTACGTAGTACTCTTTTAACTTTTTTGTACTCTCTAAAAAGCTAATGCCGAATTTTTTAAATACAAGAGATTACAATTTTTGCTGCTTGATATTTACATTATGTTAATTCATATAGGGTCGATCTCTTTTTCAGTAAAATCACGTTAGTTATCATCGATGTCTGCGGAAAATTAAATAAGATTCGTCATTAAAATCAGTTAGCTTCGAGCCGAGTAGTTTGAGCTTCTGCGGGGGTGGGGGTGCGCTAATCCGCTAAATCCAATGAGCGTGACGCGGCGACAAATTACTCGGCACTTATATAGGCTCGGGTAGATTTATCGCGATAAATGTAGGCCGAGTCGCGCGCGGCCATATAGGTATATACTCACGTGCAATGTAAACGACCACACCGGCCAAGAGCAGCAAGAGGAGGAAGGCCGCCAAGATGCAACAGCCGCATCTGTACTGGCTGCCGAGCTTGCGGGTGAAGCGTATGTCGCTGTCGGACGACAGGATGGAGCTCGGCGTGCCCGCCCGACTGAAGCGCCGAGTACTCACCGTGCTCACCGAGATCTGCAAAACGAAAAAAAACAAATTGCTATACGTTGTAGACGGATATTCGTTCGAGCTATTGGATGGCTGAAATTAGGAGCAAACGCGAGCCCGAATTTTTTATCCGCGCAAGCTCGCAGCTAATTTACAAAGCAACGGCGCTGGGGTAGCTACACGAATACAAGCAGCAGTAGTGTAGCTCCTAGCTAATGCAAATCACGGATGTATATTATACGAGTTGCGAGCTTAATTATGCGAGCTTTGCAACTTGCGAATGTGTACCTAGCTTTGTACAGACGAATAAACACGTGTAATAATCAATGAGCTCGATAAGATAATTCGAGTAGTGCAAGCCTGCTTTTCAGCTATGGCTGTGGAACTATCTGGGCTCCAAGTTTATTTGCTTTTTTTTCTTTCTACCTCACCCTCTCGAGTATGTGCGTGGAAGGGAGAAAAAGTTTCGTCGAGTCGTATAAAAGCCAGGGGGAAGTTTATCCGTGGGCGCTGCAGGGGTAAAATGACAAGAAATTGCTTTTTCCGCGAGTGTAGCCACAGAAAAAGAGAGAAAAAAGCAGCGAGCATGGGCTCCTCGGCGGTGCTAATTGTGATGCCAAGTATTCGGCGCGTTTCAAAAGGCTGACGAGCTACGAGATGGCTATCCGGTGTTTCAACGCCTAAATCGTCTTTTCTTCGGTTCCTTTCGACAAGGACTGTACGCGCGATATTTGTCATTCGTCGCGGTCGAGGCGAGTTTTTTGGAATGCAAATAGCTCTGCTCTCGACTCATAAAAGGCGAGAGATGCGGTTGTTGCGCCACGGCAGTTTTGCGAGTAAAAAAAGAGAGGCGTTAAAAGTACGTAACGAGTTGACGGTACCAGCCAGTAACAGCTATCCCTGCGTACTATACACCGAAGGCAGCGCTCAAAGAAGCAGCGCTAAAAATCTTAACGGTATCGGACGTGTCTGTGCATACGAGCTCTGTGCACGCTGGTGTATAACGCGTAAGAAGGATGCCTAATCGCGAACCGCAAGCGCGAACAAGCCTGCGCGCACTTTTATGCTCCTTTTGCGGTATACGTCCGACGTACGAGCTCGCAAAAACCCAGCTGGCGTACTCTCGCTGGAGCTATATACAAAAAATGTCTACACGTACGCTCTGGTTTCGTGTGTAGCGCGCAGGCATTATATATAATGCAACTGGCACGTGGCTTTTTTCTTCCTCTCATCTTGCGCCTATGTGTATACGCTGTAATTATTCACTTGATGTATTAATTATTATTTCCTCTGCGGCCCTCGATTATGCGTAATCTCTTTGAGCGAATCGTCGATGATACGCGTCGATATATATAGGTTCGCAATAAATGGGTCGATGCGTAGCCCGAGCGAGATAAATCGTAACGGCTCAATCGGGCTAAAGCGCGTGCACAGGAGGAAGTGAAAATTAATAAATTTTCGCGCCGAATAAAGGCAAAAAGTGCCAGGGCAATAATGAGCGATAAGTCGGAGAAAGCCGCTACATTTACACAAGAGCGCAATGGATCTTTGTGCATAATTCAGGCTCCGGAGCACGTCTCGAGCCGACTGCGCATATATATACGTGCGGCCGCAGAGAGCCATAATTTATGCCCTCGACTCGGCCAAGATTACTCATTTTTGCACTGGCCTATGAAATTTTGCTGGCTCGGGGCGCTTTGTCTATGCTACTATATTAGCTACTATAAGCGCAACTTGAACAAGAACAAACCAATCGATCAAAGTGCAATTACCGCGCGGCGATGTTTGCGATTGTGGCACATTTTTCCGCCTAAAATGTAATCATTGACGGGAGCTCTTGTTTTTCGGTGCAAAGGCATTATGTCAGCTGGAGAGAGAGAGAGAGAGAGAGAGAGAGAGAAAAGCCTCTCTCGTCGCGACTGGGGGGCTTATAAACCTTCTCTTTGTACGCCGATGCATATCTATCTGAGCAAAAGCACCAACTGCTCCATTCTCTCCTTCCAAGCGAGTATGTATTTTAGTTGCGCAATCGCGCAAGTTGTGCTCGGCGGGACGAAAAATCGAGCGAAGAAAGAGCAATTCGAAGCAAAGTACCAATACGAGTCGATCTAATTTTGTAAACTCGCCAATAATGTTTAGCGCCGACTCGCGGGCCTGTCGAACAAAGGAATTTCCTCGCACCCGCGCACGCCTGCGTGTATGTGTCGAGCGCTCGAGAAAACGAATGCCGCGTGTGTAGAGCCTATTAAGCGAGGCGTCCTATTAAAAAGGACTATCGGCGCTGCGGGGATATATACGCGGCGCGTGTCGTAACTCTTTTCTTTCCCGAGCTGCTGCAGTTTTCATGCTCACGCTACCGCGAAATTATATCCCTCTCTCGAGTCTCGAGCGGCTACTATACACACGCGCGCCCCTCCATACAAACTATATGTACCTCGCCCAATATGTATGTTTATAAAGCGGATAATGAAATTTTTTCCTTATTACTCCATTACATTAAGCCGTCGGATCGCTTATCGGGCACGCTTCGATTGTGCGTTACTTTCGGCTGCTCCTTTTTTCCTCGGCGTTTATTATGCAAATCAAAGCTATAGTACTTAGCCACGCATCGAATCGACCGCTCAACCAATATAAATCAGTTTTATCTTTCTCGGGTGACTCTCCAGTCCTCTGGGCTCGGCAATTTCTGTCCGAGCCATTCAATTTCCGAGCCTAAAGGACTGGAAAGGCACCAAAGTTGACCGTCAGACGGGCTTCGGCAAGGGCTTCTCCGGGTTGAAATAATTTCAAAATATGGATCTCCTTCCATTTATTTATCGTTATAATCATCATCTCTTCCGGGTCAGCGTCGCGAAGAAATCGAAATCATCGATTTGATTTTTCGCATCGCACAAATTTTACTGCGGTTTCGCACGTGTCCATGCGTCGTTATTCGCGGCGCTGGTGTTAAGAGTACATAACTGCAGGATATTTTACCCATGGACAGTATTATACGCGCTCATTGTAAGACGCTCTTTGTCTCTCAATGAAGCGCCGAGCGTGTGTACTGGCTGCACGCGTGCGCCCATTTCGATCTCGAGGCCCGTAACCGAGCATGATAAAGAGAGAAGGGGGAATCCCCCCGGCTTATACATTATACACATGCATGCGCTGTATAAGGATACCGTTATAGACGCTCGCGCGGGCCCACTCTCGGTTCACCTTTCGCGCTACACATATATCCTTGACTTTACGTTATATTCGCGAGGCGAGCTCCGCGAGATCTCGAGGCCCTTGCGCGACTGCATCGTAAACACAGCGCTGCACTGCGAATTTCGGAGATGAGGTTTGTGCGGTGCGCGCGAGACACGATTTTGCGGGGGGAGACTGCTCCCATCGGCTGCCACGGACGATCCCGAGGATAATTCTAGCTGACGCAGGGGCTACATTCGTGTATCTCTTGACCGAGCGAAAATTGAAGCCACAATGTAGTGTGGTCTTGTAACGGGCTGTACAGCTACGGACAGCTTTTGAATTATGCATATCGACGCACAAATTATTTTGTTGTTTCGCTTGATTCGAGAGCGGAGTGCGCGTCACCAGCACCAGCGTCTTTTGTCTTTTGGCGAGCCGAGCTGCAGCCTAGCGAGTATGATTGATGGTCGTTAAGAGCCATCCGCCGCTTTTAGAAGCTCATTTGTCAGCTGGCCTATGCAAATTTCTCCTCTCTCTCTCTCTCTTTCTTTACAAAAGTAGGTCTTTTGACAGTGCCTACGTAGTAGCGCCTGTCGAAAAGTTCGCGAGTCTTGGAAGCAGCGAGGCCACTTTAAAAAACCATCCTCACGTGCACCACGAGTCTCTGGCGCGAGAATAATCTATATTTTTTTCCATCTTTTCTCGTGACGCGCGTGGCATACTAAAAAGAGGCCCGAGCCTCTCCGAAGGATTCTCAGATAGTACGTTACCTGCCTGCCCTTGACTCCTTCTCTCTCTCTCTCGCTTTCTCGTTCTCCGAGCCGCTTCGAGTCATCATTATCTATTATTTTTCCTGACCCACTATGAATATCCTCGAACTGCAGTTTATTGAATAATTCAGCTTCGGCGCACTATTTTGATTGCGTAATCGTGACGACTTTTTCCAAGCGCCAGTAGCAGCAGCTGCGATCGCTTTTTTTTACAACGAGATTACGTATGCATACGCATTAATGAAGTTCACCCCCTCGAGCCAAAGTACTTTTCGATTTAACATGCCGGAGGGATGAAGCAAATTTACGATAATCGATTTAAAAATCCTCCTGCGCGAGAATGAAATCATCATTTCTCAAACTTTGGGTTCGCTTTCGGAAAATCCAATCAATAAGCCATTTAAATGTCGCAAGTTTGACGGGTACCGCACGTAAGCCAACGCGGCGATCATTTTTTATCTTGACTTTTTGACGGTATGAGGCAGACAATCGGCGCGGATTTATCTAAGGTAAGATTGCCGCGCGTCACGCGAGCTTCTTCGTTTGGTCGTTGGGCCTGCCGGAGCTCGATGCAGCGCAGCGCGTCGAGATTAACGCGGCAGATTACAGTGCATGGATATTATGATAATAGAATACGTAATCGGATTACTCGGCTGGCCGATGTGTACAGAGGGGAATTTATTCCGCGTCTTATCGGGAGTACGAGGGATTAGCGAAATTACAAGATATTTGCCGGGGCTCTTCATGGTATGGTTAATCCGCCGCCGCCCCAAGCTCGGCGCGATCTTTCTCGAGTTGGAGCAAACGACTCGAGCTATATAGCTCGGCATGCAGCTCGTCCGTGCTCCAGCTTCGTCGACGGGGGTCGGTGACACACTTTTTTTTTTTTTTTTGGAAAGTGCCAGGGAAAGTTCGTTCGACACGAGCCTTATTCTCTCGGTCTTATTGTCTTATCGCGCCGATCGACAGTGGCCATTGGTAATTTACGCGCGACTAATGGGGCTGCAGCGCATTGGACCCGCCGAGCTCCATATAAGATGTCCGCGGCGCGAAGAACAACGAGCGAGCTATGGGACACGGTCA